TTTTTTTTTTTTTTTTTTTTTTTTACATTCCCTCTCTCTTTCTCTCCGTCTTATTAATGTTTGGAAATTGTTTAGACGTGGTCATGGACTAAGACTGCTGGGTTTAAAATAGCTAGGTAGAGAATCGAAACAAATATATAGAGACACCAGATTGTAGGACACTTACTATAAACTAGTCTTCCCAAGGAAACAGTAGTATAATACATATATATTAGCTAGCCCTATAGTTATTTAGGATAATATGCGAGGCTGTTTTGGTCAAGATGGATGGTCTGCCTGTATTAAATGTTGGGGGCATGTTGAAGGTGGTCGGCCCACTTTGTATGAGAAACGCAGTTCCCCCAGAATGACTTTCGGACAAGGGAACGTTTGCAGCCACTCCCGCAGCCCAAGCGATGGCGGTGGTACTATGAGGTGTGGTCTCAAAACCCGGTTCCACCTGATCATGAAGAAGTAGTTTTATTTTTTATTTTTTCTCCTTCTATTTATATTCATTTCTCTTAATTAATATTTGAAGCTACCGTGTTGATTGTTCTAATATCCAACGTTTATAAGGCTGGCCAACCGAACAAAAATTGGATAAAACTGAAATGAATCTAGTAAGTAAAAATGTACAGAACCGTAATACTGATACGACATTGTTGATGTAGTTCAAGGTCAATTGCACAATGACGCCTAGGGATATTTCCGTCCTCCAATGACTGGGGGTATTCCCGTTTCTATGCTGGAGGCGATAAGGCCGCAGGGACGTTGATTGGTGATGAGTAGGTCAGCTGAACGCAATGCGGCTGCCAAGCCTCTAGTTCTGTCGTAAGGTTGGTATGGCTGTATTGTAACTCTATGTATTAAGGACGGTACGGTCGGTGTTGTGTATACTCTTGACATAAGTCTTAGGCTGAGCATGCAATGCTGGACCTTGGGGAAGCAGCAGTGCCCGAAAAGATGAATCAATTGGTTTTCTGAGTTTGGAAGTCTTCAAGTTCAGAGACGTCCTGCCTCTAGATCAACCAGTGGTTGAACGATGGGTGTTCGCGATGTTGTGACTAGGGCTAGATGTCGGTTTGGGCCATCCCGTGTCTGCCACGACGAAAGGAGGGGGCGGTAAGGGTCACGGGGCCAAAGATGGTGAGAGCCTTTCCATTCGCACTCTCGCTCTCTCTCTCTCATACCATACCATCACAATCATCACCACCATCGCCAAACCCACCACTATCATCGCTATCATTATCACAACAATCGTCAAAATGGACCTGATATCGTGTTGAATGATTTTAGGGGGCGTTGACTTGACTGAATCTCGATTTGTTTACGATTAGAACCCATTTTCTATCCCTACCTTCCTATACTCGGTACCCTACGACACACCACTACTATGACCGCCACCCTCGAACGAAGTTTGTCTCGTACTTCGAGCATGTCCATGCCTATCTCTAGCCCTAGACTTTCTCTCCTACATGAGACTACACCACCTAGCTTATCCGACCCTGCCCTTTCTCACATTCACGACCGTTTAACCCTACTTGATTCGCGTGTCCTGGAATTACGCTCGACAGTTCTGACAAAGGACGGCTATATTGACCGGCGAAACCGGGAAGATGAACACATTCGTCGGGAGTTCGAGGCCCATCGCTCCATCTCCAATCGGATCGATCTAAACGTGGTCGCATTGAGGACGGATGTGGATCAGCTGAAGTCGGGAGTGTTCCAGCTAAAATCGAGCATTGGCCAGACTGGCAATGAGACCGTCTTCTTACGCAGCGATGTTGATCGTTTGTCGAAGAATATCGAACAGATCCAGTCGGATATCGAACAGGTTCAGACGGATGTGTGTGGATGTCGTGTGGAGATCAGCAAACTACACGCGACCATCAGCCAGCTTCGTACCGATCTGATCACTCTTCAGCATGAAACGTCACGGCATTTGAATTCTGTCTTTGACCGGTTTTCCCTGATCGAATCCCGAATGAAGCATTCGGAACGCGTCCGTTTCAACTCGTTGGCCCACACCACTCATGCTCCAATCACACCGGTACCCGTTGTGGAAGACGACGGCACGCTTCAGTGGCCAGAATACTTCCCTCGTACGGTTTGGCGCTTCTGGTGCCTTAAGAAGCGCAGTCGAAGTAAGTCGCATTATGGTGAATGTTTCCTCGGAAACTCTAACATTGTCTAGTCAACCGGTTGGTTCAGTTGGCGGATTTCTATCAACTTGGAGGCTATCAATATTGGGGTCGAATGCACCAGACGGAGATTGCGTTTGCCAGCGATGGTGACTCTAGCGATTCCAGTGACTACCCATCGAATTTGACGCGGGCCGAAGCAGTCCGCTTGTACCCTGAAGCTGCACATCAGGCACTGGCTGCCACCTTGGGGTTGGTTTATTATAAGATCAGGAACGAGGTTGGAGAAGGGCCGAATACTCATATTACTCGTCCTCCCAAGCGGCAACAGGAGGATGTGCCGTCGGTGTCATCCGGCTCCAAGCCGAAACCGGTGAAAATGGCTCGCCGTCCCAACAACTTGTCGCCTACCGCCCTGCACCGATTAATTACTGGACCATCGCTGGAGTCGAAGTCGATGGCATCGGATGAGTCGGACAAGCTTGGATGGAATGCACATTCAGAAGTGTCTGATGAGGCCATGAGCAAGCTGCGCGGGCTCGTCTCTGAGGAAGTCGGCACAATACTTCGAGCTCTGGAACGTGGGCGGATTAGGTTGAAGCCAGGTCGGAATGAGCGTCAGAACCTGTCCCCCACCGAATCCAAGACCGGTGCCCGCAATGGCCGGTACGGTGCCGATGGAGCACAGGATGACGACGCGAGGACCATACCGAACACGGTCCCCACGGAGATTTTGTCGTTCTCAGACAAGACCGAGGAACACGAGCTAGAACTCCCGGAAACCGAGTCTGATGCGACTAGTCCATTGTGATATTATCATGAGATGGCTTAGAAGACATCGTGATAGCATTCTAACAGGTATTGTTATTGACAGTTTGTTCTCTACACATCTTATTAAAGACGTGTAACAAGCGATCACGGCACTCCACAGATTGCTATCCTAGACAGAGTATGATTGACTCGACTGGGATAGTGCTCTCAAAAGCGCCCATGTTCGCTAGAAGCGTTCTCCATGTGCAGGTCGACTGGATAGGGCACACCAGACGCCCGTGTTGTCTCTTGCGACTGAGAGTTAGCTGCATTCCATTTTTTGGGTACGCTAGGATACGGCAAGCTTTATGAGTTACACAACTTGCGAGGCTTGCCGCATCCCAGCATTGAACGAATAGAGTACCTTAGCAGTTTGGTGGCCTACCAAGTCCTGCTCAAGGTGACACAATACTTCCCTTAACACAGACGGCTGCGTCTTGAGTCCAGTGGCTCGTAATCCATGATTCGCATTGGTTGGCATGATAAGGCGCCCTGGATGGATATGTATACAAGATACCCTTTTGATGGATTTTTGAAGAATTTTTTTTCTTTTTTTTTTTTTTTTCTGTTCTGGGATTTAGCGTTAGATACCTTACATTTGGCGTTTTCTCTTGGGTTTGAATATCTGATTTAAACGCAATATATACAGTGATTGTTATTGACTACTAAGGCAGTCTCGATGCGCCGAGTTGAGACATACCACATATCTATTTCGGATCTCATGTTCGCCGGCGGCAGCGTCGGCTCCCGGTGCCAACCGCTTGAACCATTGGCACCACCGTATGAACCACATATGTTACACCTTTTCCAGACGCAGACGCCATATTATAGACATTAACTTTACCGGAACTGATGCAGGTAAACACAGCCCCCTTTCCGTATTGGACAAAAGTATCTAAATATCCAATATCGCCAAATTATTGCCCTGCGGCCCCAACTGGCTCAAATAAGTCTTTCTTCAAGACCTCCAACACCTTTTCCTCATCTAGGTTCGAAATGTCCACGGTCCCGGGCGCCTGTTGTTCGTCGTCCGTTTCAGGGGTTTCACCCGACTCGAGTTTGCCCTCAGGCTGCGCGCGTAGATAGTCCCTTTCGAGGAGGAACTTTGACTTCTCGTCTCCTGATACGGTCTCCGGTGAGTCTGATAGTACGTAGATAGTCGGGAATTCTAGAACCGTGCGGCCGCGAAGAGCGGAGGTGAGGGTAGCATTGGGCGAGAGAGGGACGAGCACGGGCTGTCTTGTGCTAGTCCGGGGACGATGGAGGTAGAAGAAGAGGTCGCGGTGGGAGAAGATCTCCTCTGTCGGTTGTGTAGATGGCTGATTGGTCTGCACCTCTGGCGTGTTGTCCGGTTGTTCTTTGCTCTCGGTGATGGGTACTACTTCTTGAGATGGGGCTTGTGAGGTAGAAGGCGTAGGATCGTGGGTATCAGGTAGCTCTGTCGATGAATTGACATCCACTTGTTGCTCCGACTGGCTCTTCTCTCTCTTCTTCTGCTCGCGCTCCTCCTTCGGACGAGGAAAAGACCGATCATAAGCCTCAGCTAGCGTTAACGACTCCAAGCAAAACCTATGCCTCCTCTCCCCATCAGACGCAATCCACTCAACTGTCCAGTTCAAACACTTAGTCCTGCACCGCTGTCAGCAAAAACCACGTCTAAAACCACCTACCCCAAACCAAGACAAAACAAAAAGGAAAAGAACATACTTAGCCAACCACTTGGAGCCATTCTCCTTGTTCCTACTCATCCCCCTCGGCGCCCTCAAAACAGTAACCCCAGACTGCTCCGCCCCTCTCATAAACCCAACCTCCCCCCTCGCAAAAACCCCCTTCGCAGGCCCCTCCACCCTCCTCCTCTTCCTACCCTCCTCCCCAGTACTAGTATCAATCTCCTCATCCAACCCAACAACGCTCAAATCCACCCCTCGTCCAGACAACCCCGATTGTACCGAAATCCCCCGATTCTCGGCATCCCGCTCCGCGCGCTCCAGCGTGCGCTCAATCCCCGTAATGAAATTAAAATCGCGATCAAAGGCCGATTCCGTCGCAAGCTCGCTTCGCTTCAGGTAAGCGGCTGGATCGCGGACGCCGCTGCACTGGGACCAGAGTTTGTGGCGGCGGGAACAGGGAAGGGAGCAGGTGCGGGTTGAGCAGCGGGGACAGCGGTATTTGGGTGGTTGGATGTGGCTGTTTATTATTATTATTATTTGGTTAGTTATCTGTTAGGAAGGAGAAGAACTGGGGTTGGCGTTGGGGTTGAGGATGGGGACGGACCAGATTGTGCAGAGGTCGGAGAGGACGGGGTCTGTTGTGGACATTTTCGTTTCCCTTTTTCCTTCTGACTTGGAAAGTTGAGAAAGTGCGTAGATAAGGTTGAGATTAAGATATTGGGTAGATGGGTGGGTATAAATGTATTGATATGGTGAGAGCTGCTGATATGAAGAGAAGTGGAGCGAAGGGAAAAAAGTCTGGATAAAGATCGACAGTCTAGCTTATCGATAAGAGAGGTACAGTAAATCGGGTTGATGCCTGATGACTTGGCGGATGATACCTGAGGCTTTGTCGCCCTGGAACGGATAACCGTTTTGAGACGACCAGTCATGTGCACTGATTGATAAGGAGGGTTCTGTTAGGTAATGAATCGCGCTTCAGTCACTTTCAAATCGTCGTCCGAGGAAAAAGCCATAGCTGAAGAATAGACCCGTTTTCACTAGATTCAGTTAGAGAATCCTCCCGCGCAGTCACGATTAGTAAAGGCGCGTTCCTGATTCCATCGCCGCTATCGGATCGATATCCACCTGACAAATCAGGCATCACAAACCGCCACCATTCTTTCATCCCACCCAAAGATGTTAATAATTGATAAGAGGACTCTTAATCACCCTTTTTTTTTTCCTCCAGTCCAACAAACATATCTTCCTTTCCTTCCGCGAACCAAAAAAAAAAAAAGAAAAAAAAAAAAAACAGACAAAGGACGCAGATAAAAAAGGAAGAAGAAGAGAAAAGGAAATACAATCAAAATGTCCATCACAATCGACACCAGCGTCGACATCGACCTCCCCACCCCACCCCAACCAAACGGCACTCAGAAGCGCAACCTCATCCTCGCCCCGCCTTCCATCGCTGCCCACGAAGAGAAACTCCATCATGTCTTCTCGACCTTCGATCGCTCCTCCACCGATTTGCAGATGCTCGATCGGCTATCTGCCGGCTTTGTCGCCCTCACTCCCAACACATATGATCTTGTGCTCGTTTTGACGGATGCGCAGTCGGATGAGACTGTCCGGTTGTTGACGCGGGATGTTTATACGGCGTTGGTGCCGGCCATGAAGGACGGCGCCAGGCTGCAGTTGCAGGAGGGAAGTTTGGCGGGCGGCGAGACGTTGGAGGCGATTCTTGCTGGGTTGATAGAGAAGGACGGCGGATTCGAGAAGCCGGTACAGGAAGCTGCTGTGCCCTTGAGACTGGGAGGAAAGAAGAAGAAGGGTAAGACAAACGGGGTGCAGAACGGAGTTCAGAATGGCGTGGCTACAAACGGAGCCAGCGCGAACGGAGTGGGAATGTATAACCCGGCCGAGGATCAAGATGCGGATGAATTGATTGATGAAGATGCGTTGCTTTCAGAGGAGGATTTGAAGAGACCTCTTCCTCGACGTGAGTTCTACAAATCCCCCCCCCCCTTCTCCCCCCTGAATGTCCTAGGCGTTGTACTGACTCATATACTTCTGCAGCCCAAAACTGCCAACCAGAGACCGCCAAGAAGCGCCGGCGTCCTTGCAAGGATTGCACTTGCGGACTGGCCAGTCAACTCGAGGAGGAAGACCGCGCACGTGAAGCAAAGGCCACCCAAGATCTGAACATTCTCAAGCTGAACACAGACGACCTGAACGATGAGTTAGACTTCACCGTGCAAGGGAAGACGAGCTCGTGCAACAGTTGCTCGCTCGGCGATGCCTTCCGTTGCTCCAGCTGTCCGTACATTGGACTGCCGCCTTTCAAGCCTGGCGAGGAAATCAAGATTATGAACGATATGGTACAGCTGTGAAGGTCTTTCTTTTGTTGGTCTTTTTTTTTTTCGGGTCTTACTTATTATCCCCTAAAAGGTGTTTTGCGTTTTGATAGAGCTTTCGGTAGGGTTTCGTGAGTGGATATCACTGGTCTCGTTAGTTTTTATATAAAACCTTTTCAATTTTCAATATAGCGGAATTGTCTCATAATATTCATCCCGTAGTATTCAGAGGTGCATGTAAACAAATTGATCTACTGGATTATTTGAACTTATTGGTTACAGCTTAGTTTTTAGCATGAGCCATCTCATGCTCAATGACTCGTACACGAAGAACAATTTAGAACTCCAGTCGTCTCCATTCGATTCTAGGTAGTTTTTGGTAGAAGTCATTTGAAAGGGGACTATAAACCCGACCATTTTCTCAACTGGGGATTGAAGCCCTAACTACCCCCGAAGCCTCCAATCACATGGATAGTGAACAACCAAGCAAAGCATGCTTGATTAGAGCATATACCTATTTCTTCATTCTATGAATGAATTGCGAATTACCCCTCACCATGGTCCAGTGAAATTCTCGCCCAAGATGATATCACCTCTCGGGGAGATGAGAAAATCCCCAGGACGATTTCTAAGCATCGGCGTCAAACACCGACCAATCGCCGGCGAAAATCACGACATTACATTGAATATAAATACTTCACATACAACTCCCACACGTTCTCACCGAAAGCTAACCTCAGCACCTCTCTCGATCAAAGTAAACATACCAACTGATCAACTGATATAATGGCCAGCAAACCCTTCGCCATCATCGCCGGCGTCGGCCCAGGAACAGTATGACATCCAACCCCACACTACTTATAAATCCCCACCATCTACTCCAACCAATTGATACACACTCTAACAAATGACACAGGGCGCCTCCATCGCCCGCAAATTCGCCAAAGCCTACTCCGTCGTCGTCCTAGCCCGCAACCCCAATAACTTCAACCCCGTCGTCGACGAGATCAACGCCGCCGGCGGCCAAGCAACAGGCATCAGCACCGACCTCTCCGACACCAACAGCATCAACTCCGCATTCGAAAAGATAACCCAACAATACGCCAACACCCCCCTCGCAGCGGCAGTCTTCAATTCGGGTGGCGGCTTCGTCCGCAAACCCTTCCTAGAACTAACAGAAGAAGAATTCGTCTCGGGCTACAACAGCCAAGCGTTCGTCCCCTTCCCCATCCCCCATCATCCCTCCCCTCTTCCTTCGCTCCCACTTGAGAAAGAAAACTAATAAAAAAAAAAACAGAAAAGGCGGCTTTAATTTCGCCCAACGCACCCTCCCCCTCCTCCAAAAAGCCTCCGGACTCCCCCACCCGCCCACATTAATCTTCACCGGCGCAACAGCCAGCGTAAAAGGCTCCGCCACATTCTCGTCCTTCGCATCGGGCAAATTCGCCCTCCGCGCGTTGGCGCAGTCCCTGGCAAGAGAGTTTGGGCCTAAGGGTGTGCACGTCTCGCATGTTATTATTGATGGGGTGATTGATATTCCGAGGACGAAGGCTTGGACTTTCGAACATGAGGATGCGAAGTTGGATCCTGAGGCTGTGAGTTTTTCTTTCCCTCTTCTAAATTTTTCTCCCCTTTGTTTTGGGTTTAAAATAAAGGGGGTTGTGCTGATTGGAGTAGATTGCGGAGTCGTATTGGCATTTGCATGCGCAGCCGCGGACGACGTGGGGCTTTGAGTTGGATTTGAGGCCCTATGTAGAGAAGTGGTAATTTGGGGTTTTGGGTATTGCTCAAGGAATGGTTTAAACAGGGTGAGATATAGTAGTTTGCATGATCTATGAGTTTTAAGACTTTGATGGTTGTTATTCCTAGTTCTGAAATTTGTATGTGGGATAGCTTGAGTTAGTACTGTCATTGAGCCAGTGGTGTTCAGATTAGTCGTCTCTCCGGGACTTGTTATCCGCGTAGCTCCAGAATGGCATCTCCGGACTATTTAAATTGAAGGGAAGCCGGTTCAACTCCAGATCCACGCCGAGGGTGTTATCACTATTCTTCTCATCCATCATATTCAAATCGATGCCGAGATCGTCACCAACTGAGATATCGTTGAATACGGAAGTCGGCATATTGCTTGGAGGAAGCGAGTAATTGGTGGCGGGTTCACTTAATGCAGGAGCACCGATATCTAGCGCAGAGTCGAATGACAGGGGCATGTTTTCCATACCCGTAGATGTTGACCAGCCTCCTGAACCGGGAAACAGCAATGATTCATGATTGGAACACAGTTGGTTAAGGCCTGGACTCTGAGAGGTTGGACCAAGTCGCCACACGTTGAGCGACGAACCCTCCCGTTTCATCGTCTGGTCATCTTCAAACCACGAACAGATTCTACGGAAGACCGTTGTCAATTTGGTAGCAGGCCAGAGTGGCCCCCACCCTGTGAATATCTGTATGATGGTAGTTAAGCGCTTCGAGACCTGAAGTCGATCTACTTGTAGCTGAGCATCTTCGTCCGACGAGGCGATAGCCGCAAAATGAAGCTTGACTAGGATGAGCACGGTGTAGATCATCCGGATCAGGTGCATAGCTGGCAGAACCCGAATCGCAAACATGTCCAAGGAAGTGAACATTAAAAACAAGTGATCTACCGTGTTAACGCATTCGCTGAAAATGTCGGCCGGAATAGTAACAGTCGGTGGTTGACTTGGTGATGCAAGTTCGGCATCGGAAGTGGCATTTCCAGGGGCAGCACAGAATGCTACTTCGTTGGTGTATAACAATGAGAAATGGTAGGAGAGCTCTAAAGTTCCTAAAAAGCAGACTGTGATTAGTCGACGGATACATCTAACCTCGGAAGAAAGGAAAGGAGTAATTACCGTTCCAATGGTCATCAAGGATGCCACTTCGCCAGTCTGCAAGTAGCCGCCGGAAAAGACGATGTGATGCTTGCATCTGCATATCCCGTAATGAAACAGAGGTAGATGTATCTTTAAGGGAGAGTTGCATCGACGCTTCTTCGGTGATATGCTGCAACCGAATGTGATAGCACAAGATTTTGTCGGAAGGCAATGCGTCTGGAGAGGTCTCCAGCTCTTCTAAGCATTCGTCCATACAGTGTGTCCATCTCATGACGTTTGGGGCTCGCAGAGACATAGATGTACTAGAAAAGTTAACAACCGACTAATTGACCAGACCTCCGTTTCGTTACTTACTTGGAACAAATATAGTGACACCCCAACCAGACTCTCCGAGCATCTAGAGCCTCTGCCCGGGCACTCTGGTACCGGTCACCCTGACCTTTCTGGGCCAACACCGACGATTCCCTGCTCCCATTGTTCAATTTGTCCCCCAGGCCCATGATCAAAGCCATGTTAGCAGCGGTGTGGCCGATTTGGTATATATCCATCTGCTCCCCTGGCTCGAGAGGCTCGATTGACCGATACCACGTAGCAGAAACGATCAGCGCTTGCAGCAAGCCCAAAGTGTATTGATCGCTGCGGAGCATGCAATGAACATACGTCTGCACGATTAGCTTTCGGAGTCTCCGCTGAATCTCTAACTCACAGAAACCCGACGACGCAACGTCAAGGATTGCCAAGAGAAGAATCGGGTTGTCTTTCCGGACCTTGGCTGCCGTAGTACCCGATGGAAAGACCACAACTGGAAAGGTAGAAGCTATATTTGAGGTATAGCGGTTGAAGATGATCTCCATTGTGGGGCCATCGAGATATGGGGAGATGTCTTTGTCCAGAAAGGACCGTATGTTGGTTTTAAGATCTACAGCCCCGGAGCTGACTGTCTTGTGGTACAATTAATGAGCACATTCATTGTTGAAGAGAGCAGACCGACTAACCAGTAGAGGGTAGTGATATCGCAGGCCCCATTGATGGACCCCGAATATGTTGTCCGGGAACATTGGAGGACGAACCAACTGGCCAACCTCGGAAGGGTCCCTCGACGGACCGAGTTTTGTCGCCGGCACTTTCTTGGGATACTGCAGTTGATATCATCTTATCGATCTTCGATTGAATCTCCATAATGCGATTGTTCAATTGCTTTTGGTCATTCCGCGATTTCTCCACCGGGAAGCACGGCTTGCATGCCTTCTGACATCTTACACATGGTAGACCAGGGTTTGGCTGGTCACATCGCACTTTGGAGACATGGCATGAATGACATGCCCGTAGTGTATTGATGGGTGAACTGTTCGTATGTTGCTCTAGCGGGAAATGATAATGTGGACTGTCAAACATTAACGTACCCATTGTGAAGTGAACCCTGTCTCTGTCGTTTGTCCCCATGTGCGTTTTTCTTCCCTAGTGTCTCATTGTCGGAGTTCCAAGATGCCTTTTCCTTCGATTCCCAAGTTTCCATGTTGTCTGTGGAGTCGAAACCATAAGTGGGGTAGAGGCCGGTAAATAAGCTTAGTCCGCAAGGCGATAGAGAAAGACGTAGAAAGACAATCCTCTGTATTGTGTGGAGAGACTATATGCCTCCAACAATGGTTGACAGTGTCCTATATAGACCTAGTCGTTATTTTTGAGGCGCTAATATAGTGAGAATAGCCAGATTCCTATGGCTGGAGCGGTCGATGAACCTTTTTGGACCCCAATCTTCGGTGCAGATCGGCCAAGGTTTAACCGAGAAGGGTCGGATCATCGTATCAGATTCAATCTCTCAACTGCTTACATGGCTCATACACAACAGGACATGTCACAATCTGCTTCCAGGAACTAAGCGTTGGTTCGTTAGCACTTGCTACCTAAGGTATATTGGGCCTGGGTAAGGCTGGCATTCGTCGTGACCTCATGATACTGCCCCGCACGAGCACCTGGTTATCTCAAACCCTAACTGATGGCATGTCAGAGATTCTAGAGATATAGGCCACTTTGATATTGATACTCTGTGTCTTTGCCGTATATTCCTAATTGCACAAGACGTGCAAAGTGGAATCACACTATGTCGCTCACATATCGGTGCGTACTGCAGCGGTGATAGCTCTTTGTGCTGAAGACTGACCAGCCGGGACCTGTTGAGCAGAGAAGCATGGAATCTCTTCCAATACGAGCACTCATCACCATCATCATTTAATGAGAACCCCCAAGTGCAGGATTCCGTTCACTCCGACAACCGTTTCCATTCTCCAGCCAATGCTACCGATACTTCAAACCAGGAACCAAGAAGTCCCAGCAGCGATTTAGTCGCAGAGCTCCGTCGCCTGCGAGAAGACTTGCAGCGTCTTCAATTCGCAGGGTACGTGGTCCCCCGGATCCACTTCCCTGCATAGCCCATCAAGAGTAGACATTACTGACAGTGATAATACTAACCTCAAGAGTCCAAGACCAATCTATAGATGTCGCCTTCTCAACAAGCGATCCACCCGATCTCAGCTCACCAGCCTCACAGACTGACACCGCCACTCGCGCAAACCAGGCGCCCCCAAGATCGGATTCTCTTTGTTGTTGGGAACCATGTTGTAATGGCCGCGCATTTTCCAATCGTAGTAATCTGGTCCGTCACCAGCGAGAGAGACGCGGTGAATCGGCGAAGCTTCGATGCTCCTTTTGCGATGCGGTCTTTTCGCGTCGAGCTGCGCGAGATACGCACGAGGCGGCGAGGAGATGTCGCCGGTAGTGATTTGAGATATGAGAAGGTTAAAACATTAATTTAACGAGTAAAGGTTAGAAATACCTGTTCTCCTTAGTCAGATGAAGATGTGTGGCATAATAGCGAATTATCACTCACTGTAAATAGACGGTCTTGATGCCAAAGAAATCCATTCAAAACAAAACCTTGCAAAAAGAATAGAATATGTGTGACTCATTTGGGCGTTGCAAGTTATAGGATTTTACTCATTGACGTGGTGACGGATTCCGTTGTAGGATGGATGGCGGATTGTTGTGGAGGAATGATGGATTGTCGTGATCCTTCATCGGTGAAGGATCACCGATGGGAAGAGAGTCATAAAGGCGAGCCCTACCAGTTTGTCTACTACTACCTCGCATAGGCACCACACTCAATATTCATAAATAATCTTCACTGATATACGGGTCATATTTCCTATTCAAATCTATCGTATCCTGCTACTTTGCAGCTTATTCCTCTCCCATATCATCGCAATAATGGTCTCCCTCAAAACAGTCCAAGCCTCCAATGCCAGCCTACGATCAATCCCTAACCTCACAGCCCTGTTCGTCGGAGGCACAAGCGGAATGGGCCAAAGCACCCTCCGCCAACTAGCCAAGCACACCGAAAGCCCAACAGCCTACATAGTCGGACGGAATCAGTCGCGCGCAAAGCCCTTCCTCACCGAACTCCAACAAATCAACCCAAAAGGCAGGTTCAACTTCATCGAAGCAGACGTATCCCTAGTCAGAAACGTAGACAAAGCCTGCCAACAGATCCTCCAGCAAGAAACACACCTCAACTTCCTTTTCATGACACCCGGAGGGATTTCTCTCGGCGGACGGAACGAGACCCCGGAAGGAATCGACTACCTCTTCGCCCTCCGCTACTACGCGCGCATGCGTTTCGTCCAGAATCTTCTCCCATTACTCGCGCCCGCAAGACCAAGCCGCGTCGTGAGCGTTTACGGAGGCGGATTCGAGTTCGGGATCAATACGGATGATCTAGATCTGAAGCACAACTTCTCACTTCTCAATGCCTATAAGCATTCGATTACCATGACGTCCTTGAGCATGGAGTATCTGGCTACGTCGCATCCAGCTGTTAGTTTTGTCCATGTATACCCTGGTCTTGTGGGGACGAATATCTACACGAACAGCTTTCCGCCGCCTATCTCGACGCTCTATAACTATGGTATGTGGCCGCTCATGTGGCCCTTCTCGGTTAACCTGCAGGAGAGCGGGGAGCGGCATCTATTTCATCTTAGCTCTGCGCGGTATCCGGCCAAGAAGGGGGACATGGCTCAGGGTGTTGCGATTGAGTCGCGGGATGTGGCGAAGGGAACGACCGGGGAGACAGGGAGCGGAGCGTATCTCTTGAATTGGAACGGGGAGGTTCAACCGAGCCGGACGATTTTGAAGGATTATCGGGAACAGAAGGTGCCTGAATTGGTATGGAGACATACCGAGGACCTTTTGGATCGGGCTGTGAGTCGGTGATCGGACCGTTTACTTTCCTCTTTTGCCTCGGAGGTTGGTATTCGGAAAGTTGTGGTTATGGTGCCATGTACGAGCAGTTGAAGGAGAAAGGGAGAAGGCGAATCTGTATTAATTAATGTCTCATGAACACCGCATTACATAGACGCATAAAAATGAATGAACTACTAAACCTCAAACCAGCGATAAGCCTAATCCCATTCCTTCAAGCACTCCGTGCACCCACGTGTTATTTCAACCCTTGATTATCCCCAGACAAATTAATATAGTTTCCATATAAACTTCTAGAGAACGATAACAATGAATGGAGGACGAGGATAATGACACCATGCACACAGCTTATCAAACAGCCAAATCCCAAACTAAACCCGGACCAACCTCAAACCATCCGTTCCGAAAAGGGAAATTATGCCCCAAGACTCAGATCCCAGGATCACTTAAATACGCCAATCTAGTTACACCAGACCGACATTCAAAGAGACACCCGGATTCAATAGCAAATCATTGACTAAACCGGCGCGGATCCGGCACGTTGATCATGCAATTTACAGCTATATCCCGGTGGGGTTAATATAGAGCTACGTTAGCGTGGTGTATCAGATGCAAAACAACCGTGCAGATCTTTTCCGTCAATTTCTGGGAACAAGGCCCAGGGGAGACGATATAAATACTCCGTTCTTATCGTGCTCTTCGGTTTAGGGCTTATTGCAATTACCACCAAGACAAGAAAGAAGTGATTTTGGTTCGAAGAGTGAAATCCACCAAAATGAGAGTCGCCACGCTACTCTCGTTTACCTCTCTCACCTACGCCAAAAACATCATTCCCACCACCTGCTTCGACTCTTACACTTCCCTCGAAGAATACTTCTCCTACCTCTACCCTTGGGGGAGCGACCACAACGGCTCAGCCCGCATGGTCGGCAACTCGACCGACCACGACTACATCTCCGTCGAATCGGGCACATTGACTCTCCTCGCAAAGCCGGTCAAAGGCCAGGAGCCTACCAGCGGAGGCCAGGAGATCAACTACCTGTCCGGGGCCGTGCATTCCAAGAATACGTTCACGGTTGAAGCGGGCTCCGGCTTCGACATCGAGGGCGAGTTCCAGGCGACTACGGACAAGGGCACTTGGCCAGCTTTCTGGTTCAATAGCGCGAAGACCTGGCCGCCAGAGATTGATATGGCGGAATGGAAGGGTTTGTTCGGTTTTTCTGGATTATTCGGTTTGGTTTGGGCTGATGACGTGCAATAGGCTCTGGGCAACTTACTTTCAATGTTTTCAATGTGAGTTGCAATTTTGGGCTTTCTTCGAACACCGGGATTGACGAAGAACTAACATTAAATAAATGCCAGACCTCGTCTGAAGTCATGAACCATAATGTAGACTATCCCTCGCCGAAGGAGTTCCACAAAATTAAAACTCAGATCCGCGCCGAGAATGATGCCGATATTTGGGTTAAGTATTTCCTTGACGATGTGGAGGTTACCACTCAGTATGGAAAAGATTATATCGGGAAGCCTTTGTACTTGTGAGTATATCATGGCTATTTGTCAAGAGAGCGGTTCTGATGTCTTGCAGGATTATCAACTTGCAGATGGAGGGATCGTCCGGAACTCCTGGACCTAGTACCGGTTAGTATTATTTGTACCCCGGCTATTTTTTGAGGGGTATTGACTAATGGAGTGGGTAGATACTTACTACCGTGTGAAGAACTTGTCTATCGATCAGATCTAGAGGGGAGCCGAGTTCAGGAGGCCATATGCAGGTGATAGGGATGGCTATGGCGCGGAGCAGTGAGACTGTTGGAGGAATGAGTATTAGATAGATTTGCAGGAGCTGTGAAGCTGTAAACAGCGTTGATTAGTTACAGTACTTAGGTTGCGCATCACCGGCGGCAGAATCGGATCAACCCCCTCCAACTCCCTCGCGGATCATTCTCCTCCATGCTTGCACCGTATCCTCCCGGTAGGCATTCGAATCAGGCCACTCCGCGTCGGGGAGCCTCACCCTGACAATATCCTCTGACACGTTAACACTCTTCAATGCTGTTAATAAATCTATACACCCTTGCTTCGTCTTCTCTTTTATGTCCTCCCCGGAGCCCACAACATCATCCAGACCAACTCCAAGGAGCCTCCTCTCCAGTGTAGCAATGTGCACCCCGTCCTGGGATACTGGGAACAAATACAAGCTGCCGTGGGATGAACTCTGCCGCAGGCCCTCGGGCCTTATACGCTGCACGCACTAGCTCCCTTATCGCTTTCTCCCGTTCCTGCATTTCCGCCCCGCTATAACCCCCGTCTTTTCGGGGCTTTGTCGCCCGCAGGATGTATGCTGGGTGTTCGGTGCTGATGTAGATCTGCTGAACGCCCCCTTCGATGGCTGGGCGTCGGGTTAGAGTTATGGGTGGGGAGAGGGTGGATTCAAGGTGGGTCGCGAGGGTGAGAGGGTTTGATTCCTTTCCTTTTCTTTTCTTTTTCGTGGCTAATTTATTAACCCCTTTCTTTTTGTCCTCTGGTTCGAGGACTGTGAGGGACAATTGGCAGAGCTGGGAATAAATGGGAGAAGTAGATGGAGTCGGGTCTACACAAGATTAGTAGTCACTTCGACAAACTATGAATCTAAATATCGAACGCACTATTAGAAATGCCCTATCTGTATGGTATAAAGACCAATATATACATACAGTATTGCTACAGTGTAAGCCTTGAGTACAGTATAGGTCTGTAATCTGATTGCTTCCTATTACCTTCCCGAAGTCGCTACCATTTCTTAGTCAAACTCTCCCTATTTACATACACAAGGGGCTTTAGTAACATATCTGTAGGCAATGAAAATTATTTCTTAATGGGATAGTGCAGTCCTTCTCCCCATATTATCAGGCTCGACGTCCATGGATAAACAAATTACGCCGACAAGTTTGTCCAATAGAAAAGCCTGGAGAAAAGGAAGACCTAGGGTTATAGTATCAATTAAAGCAAATATAGGTTTTATAGTTGTTATAGCAAGCAGTCATCACCGCAGTATATTCTGACACGTCATAATATCAGCGCAACTCACACTAACCGCAGGAACAAAAACTACAGCATTAACTATTTTAATAATACCAGCGTCCAGCTGAACAGTAGTGGTGTCTATGTAAATAGCTGAAGAAATTCGACATTGAGGGCCCTGGTACAGTTGCAAAATGGAACGTGTTTCAGGACAAGAGAAGATAGTATCGCCCATCAGCATTTTAATTCTTTCACCTTATAGATTAAGCGGACATGTTTTCTGATATAATTAAGTTTTCTCTATAGTCAATCTGAGTTGTCGGTTAGGTCGCTTCCCCAAGCATCCCCGATACAGTAGAGCTTTAGCAAGGCATAAGAGCGTTGCTCCGAGGTTAATATTAGTATCGAAAAAGTTTATTCTCCGCAGGCTGAAGCTGTACAGGTAAAGAAGATAGAAGATATGAAACCCAGTACAACTCCGAGACATCTATACAGCTGAATGTCCCCGCTTGTATTTGTCCAGAATCTTGACGATAGACTCATTTAGCGTCCGGTGGAAAGGAATAGCCCTTTTCCCCAAATCAAAGTCCGCATTGACCTTTCCTGTCGATAACAGAAGCTTAACCGCCTTGACATTCCCCTTTTCTGCGGCGACAATAAGCGGCGTATTACCTATATTGTTCTTCACACCCGGATCCACCCCCTTAGCAAGAAGCATTTCCATGATTCTAAATGCCCAACGATAAGCGGCATGAAGCAGTGGAGTCGACCCCTTCAAATTCGATCCACATCCATAAAGGTTTGGTGAATTACAATCTATTCGTTTGTCGGCCAAGAGTTGCTTCACAATTTCCAAGTGTCCTCCCTTGATAGCGTAGTCGAGGACAGAACTGCCTGGATAGTCCCGCGTGTTTGAGTCCAGACAGCAAGGAACAAGCTAACAGTATCCTTATTCCTTACTGTTGCCGCTAGTCTGAGAACATTGTCTCCCATTTCGTCTTGCATAGTTGGATCCGCTCCTCGAGCAAGAAGCAGCTTCATGATTCCTGTATTCCCCAGTCCCGCCGCTGCGATCACGGGTGTTCTGCGGGAATTGTCTCTTGAGTTCACATCCACATTGCCTGACCGCAACAACTCGACTACCATGCCTTCAGCGCCGATCTCCACGGGTGTAGCTGCTAATGATCTCGGTGCAGATGGATGCAGTCAGGGTCGGAGAGCAGGATGATACTTTATCGTCTGGGAAGCCGTTGCTGCTCCCCCCGAATGAGCTGCCAGAACTGCCGCCAGGGCACCCGATGCCGAGTAAGGCGCACAAGTTGATTACACATCCTGGCTAGATACTGTGCGTACCACATTTTGACTGACCTGGGGAGTTGGAGGGCCTGGAAAGATGATCCTTCCTGTTGGCTTGGGTTGGACGTTAACCGCGTGCGAGGTGCTGTGGAAAGTGGCAACGGGGTTGTCCGTGGTCGTCTTCTTCGATGTGGTGCCAGGGCTGGAAGTGATGGTTGGCGAAGGAGCAGCGGTGGGGATTGTATCAGAGGCGGAGGCGCTAGGCACCAATTCGACACCAGGAGGAATGGTGATGCTAACCAACGGCGTAATGATGATCTGGAGAGGGAAGATTGTGTTGCTGGAGTCGTTTCTCCCCACAGAGACCGGACAAAACGGTATATAGCTGACAGAGAGCGGATCAGGTGTGATTACGGGAGATGGTGGTGACTCTGTGATCACTGCCCTCTTCGAGCAAAGACATTCGTTGCTGTCAAATACACTTCACGTTTATCCTCGATTGCCTACAGATATTCTATTTTCAATTAACTTCTCCTTATACATGTATGAACGTATCTCATATCAGATTCAAGGGACTAGATACTAGATCATGTGAGCTAGTAGGAAAATGGCCTACCACAAGTAGTATAACACGATCTAGATATTCAGAGCACAATTCCGAAGCTACAGTAGCTCTTAGAAATGTTGGTCACCTAACGACTAGCGAGTTCCTTCATCCTCCGTTCAGCCCAAGTGCCTAAATTGCCGAAAAAAATCTCTTTGGATCCTCACCCTGCTAATCTCGCAGCGCAAACCACAGGTGACGTGCATCTTTTCCACTGTACACCTTGTTAGCAGTCTTCAACCTTCTACTAAAGGCAACGGGTTTAGTGCTGATGTCATGCATGATATTATTGAAAGCAAATCTATGGGTATTCTTTGAACTCCAAAGATAGTCTCCAAAAAACGGAGCGAAATGTTAAGGGTACTACGAGTTTGATATGTGTGTAAGCTGGAGAGCGGCTGCGCAATATATAATTCTTGCAGATAGTAGCCGTAAAGGTAAACGGATACTATTTTCATGTTCACGTGTACGTGTACCATAGTGATAGCAGACAAGTTGGTACCTCTAACAAAAAAGTTGAAAAACGAGAGAAAGGGAAAAGAAAGACGACAAGGGAAAGAAAAGGGAAAAAGGAAGAGTTGATTAAAGGCGTACAGAAACGCATAACCTCTGCATAACATCCGCGAAGCTGCACAAGTAATACCGCTGACTAAGCCACATAAATAACCCGCATAACGTCACACAACTCCCAACTCCGCAACCATTCCACCTTCGACAAGCAACAAAACCTTCCAATCCAACTCCCCCCCCCCCTCTTCCTCCCCTGAACCGAAAACCACAGCAAAAGAAAAAAGAGGGGAAAAAATGGTCCTCGAAACTCCCCAAACAGACCCAATCCCGGCAACAGGCGCAGAACCAACAAACCAAACCGACGACGCCCCTTCCGCAAAATACCGCTACCACTCCCTCTACATCAAGCGTGACCTAATCGTCAACCCCGATCCCTTCACCCTATACTTCGGCTTCTTCGGGCGCTGGAACTATGACCGAAAGGTAACAACGAACATACTCCGCCGGGTCGAAAATGCACGAGTCCTGATCCAACGTCTCCCCACACAAGACGAACTAGACGCGATGGTGACGCACAGCAGTCGCAGTGTGTATCAGGAGCGGATGGGAGCGCCGCTGGGCTTTTTCGGCGGGTCAGCACAGCTGTTCATGCAGGCGCGGAAGTCGGAGGTGGTTACAAGTTATTTTCCGAAGCTGAGCGGAGAGGGGAAGATGCCCAGTCTGGCGGAGATTACTTCGGCGGCGCGGAGGTTTGTTGCTGCTGAGCCGATGGTTGCAAGACGGGCTGCCTTTGTGACGGGGTTCAAGTTGTTGTTTTGGAGTGTGGCTGGGGCGACGTTTTCGAGTATGTATGCGGTGTATCGGGAGACAAGGAATACCGTCGATGATCCACGATTGAAGGAGTTTTTGGACGATCTGAGGAAACAGAAGCCCGAGGACGTGAGGAAGAGGCAGATGGAATCGAGGGGTAGGAGGTCGGTGGCCGAGCATCACGGTGTTGTTGAGACAGATCAGGGCGATGATTTTGGCTCTGAGTACTCTGGTGGAGACGTCCAGTCTGCGCAGGCCTCTGTTCCAGATCGTCGACCTGTATTAGAGCCCTTCGGTGGGACCGGTGGCCTGAGTGCAGACCAGAGCCGGGGAGGAGACTTCTTCGATGATGATGATGCCAGCCCTACGGCGCCCGAGTATAGAGCGAACAGGGGCTCTCTCGGTGGTTATTCGCAGGGAAGCGCCTGGGAACGGATTAGACAACAAAATGCCCCCTCCGTGCCCATTCAACCCAGTCATCAGGACCCATCCAGTCAGCAGTCACCACAGTGGGACTCTTGGAACTCCATCTCGGACAATGACAAGCAGCGGGAGAGGGATCAAGCTCGGGCTGACTTCGAACGCTTGTTAGACAGAGAAAGGAACATTGGACAAGAGTCCGCGGGTGAAGTGCAGAGAAGAGGTTGGGGAAAGTGGGATTGATTGTTACCCAGTGGACTGATACAATGTACTATATTACACTTGACTAAGCCATTCAAGAGACTCGGAGTCTCCGCTGTGAGCGTGTTTTATGTATATTAGCCGCACGTGGCGCATATTTGCATTATTCATGAATCTCATATTATCATCCAGCTCGATTATCACTAATAATGGATAGACAGCTAAGGAAAATAACGCACTTTGAGACTGATGGGAAGCCTGCTTATGATGTACTAGCAGGCTATCACCTCAATCCCAGATCCCAGGAAACTTTTCCTGTCCTTGCGGACCCGATCTGAAGAAGCATAATACGCGGGGTTAATAAACGATCCAAGAAGATTAGACAAGTTCAGACGCCCATGAGACACGGGTCTGCTATCCTATCAGGAAGGGTATATATCCAACAAACTCATAAACGTCCATCACTGGCTCATAACGGGGCTGAATTGGAAATTAGAGGAAAATGGAAACCAAAAGGAAATGTCGTTAGTCATGAGAGACCAATAAGTAGACCACGTCTAGCAAATTGGGAAAAAGAAAGCAAATGCGAAAAAGAACATTAAGCAAACGCACACATAAGAAACCAATGGAAGATAAAAGAGAACATATCAAGGTCGACGAACTGTCAGGTTTCACTAGATGCGGCCTTCTGCCACGGGTATACTTTCGTATGGAAAATGCGACTCAGCCCAACTATCGGGTCCTCGATTAACACTACCCATACGAGCAAGATGGCGAATCTTACTGGAGAAGCTTTCGTTCACGCTTTTGCCGCGTCGATGTTCGAATGACATCCGGCGGCGATCCAGGGTCGGTCGCATCTCCATGCTCAGAGTGGGCGCAGCTGTCATTGCCCGGGGAAGCAGCTTTCCCGTGTTTTCATTGTCAATAACAATGTCTATAGTCCCGGACGACTCGCGCGGTGACGCACAATCCATCACAGGGACAGGCGGTGGCGGTGGTGGGAGAGCATTCAAGTGTTGTAGCTCTGGTAAAATAGGAGGGGTTTCATATTGTCTCAGTTCCATCGTGTTCTCGATTCCTTCTTCGATGCTGATACTCACTGGAGAGCCTCCATAGCTGTACCCACCCTGTTCCCGTGAACTGTCACGTTGGTGGCCCGTGTTTCGCGTTCTGCTGGATGAGCGGCTTCTCGGAAGATGCGGGTTGAATCGTGGATGCATTGGCAGATCAGAGGGCACTGTTCCAGGCTGTTGCATGTCAGGCACCGGAACTGACATGGAGCGACCAATTCTCTCAGCATCAGCTTGATACCTGGCATCACTAAGGAGAACGACGCAGTCTGGAATGTTCGGAGCGGATGGAGTAGTCTCCTGGGGACCGTTATACTTGGGGTGCCGCATAGCCCTAGGGGTTGCGCCCAAACCAGACGGCCCGGAGAGGGATGAGTTAGAGTCCGAACTGCTTGGGTACTCTGGGGATGCCTTGCTCGATGAAACTCTCCGCCGGCCTGGCGTGCGTGGGCCAAAGGAACTCACTGAAAATGGAGGACTTTCCGGAACGTTCCGACTATATTGCAGATCTCCCGGGAAGGGAATGTTGGGCGCAGATGGATTGCGCGCAAGGGAAAGTCGTCGTGCCTCTAGTTCCGCCGCTGCGAGCTCTTTCCTTCTCTGTTCTGACAATCCGAACTGGGGTACGGCTGGAGGCACAGTGGCGGAGTGCATGGCGCGATTCTCTTCGGTCAAGACATCATGGTTGTCGTGGGGTGGAATCTCGACAACAAGGCCTCGCGAATTGTTATTGATACCCACATCGCTCTGGTCATTTACCGTGTCCGGCTTGGGTTCGGGATCATGACGACTACAGGATCTTGCCCTTGGGTCTGCTTTACCTTTGTCCGGGCGTCGGCTGCTACTTCGGTGCTGAGATCTCCTCTCCCTATCACTGGCTACCAGCCTGAATGCATCGTCCGTAGTAGACGTGGGTAATGGAGGAGAAGGAGATCTAGTGTGTGATCCTTTTCGATCAGCACTGCGGCCACGCTCGTGTTTCTCGGCGCCAACCCGACTAGTTGTATGGCGACTGGATGAACGGTTCTTTCGGCGTTCGGATGAGTTCCGAGAACGCGGCTTCCTAACCCTGCTTGCGCTTCGGGTCTTCGAACGGTGTTTAGCCCGGCGAGAATCCTCGTGGTCCCCATGGGCATTGTTGTAACGAGCTATTTCTTCATGAGTCATAGGGACTGGTGAAGAGGGGGATCGCTTGGCAGGTGGAATGTGTCTTTTTTCATGTCGCCCACGCGTGTCCTGGGATGTGTTCCCAGAGTGCTGTCGCTTTGCCGAACTCTGGCTGGGCATTTCATCCATATTCCGTCTTCCGCCATTAGAGCGATAGTTGTGATATTTCTTCGCATGGTAACTCGCCTCATCAAGACTACTGATATATTGATCAATACTCCGCCCACTCACACTAGGGCTTTTGGCAGAGCTGAAACTGTTTAACGTCGAGGTCGGGCTTCTAAAGTCACCCATATCCGACTGGTCTGCTGCATCGGTACCAGAGTATTCAACAGGTTGCAAATGAAGCTGTAGCCCGCCAGGTTTCCGATCCTTAGTTTCATTACGACTGTCAGATCGCTCTTTCAAAGCCTCGAAAACCCCGGCTGCCGGAGACGGCAGGCCCTTGATACCTGCAAATTTATCTGCGCTCGCCTGAACTGCTGTCTGGGGACTTGGCTTGAATGCGTCATCGGGATCATATCTCGCGGAAGGAAGTAAGCCAAGGAGCTCTTTTTTATCATCACCAGTGGGTTCTTCTTGGTCATCATTCTCCGAAGTTGACCCGTAGTCAACGAGCTTCTTGGGGCCATTGGAAGGAAAACTTGGGGGCTGCACATCAACAGGGGTTTCCCCGATCGAAGGCAAGCGACCCCTATTAATTGCTGGAGTGCCCGTGCGAGAGCTCATTGCATTGTTGAGACTGTGAATGTTGTTCAGTTTGTATGAACCAAAGCCTCCTGGAGACAATGCAGAATCGGCGACAGCAGATTCAGCAATGGGCGTAACTCCGGGCGCATTCGTGGGCGTCCGATCGTCTGATTTCAAGCCGGGGAATCGAAACTTTTGACTCGGCTGTGAGTCAAATGACGTGATGAGCTTGAGTGCTGGAGTTTTAGCTTGTCGGCTATTGAGAGGAGCCTTTGTTTGTGAGCTGGGAGGTAACAGGCCTGCAGGATTGGAATAAGGAGGCTCTGGGGACGGTATTGGTGACTTCCTTGACATCATTTCGGCAAAGGAGGTAGCCTGTTGTGCAGCTGGAGAAGTCCAAGGCTCAGAAGGCTCTACACCTGTACACATGAAGCAGCGGATTGCTAACTGCTGCTGGGAGTGAGAAACCACATGCTCTCCCCAACGCCGGACAAGATATGATTGGCGTTGCCAATCTGTGGGCGTCACCAGACACGCCATCAAGATGGCTTCCATGTAGTAGCTCTGGGAGACGTAAACCTCGATCGCGTCATTCTTATCACCGAGTCCGAGTAGAATAGTAGCTGCAGTATGCACGTCGCCAATCTCCAGAAGCTTCTGAACAAAGGCTTGTCCAACCTTATTTGCCTGTGATTCACCACTCATCTGGCTGAAAGCAAGTAGCATCCAATCTGCCATCGAAGCAGACCCGGAACTAAGCATTGACACCATTTGGTCCGTATCCGACTCCCCAAGCCACTGCGCTAGTAGAATGGCGCTCTGAGTACCCGGGTTGTGGCGACTTACTGTGATCGAAATTAGTCAGGCCTTCCAGGCAAAAAAAAAAAAGGAAGGTCAGACATACGCTCATCGTTAATCAGCCCGTCAATATCGTCATCCCAGCCAAAGACTACACTCAACATTTGGCGACGGAGATCATCTGGCGTCAGATGTGACTCATCCAAGGGCTGCTGGCGGCTATATGGCACATCGTTGAGTCGCTCACGTGTGATAGGAAACAGGTCTATCAGCTTCTCCGCCGGGCTCGGATAGACTTCGTTCCGCAAGCGAGAACCAGCACGGGAGCTTTTCACGGATGACATAGAGACCGAAGAGGCATACGCATAAGATGCTCCAGATGCCTGAGGGGTCTCCCTTCCACTAGCCGAGGTCAGGGAGAAGGATGTGGCAGTGTGGCCAGATCTACTCGGGGGTGAAAATGGTGTCACTCTGTACTTTCCTGAGGAGGCCTTTGAACTCACGGAGTTTGCATGGCTTCGCGAGACAGGGCTGGCCAGCTCAGCACGCTGTTGCCGTACAACCTCGATGCCACTTGGATCAAATGGGGCTCGTCTGGTGCCGAACATAGCACCGGATTCCTTCATATCTGGTGGGTCTTGCAATGTGCGTGCAGATGCACTACGGGCTTTGACATCTCCTGATGTTGATACCGCTCCGCCGGGAAGATGCTGTACATTGGCGACTAGCCCCGGATTTTCAAGGTCATACTGCTGTACAGTATTATGAGGGCCCAATGTAAATAGGGTGGCAGTTGGTCCATAATTGGCAAAACCACGAGGGCTATCGATCGTCGGAACTGGTTCCGAAGTAATATGTTTAGTCCGGACATCCCAGGCCCACGTCTCCCTAAATACAGCGCTTAATTTCCAGCTCCACCGATTTTGCAGGATGGATGTATTATCTTACCCTTCGAGATACTGTACAATTCTCCCATTCTTAGACCATGCCATCCACTTTGGTTCAGAGGATGGGGATGTATCAGATCTTTTGAGAACCCTGATCACCCGCGGCGCGTCTTTACCAGCTGGCTTCGCTACGCTCCATACTCTGAGGTCACCATTGGCAGATAGAGTAGCTAGCATATCCGACTTCTGTTTCGATGATGATGCATGCCATGCAAGTGAAACAATTCGCGACGGCCCACGTGACGTGGTCATGGTATGTAAGATACTAAATGTGGGGTGGAGCGTGGCTATCAAAATTGATCCATTCTGGTACCTGTGCCACTGTCAGTAGGATTCCGATCCCAGCTCGCAATGCTTTGAAAGGACGAGGCGACACATAGATGCATACCCAATGGCGTATGTTCGGCAGTCCGAGGACGGCGCCAGAGCTGTGATAGGATCGAAAATAGTGCGGCAAGAGATGTGCTCCGAAGTCGACGGTTCGAATAGGATTACATCACCCTTGTCATTCCCTACAGCGACGTTAGTACCACGACCGATCACAGCACGGAACCGGGTAGATGTACCAAATGCCACATTTCCGTTGCGCATCCAAGCGGCCACATTGAGCTGCTCGAAGGATGCGAACCTTGCAATCACAGAGCCCGTAAAGAGATCCCAGACAACTGCTGTCTTGCCAACATCATAGCTCACGACTAGCCTTCCTGCGCCCCGCTCGCTGACATTGTCCACTGATATAAAGCCAACATCATCTGTATGGTTTTCGAAACGTCGCTCGACAGCCAAAGTATCGTGGTGAAGACATACAACGGCAGAGCCTTCGGCATATAGGAATAGGGAAGCGGTTGAGGCACATGCCACGAAGGTCGATTCAGGTTCGCGGTTCCGTGGTGTGATCGGCGGCGCCAATGGCTTCATTCTCGTGGGTCGTGAATCCGGAACCGCGGCTGCACTCCATGACAATTCGACCATGCTTCCGGTTTCACCGGTGCTGAATAGAGTGCAATTTTTCAAATGCTTTGATGACTCGTATCCAGCAATATTGATTTGTATTCAAATACAAATTTGGCCGGCTCTCGCTCACGAATGGTACTGAGTATCCCGGATGACCTTTGCTAATTGAAGTTCGAGCTCCCAGTAACGGTGCGAGATTTAGTAGTCTGTGTGTATATCGGTAGTACTGCGGCACAAACAACGCAACTACCTCGTCTCTGCTTTGAACTAGCCGCAACAATAACTGTTTTCACAGTTACAAGTGCCTAAAGCGAGGACAGCACACAGTCCACCGGAGCAACAACAAACGGCCGACTGAAGACATAAGCGGAACAGCGGTTGAACTGTGTAAAAGAAGGCCCGACAGGACCCGAGCAGCGGTCAGCGATGACGGAGGGGCGTGCGAGATTATGAATATGGAAACGGCACGGTACACAGAAAAAAACTGCCAATTTGGGCCAACAAGCGAGATGCACAAATATGCAGGTGAAGAACAAACGGGGATGCAGCAGATAGACTAGGGAGACCTCGCACTAACCGGAATCCCACGTTGTGGCATATGGAAAGGAGGGGAAGGGATTAGGAAGGGAACTAGAGCGGAGGCGGGGAGGGGGTATGAATAAGGAGATCATCGGGCAGACAGGGGAGATATTAATTCTGGGTCAAAGATATCTCAGCCAGTAGATACTCTGCTCGAGCTCGCATGATTCTCCTAGATAGCGCCAACCTCCCTATCTAGTCCATGGCGATCGTCTTCTGTGCAGACCACACACAGACGCAGGAAATCTGAGACGTCTCGCGAGGCGATGGCGACGGACGATCAAAATCTCCAGCCACCAAGCAATTGGAGCTCACGCCAAGGTGGGTTGACAGGCGCTTCCAGAGACAGGGATGTCATCCACCGTGCAGGGGAGAGCCGACCAAGGATCTGATTAGCAGGAGACGATTGATAGGGCCCATCAATAGCTCTGACGCACGGCGAACCAACGAGCTTGCAGGACGGAAGTCTGATATTGACATTGGACGACTTTGGTAGTCGACTTTCCCACACATGGCTGGGAGCTCTGGATAAAAGTTTAGGCCGATCGGAACTAGGTACATTAGTATCTCATTCGAATACCAGTTAGTGATCACGATAATGCCCCATCCCATCGAGTAAATCGACACCGAGGAAGGTTTGGGGCTAATTGGGACGGCAGCGAGGTGACGGCCAATTGACAGTGGCAGGATTCACTGCGCGGGAAATGGGCTCTCAAACTAGATGTGTTAGTGGTACTACTTTAGTGCATAGTGTGAATCGTATTAATAGATAGGGAAGCGCATTTGCATGAATAGGCAGATACTTTGTTAGTAGTTGGTGGTAGTACGAGGATGGGACAAAGCGGGGAGGGAAAAAGAGAGAGCGGCAAGTCGATAGTCAAGGTAAGGTGACTGACCGGCCTCAGGTTGCCATTGATTGGTCAAGGGAGGTGCAGAGGGCGTTTCTTCACGCTGCAGCCCTCATCACCTCCGCTCGCCAATCACCGCCCGTAGCGCCCTCCTCAAGTGACCTCCTCGGCGCGTAAATCTGTGCTATTCTGGAGAATAAATGCTCCTCAGTGGATCAGCACTCGGCCTTGTCTGTCAACAGGAGGAACAAAAATTTTCTCGAAGGATTGCTAAGATTGGTGCTCATTTTTTCAACGGGCAATTGCGGAAGCGTCAAACCAGATCGTCCAAGAGCCACAATACCAGCTAGTACATTGTGGTGGCACCGGACACAGAGCCTCTTGGAAGTACCGGACAAATCCACCGATTCTCTGTCAAGTATTGGGCGGGAGAATAGAAAAAGGGAGCTGTGTTACAGATCGGTCTCCCAATTTCCTCCTGGGAAGGTTGATTGGATGGCTTGCCGCACTCTAGGGCAATGACAGCAGGGTAAGTTTCATAATTAAGCACATGGAGGATTCCAATAAACATCAATTCTGCATTCAAGCTCTGGGTACCCTGTCCGCTGAATACGCTGTCACTGTGATTGTGATACAATCAGGCATGAAAGCCAACCATGTAGGACGGGCTATTCCCGCAGTGATCCGCATGAACCGAGCAATCCATTCTGAACAATGGCAATGCTGAAGTGAAAGGGACAGTAAAACAGCAAGAGAATATTTAGTGCGCCGCTGCCGGTATTACGCATGCTAAATTTACCCCTCAAGGTGATCTGATTTCGGATGCAATGTGATGTGATAGACCAACGGCCTTGTGACGGCGGCGTGCTTCATTTCACTCCTGCGAGCAACAATCACGGTGTTGGAGCGGAAGGTTAGGGAGAATAGGGTAATGTGATATGACACAGGAGGATTGACGATTCGTATCCACTACGTACGAACCACTGGAGCTCCTGGTACTTTTCACCTCGAGTCTTCCGATGGAAGTTTAAGCTGGTCTCACTTTCACAAATCGGGAATGGCAACAACCCTAATAAATTGGAAATCCCCGAAGCTCTATCTGAGCAACTGGGGTCTGGGCCTTGACCGCTACCTCGTGTTAATATTGGGAGGATCACTCTTGAGTGGGAAAGCCGTGGTTGAAGATTCTATAAATTGGACAACTCGTAACGTATTACGTTAGGCTGGTAGAGCGCCACGGGCTCTTTGGCCTCTAGTCACAATCCGATCTCTGCATTTAGGAGCATCTTCAGATTCAGGCCGTACGACTGAGCTGCTCTCTGTATGGTAATCGTCGATGTTGAATTGCTCACCTTTTATACGAGAATTGTAATCTTACCCGCATATTAACGCTTTTAACGTCATTTCTGGCGTCTACACCTAGGCGAATATATCGCATGTTCAATTGGCAGGAAGGAGACCTTTCTCACCTATTTATATAACATGCCCCTTTTGTCTCGATACTAGACTCCCTTAATCTTTTATCATCCATGATCCATCATGCAATACCTGACACTGTGTTGGATTCCAGTGATGGCGTAGCTCACCGGCCTAAGCAAGTAAGCCGAACCTCCCATGCTCAACACCATCTAGTGTAGTATCATATTCCACATATTGAATAGGACATACATGCAGTATTGAAGTTCCCAAGCCCGTGAAGCTCGCATGGACGCCTGGGCCCAGATTCACTAGACCTTCCCAGAGGGTATAACTGTCCTGCCAGCCCTGACTCATGTTTTGTTTTCTCCTTCTATTCTCATCTTCGTTCCTCTCGTTCACCAATCATCACCCCATCACCTTTTTGGTCCACTTCATCTGTGTCAACTGTCCTCACCCCACCAGACAAGGTTGGCCCAGTGGCAACTAATCAAGAGCATGGTACTAGTTGGTCGCAGTCCCCGAAAGCCCGAACGTCTCTGTCGCTTATATCGCCTATTTCAGCATGCTTCGGCTTGCCTCAAAGCTGTAACACATGCTAGGAGCATTATTACTGGAATGGAAAGCCTAGGGGAAATATTACTGTTGCTACAAGGAAGATCTATACTGCCTCGAGAAAGCTTAATCTCAGTGAAGTGGAAACTTTATTCAAGCTGCACCGAGGCACATGTATAAATGCACACTGAGCTTTGATCAGCAGAATATGAATACTAATTTGCATAGTAACCCATTCTGGATACATTGGTCGAATTAAGCTTACACGCATGGTACGCTCAACATAGGCAAGGCCTTGGAGGCTTTCGATACGGCCTTTCGCAAGCCAAACTCAAACAAAGCACTGTCACTCATAGAACGAACACCGTCCTCTTGCTCACCTTAGATCAAGTGCGTGGCGACCTCCAGACTAAGATATCCTAGTGATAAGAAATAAATATGGCTCCCCTCTGGTACATTCGACGTAGGTGCTGGTTACTAGGTTTGTATACGGAGCTGACGATTGTTGTCTATAACAAAAGGGTCCAAACCCACTTGAAAACTTCTCATAATAGCGGATGGGAGAAGGTGCACCCATGTTGAGTCTGCAGTTATCCCATGGGTTACCCTCAAATCTCATGCAGGTAATCCACAACAGGTAACAAACGGGTTATGGCGAGACCTAAATATTTTTTCCTCGTAGCTGATTGCAGAAGTATTCGGCATCGCGAGATGGATCTGACATGACCCTCCCATCCTCATGCGGAAGATGGAAATTGAAACTCATGGACTCACTCTTATTTTCCTTACTAAAATGTTCGATGCCAATGAGCCCCCCGTCATTGGACTTAGTAAAGAGGCCTAAGCTCTTCCCCGTTAAACAGCTAACAACACCTACCTCAACCTCATCCCAGGACAGATAGGACCGCGTTTCTTCTGAAGTCCCGGTGTCTGGAAAGTTTGAGATCTTTGGAACACAGAGGATACGAGGTTCAAATTCGCTCCTATCAGAGGCAATAGAATTCTAAGCTTCCAAAAGGTTCTTTCCCCAAAAGGCGAAAAACGGGGTTTGAAATTCCATCTCCTTTAGACTGCCCGGGAAACAGGGGCTCTCAACCAAACGACAAGACAGCTGCCCAACAGAAACACCAGTGCCAGATCTCTATACTTTCTCCAACCTCTTACAAAGTATAGAATGGAAGGATAGCTCAACTGAGATCTGAATGCGAGGCTCGCTGACCTTACCCGCTACTTTACGCCTTGAGCACTTCAAAATTACACCTATATTTGTCATTGTTTGAATGATGTATGCCTTTGGGGTTTGAGTGTACGCAGGAAGGATCTACAGAACCTTCACAACAGAAGAAATATGGAGTTACAGTGGGAAGTCCATACCATAAGGTCCAATAGACACACAGCCAGCCCCGGTTGCGTTTAGGTTTGATATTCCCCAAATTATCTTCGACAACCTACCACCTACTCAGTACAGGACGCTCAATTTCCTTCTTATAAAGTGAGACACTTGAAGTCATTCCAACCTTAAAATTGGGTCAAAAATAATTAAATTAAAATTTAGAAAAGCAAAAAAGTTGAAATTGGTGGGTTAGTATAATAATAAAGCTGGTAAAAGGAAATATCAAAATTAAAAGAAATTAAAAGGATGGTGCATTGTATTCACGCCTCGATTGGGCTTAGGACACAGGCACAAGGACTATCATCGAAAGTAAATAACAACGGCATACTTATTTCTACTTTATTTATCATCCACTGTAAAACTATGCTACTCGAGACATAAATAGAGGAGCAAGATGGCGAAGAGAATCAAAGCTCGAGCTGTTAGGGCACAGTCAAGTTCTATCGTGTCTAGATATGACATATTTCACTAGAGGTCTCGTTAACTGGATAACTAATATTGCCACACTCACTTTCCGATGAACATTGTGATACGTTAAGTATGCCGAAAATCCTAGGAAAGTTTAAATATCAAATTGTACAAAACAAGTCGTCCAGAGTGAAGGAGATGGATGGCTCTATCGTACGGTTGGGCGACGAAAAACTATATAAGAAGTGTATGTGCGCTTCTTACCTTTTCGAGGACATCCACGACTCTTCTTAACGGAACCCTTTGGGGCTAGGCTGTGATTTCAAAATTTCAGAAATCCAAGAAAGCAAGAGAATAATCAAGAACTATTAAGGCGCAACCTAAATTTGCAAGATAACTGAAGCCAACAACAATGGGAGTGATGGGTGTAAAGCAAAAAACTGAAGGTCGCGTTTGCACCTCAAATCTTCCCAAAGAAGGTAATCCTCTCCTTTTCTAACCTCCATCCTCGCCCGAACTCCCTTTTGTAATAAAAAGAGTTGAAATTATATATGTATTTCGGAACAAGAATGGTATCTCACATATTTCCAGGCGCAATCCAAGTCCGTGTGCACGATCTAAACGGCTGCGCCGCCTTGCTGAATGTGTTTCAGAAGCACGGCCATAACGAGATCGATATTGTTCGCATCTACGGCGGCGGCTCGACAGAAGGGTGCCTCAGCCAGCTGAAATGTCAGGAACGCGGCCTTGTCATGGGAACAAAGATTATTCCGCTCCAAAGAGGGCCATTCTCGTACTCGTGTAAGAAAGACGACGTCAAATCCGGCCTCATATTGAGGTTGAAGGCATTGCAAACCGACCAAGTTGACCTGTGGTTCCTGCATCTACCGGACTACAAAACGCCATACGAGGAAACCATAGAGGCCGTGAACGAGCTATACCAGGCGGGCTACTTCAAGCGCTTTAGGATCAGCTGCTACATGGCCTGGGAACTGGCGCAAATCTGTGAACTGTGCGAGCGAAATAGATGGAAGAAGCCCGACGTCTACTCGGGGTTGTATAACCCGATTCAGTGCGCCGTCAAGCCGAAGCTTTTCCCATGTCTTCGACACTGTGGCATCGCTTTCTACATGTTCCGTCCGTTAGGGAAAGGGTTGCTTACAGATAACGCCCAGCGGGGGGTAACGACACACAGTCAGGCTGACCCAAAGACCAAGGTTGACCTGAAAGTCACCGGGTGATATTTCATGCAACTCTAGGAACCACAACTCACATCCTCTAAAATTGCGGCCCAGTAGGTGCTGCCAATGTAGACAGTATGGTCATCGGTGAGGATTTGTTTCCCCACATTGTCCGCTACATGACCGTCCTGAGGAATAGGCTGTGATGCAGATTCGCCAAAAGGCTCGGGTGATGATGCTAGAAAACCGACGCCTGGTGGGAGCTCTGTTCCATAGCCCTCATTTGGTCTCTCATATGGGTCACAAGTTTCTCAAGGCGAGCAACTCTCTGACAGGCCTGCTGGATTCTGGCATGTAGCCTATAATCAGCGGCAGCTTTACGCTCTTTCTCCGAGGAGCTGTATGTGCACTCTTCCGGCTTGCCACGACTTAAGCAAGAGCTACATGGAGATTGTCTATCGCAACGCAGTCTAAAAGAGTCTCGGCACGTTGAGTCTTGACTTAGTCTAAGTGATCACCACAGAAGTGACTGACTCACTTGCGTCCTCTGCAGAAATGACGGCTCAAAACGGGCTTATCGCTTCTCCTGCCGTTAGATGCTGATTGTGATATCATGTTGTACGGTCCACTCCGTAAGGAGGCCACCACGGTGGGGTGCTCTGGCAACTCCGCGCAGTTGATTTTGTTACAATGGCAGAGAAAAAAGCAAGAACGCAATCAAAAATGTACAATAATGGGAGATGATGGTAAGGATACAATGTAGAATAATACAGCACTTGACTAGGCTGATATTGGACGTTGGCATCTAGTACCTGTGAGGTTCCTGGAGGGTGTCAAAATATATGGCTCAATGTATCTAATAATAGGGGTCTAAGGGTCTGTTCGCTATTGTGCTTGAGAGTACTGAGTAAAAAGAACAAAAGAATTCGAAGGATGCAAAATGTTTCCCTTTGGAGAATGTCTCTGGTGTGCAGTCATGTGCGGTGTTGCCAAGTCTCGAAGGGGGAGTTAGTTGCCTGAGTCCTCAATCTGTGGCTGCCTGATTCAATCTTTACCCCTGAGGGACAAAAGCTTATTATTTAATCTCGACTTGGATCCACTTCTCAGTAACAAAAACCGGAAGTCGGATGCGCGGGATACTTCATCGCGAGCTGTCAATTGCGTTGGCTTTTCATCCAAAAAAAGAAACAAAAAACCACTCATTCCACATGGCGATGGCCTCCTATTCTCCGCGCGAAACCGATAGGTTACTGGGGGGTCACAATAATGCCGCTATTCCACCACGCGAATCTCAGTACAACAGGCTTATCAATCATTTGACCTTGGATATTGATCCAACTCATGGTGATTTTATCCTCTTGTTCTGCTACGTGATTACTGGCCTCTTAGACAGTTCAGCCGTCTTCGTCTGGGGCTCTTTCGTCAGCATGCAAACAGGCAACACCGTCTACTTAGGACTCGGTCTCATGGGGGTCGATGAGAGCACACGCTGGATCAGGGCATTTATCTCAATTGCCAGCTTCTGTGTGGGATCGCTCTGCTTTTCCTCTTTTTATCGGTCGTTCTCTTCCCGCAGGCGTTGGGTGCTATGTGCTTCCTTTACTATTCAGATGCTCTGCGTCGCAGCGGCTGCCACAATCGTGACCATTCACCAAACCTCTCGAGACTCCCCATTAACCTGGAAAGTTGTTGTGCCATTGATATTAGTGGCATTTCAAAGTAGTGGCCAGGCAGTCACTAGTCGCGTGCTGCAGTTCAATGGTCTAACCAGTGTGGTGTTAACAAGTGTTTACTGTGACTTATTCTCCAATTCGGTACTTCCCCCTTTTTCGATGCTGTATGCGGTCGAAGAGAGACGACGTGGCGGGGCAGTGGTCTGCTTACTATTGGGGACGATGCTGGGGGGCTTGTGGGCCAAGAGTTCGGTTGGCTTGATGGGGGCCTTCTGGACGGCGGTTTTTTGCAAGGCTTGTATTGCTGCTGCCTGGTTGGTATGGCGGGGACAGCCGATGGAAGGCATGGGGGTTGAAGGGGAGAACGAATGATATTCGGTCTATTAGATGGTGCAGGAACGATTGCCCAGAGCATAGCCTATCATATCGCATGCCCCCGATGCAATTACCACTCAGCCCTACTGTAGGGCTGAGCCGGGCCCTCTTGGACTCCACTCAAAGGATTCCCCTGCGTAAATAATTTTGAGAATTACCACCTCTTATATAATTAGCATAAACCAAGTAGGCAGAAATCAAAATTAACACATTTACTAACCACCAGGATGAAGCAGCTTGCTCTCCTTCAAACGCTAACAGCGAAACTTCTGTGCGCCGTATTCTCGTTTGGCCTCATGGGAATGGCCCGAGGTAAGCTATATAGATCGACGCTATACGAATACTACTTGACAATATGCAGGGTTAGACGAGGGCCTTATCTCAACAACAGTGGCCCAACCATCCTTCATCCAGGAGTTTCACCTTCAGGATCCCGGCCTCAGTGCATCGGAACAGGCCAACCGGCTTTCCAATATAACTTCCATGGTTCACATCGGCAGCTTTCCCGGGGCATTGTTCGCTTTCTTGTTGTGCGAGCACATAGGGTTGCTCTGGACAATGCGCCAGCTCTGCGTTGTGTGGATAGCCGGCGTCGTAATCTTTATTACAGCAGCTGGCAACATTAGCCAAGTCTACGCTGGCCGTTTCATCATGGGGTTAGGAATTGGACAAGCTGGGGTCGCCGTCCCCATCTATCTCTCCGAAGTAGCCAAACCCTCACTGCGCGGACTCCTAGTCTGCACATTTGCTACTTCCGAGTATCTGGGGATTATGGTCGGGGTTAGCATTCTGTCCACCACCCTAGTCTGTGAACGCTACGAAGCTGATAGGATTCGATTTAGTACTTTTCAAGCTGGGGAACTACCATTCACATTCCCAACACCAGCTCGAAGCAGTGGATTATTCCCCAGTCGATTCAAATTATGGTTGCCGGAATCCTCCTGTTTGCATCGTTCGCATGCGAGGAGAGTCCGCGACATCTTTGTAAAGTTGGACGCTTTGCCGACAGCACCCGATCTTTGAGCCGGCTGTGGAATCTGCCCACAGATGATCCCCGCATTCAGAAAGAAATCGAATGTATTCGTAGTCAAATGGGGGGCGACCCAGCTGAGACAAACCTCCAACGCTGGTGCAAGGCCCTCAAACAACTCGCTACTGACAAATCTAATATATCACGATTAGTATTTCTGCTAATCACTCAGCTTCTGAGTCAGTGGTCGGGTTCCAATGCTATTACCAGTAAGTGTTTCATGACCTGGAGACAAGGCGAAATTCTCATGATCTGTAGCCTACACCCCGGAGCTCTTCGCCCTTCTTGGGGTGACGGGCCAATCCCAGAAACTCCTACGCACCGCCATCTTGGGTGCCATTAAGTTCGCCGCCTCACTCATTTGCACCGTGTTTCTGATTGACTACGCAGGAAGAAAGCGACCCTTAATCACAGGCATTCTTATCCAATTTCTGGCTATGTTATACATTGCCATTTATCTTACTGTCACATCTCCATCCACCCGTGCCATTCACTCCAAGACAGAACATGATGCAGGCATGGTCGCCATCGTCTGTCTTTATCTCACTGGCGTCGGCTGGGCCTTGGGATGGAATTCGATTCAGTACCTGATCAATGCGGAGATATTCCCTCTATCTGTACGAACAGTCGGATCTAGCGTACTCATGTGTTTTCACTATGCCAACCGATATGGCCTGTCTAAGGTATGGTATCTCAGCTGTTAGAGCGCCTGGTGGGGCAACCCAGCTAACGTGACCATAGGCAACTCCTTCTATGTTGCTGGAACATAGTCTTCGCCCAGAGGGGACGTTTTGGTTTTTTGCAGCACTTGCTCTATTGGGCTTATTCTGGGTTTGGGTACGACTACCCGAGACTGCCAGGCGAAATCTTGAAGAGGCGAACACATTGGTTTCGTGAGTTGCTAATATAGCACAATCGACTATATTTAACTGGCACATTGACTTTTTTGGCCTTTGACTCGTTCCATATATTTTATTGACTCATACCTTCTCCCTGACTCATTCCCCTTTCCATCTTCCCTACCCCGCTTCTTTATTTGCCTCTTATTTTCAGGGGCCAAAAATACTGCTAGGATATGCAATCGGGAGAGACTTATTTAGGCTTCCTGTGAAACGGATCTCATCTTGAGAGCTGCCACGGAGAATGCTCTTCAATATTGCGTTCTCTGCACAGTTCGACAGAACTTAGCAAAGGGCAGTTTATGATGTCTCCGCTATCTTTATTTCCAGTTAAACCTCCTGTTTATGTTTCGCGCAGATTCGCCGCTCTGGAGATTCTCTAGCACGAGTACTTGTTCAGGACGCAAACGCTCTAGTATCCACCGAGAACCCGGCAGAAAGGTCTTCGGTGCCTAACAGCCTGTATAGTCCAAGGCTATGAAAGTAGACCTTCCATTCACATTGATACACTCATTTCCACGACTACGTTCTACATCTCATAATCGAGAACCTCACATCACCTCCGATGGAAATTTTCCAATATATTATCAATCGTGTGGACCAAGAGTCACTGAAGGCGCTACGGCAGGTATGTCGACTATTGATCTCTAAGCGACATCGGTAAAAATCGGCTCTTTGAGTCGATAACCCTTTGTGCAATGCATGAAAGCTGCGACAGGCTCAAGCAATTACTTAACGATCTTGACTGCCGTCAATTGGTGATGAAGGATCATATCGAAATGAATGAGTATGAGGACGAAAGTCGCTTACTCTTTGATATCGTATGCTGAAACCGACACCTGCACAATGTTTCGACTACGATACATACCAGGATGAAACTAAGGGCTTTAACGAGGACGAGTAACTCCGCCAGTTTTTAAAACTCTTTAGTCGACTAAAAGAGCTTCCTCAACTCTGCAGTGTTGCAGTGTTGTGCTTCGTTTCCGTCCTAATGTTCTATGGACATGATGGATGCTAACTAAACACCTGAATGCCGCTCAGTTGTGATGAGCGAGTTCATGTCTGCACTCACCACACTGCCTCAGCCACCCCAGGAAGCAACTCGCCCTTCGCGAACTGCAGAGCATGTTTGAGACCGACCCAGATGGGCTGAAGAAAATAGAGAACGTGTTACCATATCTACGCCCCCTCTGACTAAACATCACCAATGAGAACAGTAAATGAAACCAGGCAGTTGACCTAAATGTTCGTATTAATCCTCCACCTGGATCTCCACAGCCTAACACTACCAATAGTTCGAAGAGATCAATTCCGTCTTTCCCGCGCTACCCTCATTTTGGCTTCAACCAAGCTGCCTAAAGTTAGAACACCTCACTATCTACTCCAGCCACTACTTCGGCTTCTACCCAAAAATCGACCTTTGAGACGTTCACTTCCCACGCCTCAAAGCCCTCGCACTCAGAAACTATACCTTCGTCCACGACTCCCAACTAGCTGGATCCTCAGCCACAACGAGACACTCACAGAACTCTACCTCGACGACTGCGCCATTCTCTTCGAAGTAGCAATCTACGACGAAGAAAGAGCCTGTCTAGACCTAATTCGTACACCTTCCACCCCAAACATGGCAAAAAGCATTACGCGTCATATGACAGGAACTGGCACCACTACTTCCACTCGTTCCAAAAAGGACTATCTCACCTCCAATATTTCCCGTACGGCCATGCGCCCTGTTGGTGGGGAGATGACGCCACGCCATTTGAGCATGAAACAGAGATTATCGTTGTATTTACGAGGAAAGTCATATGGTGTTTTGTCATGTATGGGGGCCAAGTCCGTATATGGGGCGGATAATTTATAGAGACGACAAAGATGGAGATCCTCTACTATGGATAAAGGATCAGGCGAGCTTAGAAGAGGTATTTGCGAATATTGGGCAGAAGTATGTCATGGACGACGATACAGAGAACCAGATTAATACTGCCCTTTTGAGCAGTCTTCCGCGCCAGCAACCCTTGCCATGAACGATTTTTACTTCATTTCTGTTATGTTTTCGTCCTCCCCTGCGTGTCCACGTAGTATATTCTCATGAAGACGGCTTTGGGGGTCTCATTTCTACTCGACAATGTTGGTGTCAAGGAAGAACCTTGCGGTTGACCCATGGGTCTTGAAGTGTTGGTTTGTTGCGCGAACAGTGGACATATTCACAATCAGGTTGGCTCAACTCGATCCTCGGCCAGCGAGATTGATATGTGTCACCGAACTCGTAATGCATCTCGGCGCAAGTCATTTCGAAGCCTGAGGTATTGCGATTAATGTTTAGATGCACCGTTCATCCCTGTTGATCATCCCATGGTACCGAGAGAACTCTATAGGCGCTGCAGAGATTCGATCCCTATGTGTTTCCCCTGACAGTTTCGACCAGGCCCTCAGTCACCGACACCCGAAAGTATAGCATGTACTTGGCTTGGTTACAATCAGTTGAAGGTATTTATCATACCAAGCGAACTATTTGCGACATAAAAGGTTAAAAATATGTCGATGGCTCTAGGATCTATACCTACTTGTCCGTGTATGAAGCGTATAAACGGTCCACATTCGGAATACGAGATCTCCCTCCCTTCTAGCACCATAGCCTCAAAAACCACGACTAAACACAAAAAGCACATCTCGCTCCATCAAGGATAAACCCTAAAAATCCGCCCAAAGCTACGGCTACCACATTGCGTAAGCTCCCAATCTGGTCCAACCTGCCCCATGAACCTCAACAGCTTCTACTAAAGAACACCAAACATAAGTATACAAGGGTACCCATTCCCCAAACATCACAAGACAGCCCACTTCCAGTATAACAGACGTGAACGCGTAATACAGGCAACAAACCACAAGTCCAAGTCCAACACTCCCTAAACCGATCCACACGATCCAAACTCCTAACGAACATAAATACCACGTCTCCAACCCCGACTACACCAGCAAAGCCCATTCCAAAAACATCTCACTCTCAGACAGGACCGTTCCCATAATCCAATCAATTTGATTCGCCATGAAGCTCCCATGCTCACTCCTCTTCCTGCTGCTCTGCAGTATCATCTCCGCTACACCAACCGTAACCTCCCTTGCCCAACCCAACCCTCACAAACCAAACGAACATCCCCAGAACAAGGACAAAAACGCCGACGACCTAACCTCCAAACCCACCCAGGATCCCTCCGGTGTCACACACCTAGGCCTCGACGGCATCCTCCGCCAATACGACGGCACCGGAAAAGTCACCAACTTCGACCAATTCAGCCCTGCTCGAATAAAACAGTACAACGATTGCTTCCCCGAGAAAGATCTACTTGCGAAGGCATTCCATGGCGTTGACGGCCGAAAGGTCACAGATAAAGAGCAGTGTCTCCATCCAGGAGAGCAGTACAAGCCGAAGTATGACGGTGACGACAAGTCAAAGGATGGGGACAGTGATAAGGTTAAGGACAAGAATGGTGTGCAGTCCAAGGGTTTGGGGGATGATGACAAGAAGGATGGCTGTGAGCAGAATCGGTGCAGGAAGCATGAGGAGTGTGTTACACGGGATTGTAGTAGATTCTGCGGTATGTCGGGGGCGTTGCCGTGGGGATATTGTCAGTAGATTGTTTGGTGGACATTTGTGGTTTGTGGATGGTTTTGGATTAGTTAGGTATGATGGCCACTGGTCCGTGTCTTGGGAGGGTATAGGTAGTTGGTGATATTTGTTGTTGGGGTTGAGGGCTTATGGTTGTGGGTTAGGCCTAGGCGTAAGAGTAATGATTGAATTAGTGCCTCTCTCTGAAGAGCTATTTTACCGTTCTAAGGAACTCGGACTCAATGAAATCGTATGCGTATGTCTAGATAGCACCACGAAGCCACCTATTGCAAAAAGAACACTAAGAGAGGAGGCAGTGTAGGTATATTGAATCCTCTTATAGCAGTTCAAATCGTTTCTAATACCTTGTGTATCAGCCGAAAAAGGACGTAACATTACGAAGGCCCTATCTATCTATCCATCAGATCGGAGCGATGGATAAAAAGATATTTGTCGTCCCAGGAAAGGCTCGAACTTTCAACCTCCTGATTAACAGTCAGACGCGCTAACCAATTGCGCCACTGAGACGAGGTGATGGTCTGGGTCAAAATATTCGCTTATACAAGCCAAAGCAATATGTCGAACCTTTCAGCACAACCTTGTTAGGATGTTGAATAGATATCGATATCCTCCTATACCAGACAGAGAGGAAAAAAGACATTGGGTAACTCAACAACTGTATCAGACTTTGCTGTTATTATATAAGGTTCAATAGATACATAACTTTCTTATATTTCAAGTGTAGATGTACCAATTGTTATTCCTCTTAGATTTAGAGCATAGATGCTCAGTTAGGATTATACATTGTCACATTTCCTTCGGTATAAGAGCTTATTTCCTTCTTCTTTCAGTAATCCTCTGCATTTCTTTTCCTTCTATATGAATAGATAAAAAAAATGAAACTTTATTGTCACCAATCCATGCTTTATATTCAAACTATGGATCCATGGTTTTGGCACAGTCCAATTTCCTGACCGATGTTAAATCGCTCGACATCCAGTTGAACCGTTCGAGAACCTGTTCACTATATCGTCAGAGTAGCGAACGTGATTTAGCTTGAGAATAGTAGTCTCAACAAGGTCGTGCTAGTCAAACCTGCAATGACCATGTGAGAGAGGACAGGTAGTAGAGTGCAGACAAAAAAGAGAAGTTTCTAATTTCAGTCCGGGGCTGTGGTGTAACGCTTTTTAGGTAGGCTTCACAATAATTTGAAAAGTCTGAGCTCCGAAGATAAGTATAGATATTAAAAGCACTTGGTCGCCGCTGTCTAGACGGAGTCATTCATCCCTTTGAGGATAAGACGCGCAAATTGCCGTCGGGACATTTTGTAAGACTTTGGAGACTAATATGGCATACTCCGACCTTTTGGCAGTTCTTGTTCCAATCTTGCCTCTACCTTTCCAATCCTCCGAAGCGTGGGTGTAGACAACGCTGAATGGCTTACTTGCGCGATTTCGATGGCACTTTTACATTCATCATCTTTCTCAGCGAGTAGATTTCGGTCATATCCTAACATCTCTCGAGCTATCACAACTAGAGCAGTACATGTCAAAATTAACGGCATCTTAGGGCGCCGGATTCACATTCCCCAAGGGCTCTCGAAAGCTGTTAGCGATAAGACCGAGCTCAGCCACCGAGCTCGAAACCTATGCTGACTATTAATAGGTTAGAAATCTGACACAGGAAACCCTAGACCGGGTTACATAGTCCACATTCAGACTGATTGTGTATTACCTCCTCGTTCCAAACGGTTTTGCTGATGGAGCCATCATTAATGAATCCTCAGGCATCAACCGAGCGATAAGATAAGCCCGGCAAAACATCGGCCCGATCGACATTTTCAACTCGCCAATAGACGCAAAAAGTTGACAGCAAGATCTAACCACTAACCAACTAACGATTTAATGACTATCATTTCCCTTGTCTAATCTCATTACATTCACCTATATACCCCCGTCACGCATCTCCATCAAATATCTATCCTCAAAATGGGTGTCGCAAAGAAAACGCGCAAGTTCGCCCAAGTACGTATTCCAACCGCCTTATCAACCACCCCAAACCAAATTTAACAAAAACGCCACAGGTCAAACGAGCCATCAAAAAGCACGATGACCGTACCAAGCAAAATGCAAAGGACGCGAAACCCCAGAAGCCCAAGAATGACGAGGTAGTCCGCGCGATTCCCCAAGCACCGTCGAACATGTTCTTCGCCGCCAATACAGCCCTCGGACCGCCCTACCATGTGCTGGTGGATACCAATTTTGTTTCACATTCGATCCGCGCGAAGACGGATATGTTGAAGTCGATGATGGATTTGTGAGTTGGGGATCTAGTTGCTGGCTATGTGGACAAGGACAAGGGCTGATGGTTGATACGTACGCAGGTTATATGCGAAGTGTATTCCGACATTTACGGATTGTACGATTGCAGAATTGGAGAAGCTGGGTGACAAGTTTCGGTTGGCGTTGAGGGTTGCGAAGGATCCGAGATGGGCGCGCGTGCGCTGTGATCATCCCGGTACCTATGCTGATGACTGTCTTGTAGATCGGGTGAGTGTGGTTTCTCTGGAAGATATGCGATGATATGGGCTGACTAGGGCCAAGATCACAAAACACAGAATCTACATCGTGGCGACAAACGATAAGGATCTTGTTCGTCGGATTCGCAAGATTCCCGGTGTACCGATTATGAAGGTGGCGAGAGCGAAATACGTGATTGAGAGGTTGCCAGATCACTTCGAGTGAGCGTGTGCGCCGGGTTAGGTGCTCTCATGTTTGACAACATTCAAATCTGATGGAGATCCCCAATCCGACTCGAATACTGCGAAACCGGCAGATCGTTATCGGAGGAATCGATCATCAATCCCCTACCGCCGCGGACTCACTTGGATGGAGGAGCGGTTTCAGGACACAGCCACGGAGGACACTAGATGTAGTTAGCAAGGCTGTATATGACTTGAATGATAATAATTTCCAATCCCATTGGCGTGCAATATCGAGAGTGGAGTCTGTATCGATAAGTAGGAAAGGAAAGATGACTCAAGTGCGGCATTTTTTCTTGGGATCTAGATTAATGCGCTCTAAATAAATGCCCCATAAGCCCGCATGCGGGGTCAGCCTTACCAACCGTCGCATCTCAACTTGATACGCCAATTGACCACTAAACAATTTACGAGGAACCCAGTCAACGTCGAACAAAATGAGCGAAAAAGAAACAATCGTAGTAATCGGGTACGTCATCCATCAAACCCCCAAAATAAGCCTACAAACTAACCCTCCTAAAAGCGCCGGTGTAATCGGCCTCACAACCGCCCTCCGCATCCAACAATCCCTCAACCGTCGCCAATCCATCCTCCTAATCGCCCGCGAATTTCCCAACACCACTGCGCTAAACTACGCCTCTCCCTGGGCCGGCGCCCACTACCGCCCCGTCCCCGGCCTCTCCCCGCAAGCCCTGCGCGAAGAAAACCAAGCCAAAGAAACTTACGCCTACCTTAAACACCTCTCCAAAACCGACCCCACTTCCGGCATCGCAGGCATAGAAGCAATCGAACACCTCGAGAACCCACCAGCCGAATACCTAGACGCAGAAGCCATCCAAGCGTGCTACGGACACCTAGACGGATACAGGCTACTAGGGAATGACGAGCGTCCCGAGGGGGTGAAGTGGGGCGTGAGGTACGATTCGTTCGTGATCAATTCGCCGGTGTATTGTTCGTATCTGTTGCGGAAGTTTGTGTTGGCTGGGGGTGTTACGAAAGAGCGTACGATTCTTGATGCGAGGGAGGCGTTTTATTTAGGGCCGAATGTAAAGACAGTGGTCAATTGTTCGGGGATGGGATTTGGGGATGAGAGGACGTTTATTATTCGGGGTTTGTTCTGGGATCTTTCCTTTCGTGTGGTGTGGTGCTGGCTAATGGGCGATTGGTCTTAGGGCAAACTTGTCTGGTGCGGAATGCTTGTGAGCAGACTATTACTCGGCAGAATGCAGATGGGACTTGGTCATTCTGTATCCCGCGGCCGTTGTCTGGGGGAACGATTATTGGGGGGACGAAGCAGCCCGAGAATTATGATCCCAATCCGTCGTTGGAGACGAGGGAGATGTTACTCGCTAATGCGGCGAAGTGGTTTCCATTCAGCCCGGAGAGTGAGAGAAGGTTTGATGTTATCCGGGATATTGTCGGTAGGAGACCAGCTAGAGAGGGCGGGATAAGGATTGAGGCGGAGAAAGTCGAGGATGGAAAGGTGGTAGTTCATGCTTATGGAGCTGGGGGGAGAGGGTATGAATTATCCTGGGGAGTGGCAGGAGATGTGGTGAAGTTGATGGTGAGCAATGGGTTGCTTGGGGAGAGGGCTTCGTTGTAAGTATATCCGTAGCACATTGAGCGACATGTAGATATGCATAGACTGTATGAACATCGGTATAGACACGATCAATCTTAATATCCAAAGAAAACGCTAGAGTTCATTTATATCAACGAACGTTCTTTTTTACGTACAAAAGTTGGCATAACAAATGGTGTCCTTCACTCCGCCACGAATACACGACACTCGATCTATCTCAATCTTGTGTACGCGGCTGTTGTCTTCCATAATCTTTGGGCATGAATCCGGGAAAACCCGGTGTTCACGATCAAAGATGACACACAAAACGTCACACATTAACCGCAGCCTTCAGTCCAGGAGACCAATACAAGTGAATACTCGGTAAAGATGTAGGGCCAAAGATAATCAACATTGTATCTATCATCCAGGAGATCAACACTGTGGGCCCGGACAAAGGCCTGGTTTACCCATTCCAGTGTGAGGGCACAGCCCGAGAGCCCAAGATCCGTCATTTCTTGGGGATACCGCACAGGCTCAGCCTTCACCCTCCTGTGCGATGGTCTCATCGTTGGAAATCGGTACCGGTCCGCCATGCAATCTCGCCAGCCGTTCTTCTTCCTTCTGTTCCCGTATCCTCTCAGTCTCCCGTCGGAGTGCTTCCAGGTTGAAAGTGTCGTCATCATCGTCCTCATCGCTGCTCTCATCCTCTGCGCGCCAGTTACCGCTCTCGAACAATGTACGTCCAGTGGCTTCCTTGGCCTTGCGGGCTTGTTCTTCGGCTTGCTTCTTGTCGAGACGCTCCTTCTTCCACTTGGCGAACGTTTCAGGGGTGACTGGTGTACCTTCACCAGTAAGCTTGTGCCGTTCGCTTTCGAGCCAGTCCTCTAGCGTCAATGTGTTGAGCGGAGACTTGTCCATCAAGGCCTTCTCCGCCGCACGCTGCTCCTTGGTCTTCAGGACGAATCTGTTGCAGTTAATCAGTATCAATTGAATGTCAGAAAGGGCGGGGTGCAACATACCCAGGGGGCAAACTATGCTTATACTTGCACTGGTCACCTCCATTGGGGCAGACCCAGAACCAACCATACTTCTGGTTCTCGACCGCCTCAATAAAGTACTTGCAGACCTTGTCGGTGGTAGTTCTCGGATTTCCGTGCTTGCTCATGACGACCTTGCGCAGCATTTCCTCATCCCAGTTATCCATAGTATCCTTCTTCTTCTTTTCCTCTTCTTCGGCCTTCAAATCTCGGGAATCGGTGTACAGATCCTTCTTCGCAGCCTTGCGCTCCACATTCGGATCGTGACTGAACTTGCACTTCTTCCCCTTGTCACAACTGCCCTGCTTGAAGAAGATACAGAGAACGGTCTTCGGATCCACACCGAAAGGAACCTTCTGCACCTGCACAGGCTTAAAAAGCTCAGCCGCCTCCTTCTTAGCCTGCTCCGCGGCCTTCTTGTCAGCCTCACGACGGGCCTTCTCGGCTTCTTTCCGCTTCGCGTCAGCGGATTTATTCGACTTCTCCTGGGTCCTTAATTGTTCGATCTGTTTCTTGGCCTGGGCACCTTTTTTCTGTGGGGAAAGAATTTGCTGTCAGTGGCGATTTCTCTCGGACGACCGTCGGAGGGTGGAAAGAGGTGGGGGAGGGGGGTGTTATTATGCTATCGAGGGTTCGCTACATACGTTTTTCATGCCAAAGGTCTATTCGAAAATCTCTGTTAGCGAAGTGTTACATGAACACGCGATCGGGATCACAAACCTTGTCCTCGACCGTGGCCTTCTTCTTCTTCGGCTGGTCCTGCTTCTTGGGAGGCATGATGGCGGATTTATTCGTCTAATACTCTTTATCGATAGAACGCTATAACTGGAAAATATACAGATAGGGATCGATCGCGCGCCTGTCTAGCGGTGGCGGTGTGTTGTTGATCGAAACGAACCTCCCACAAACGGCGGGTTGAAAACCGTTGGTGCGGGATGGTAGGGCGGAGGCTGTTCAAAAACAAAGCTGAACGCCGAAAGGAATGGAAAAATGACAGGAATAAAGATCGAGAGGAGAAGAATACCACTCGCCGTTACAAGGGGAGGGGAGGGAAACAAACGATCGTGGAAGTGAGGTGGTGTGTAAGTTGAAGGATGTTCTTCCTCCACATTTTCGAGTGGGTTTCCCGTTGTGGCGGCACCGCCAACAAGATCTTTTCCTTCGTGCCCTGGAATATGCACTTACTAAGTCCCCATTCTCTCTCTTCTGACTTGTTCCCCTTCTTCCAATCTAATATTCGGCTCTCGAGTAATTGAAATGCAGCCAAGACTCACTTGGATCCCTCTTTACGAAAAATCATTAGCCAAAAAAATGATGTAATTAAACAGGGACACGGACTTTACAACTGCGGCACGTGAACTCTATATATATCGGGCAACCTTTGAAGCAGTTTGTATTATAGATCACTATAATACCTGCAAATAACCTACTGATAGCGCTTGAACTTCTTCACTTCTAGCTTACTATAACAATTATGGGTTTAGACACCTACCCGCTCTGTTATAGTAGCTTTACAATGCCCAAGTTTGTATATACTGGCGCTTATGCCTGTTTTATGCCTGCGCTGCGCTGATTACTCATCATAGGGCGTGAATAAGTCATGTGATGGCCTCTAGGCCATTTTTTTCGCTGATTGAAAACTGTTTGTTTTCTACACTTGGATGCTGATTTGTATCTGTTGGTAACTCTTTTCACTTCTTATATACTGATAGAGCTGGTGTAGCTCGTGTGTGTAGGATTGATTTTCTTAAGTTCTAAATCTACTTTACAAAGATTCCTCGGCGTTGTCGTCAGGTCACGTGGTTTATGCCTTAGGCTCCAATAGGCTCTGACATATACCCTCCAAAGCTGTGCTGTCTTCCTGAATGTAATCCCAGATCTCAAGTTGCTGCATTACTCGGTCGTATATAGACACTATCAAATTATAAATGCTCGACTTACAACTCAAACGAAAAATCAGCTGCCTCGTGATGCTTGTGATGATCATGCTGTACAGCTTTTTCTTGGATTGGATCATAGTGGAATCTGTCAACTCTAACCTCTAAAAAGGCATAAACTATCCAAAATCTCACGAAGAAGTAAGAGAAATGGGTCAAGCGTAGCAAGTTCAACCTGGCATGCAAGGGAGCCTTGACCCTCAACTGATTGGAGGTGATGGGCATAACCTTTTCTTACTCTCAACGAACATACAGTCAGCTACTCTGCAGACATATATTAGTAGTCTAGGATATAAATCTGGTGATACCAGTACCCCTTGCTAGGTAATCCAAACTCACACATAGCCTGAAAGCTGGTCATTGGATGGAGATGTACATAGGTGATATGGCATATAATAAACATGCAGCGGTTTGCTGGGCCATAGAGTAAGGGGCGGTCCATGACTGAAGGAGTGCCTGACCTTCCATACACGTAGGGTACCTAAAGTCTGATATGTTCTCACCGCCATGTGTCTGATATAAATTGAGTCGCGGTGACAAGTGGGAAGTGATGCACACCTGCGTAGGGACACGCGGTTAGCGAAATGATGGATTACCACTGTCTAAGCCACCTCTATAGTCTTGTCAATCTTGTTGCTCCTTGGAAACAAATATAGGTCAAATTACTGTTGCTATTCACTATTGTAGAGCCTCTTAGTGACAGAGAGCCACCTACAGCATGAAAGCAATTATAGACGCCAATACTCTACTTGTTTATGCTGCGACTGGCCTTGCTATCGTATTCCTGATTCATCGCTATATTTTGAAGCCAATATACCACTCGCAATCTCCAAGATACCAAATGCGCCTTGGACTTCCGCCATTTGTTCCCTCTGGATCCTCTATAATCGACTTGCTCATCAAGAGCTGACGATATTGCTCCGGTCTGCACCGCACCTTGGGCCCAATAATAAGTTTTGTAAGTGTATCAGGCTGTTTCACTACGATGTCATCTCGCTGACACGGGAGCAGACGGGAGGCGGGAGGTAGTCGGTAAGTAAAGGGCTGGTCGCAATAATGGCATGACCTGCTGGGTAGTATTGCACCAGGACTGACGCTCGGATACACCTTGTACTATATTTCACGGAGACCTGGAGCACAAGAGCGTCTCCGGACAGCATCTACAGAGCACCACATCTCCTTTAATACATCCTTGGACGCTTCTCACTCCCACCTATCACGACCCTAGAGAAGCTGCCGTATCTATCAGCTGTGATTCAAGAATCCTTCCGTCTACGTCCAAACAGCGTACGTCTTCCCTGTATAGCCACATCCAAGAACGGAGTGGCTATCGCGGGCCTCATTGACATCACGACTGGCACTCGATTCAATACTTTCCAATGGTTCGTGCATCGAGATCCTTCCATCTGGGAGGATGTCGACCAGCGGATCCCTGAATGCTGGCTAGAAGATACTAACGGGAGTTTCAAGTCGAAGCCAGAGCTCAGAAAGGTTGTCTTGCCATTCGGGGGTGGTACACGGTTGTGCATTGGTAACAAACTGGGTGATTACTGTAAGCCAATATCTGCTGGGGAAGAAATTGTTCTAGCGTGTATGCAAGGCTCCTAACTGCGTAAAGTTCTACAATATTGATTACATTGATAATCTCTAAATTCGAGCTCATAGTGTTGGATATTGGCTCCTCGCGTGGACAACACACCCCGAGCCTGGTGGCAGACAGTCTGATGATGAGATTGCGACAAATAGTGTGGCGTGCGGAAGATAACAACACTAGCTAAACCTTAAGAAGAAGATGCCTAACCACTATAAAAAAATGGGGAAGTGTGTTTTGCAGAAAATTGGTAAGGCCAAATTGGCTCATCAAGGTTTGTAAAATGCCCTCCCGGGTATTGGCCCATCAAAGAATTCCTTGTTCTTTATACGGAAGTCCCGCTAGACATCCTTCAGTGTGAATTTCTGTGTAGACATAAAAGTTAAATAATTTATAATAAAGCTGCCTCATGCTGACCTGTACTCGTCTATCATAGCTATCATCATCTGGACCCGATAGATCTCAGTCGGGGTCCACTGCCCATAGCCAGGTACACTAATCTAAGAGTCCCGACAATCCTTGGAAACAAGAAGGAAGACATTGTCGAGTACTCCTGGGGCTTGAGATTGCCTGATTCCTGGCGGTCCCGAGAGTCACTACAATGTTTAGCAAAAGATCGTTCAGTGAGCGTATCTGCACTCACGTTCGCAAACGAGTTAGGTCTTGTTCTTGGGTCTCGACTTAGTCGGCAATTTTGCTGGGTAAAATTTGATTGGAGCCAATTGCCAACAGAGGAAGAGTCGAGAAAAATTCGTCATATGTTGCGCGAGCAATCAGCCAAGCTTGCTGGTTACTCCCGTGGTAGTAGATAGAATAAGTAACCCCAGCTTTTGTCTTCTCGGTCAAGCACCATTTGCGTTCAATCAGGGGCGAGTCTTCTCAGCTGCTACCCTTCGGCCAGCGATGTACTCATTTTGTTTCGATAGATTAGCTGGCAAGACAGAGACAATGATTATTTAGTCAGATTGCAGTGGCAGAACGGCTGATCAGAAACTCTGCCGTGGCAGTGCCTGAAACATTGCAACATTTGAGGGTAGGATCTACATGGCCCAGTGATAGCCTAGATATGGGAATAGAATCAGATAATGATCTCATCTCACAAGGGTGAGCTGTGCAATGCCATCAAAATTAGGGTCCGATCAAGGTTCCGAAAATAAACCAGCAAAGCTTGAACACACCAAGTGGACCCAAGGGGAGACTGTAGGACGGAATACTGAGGGGGTCCACTCGGCTACCATCGGCGAGGTTGGTGTGCCCACAGGCCAATTCTTAATATACTCTTGTTCGAATCATTTACAGATTGGTTCTGCACTCATACACTGGGTGTCTGTATCATAGCCAATAAAATGCTATTGAGTTTAACCTTTCTCTTAGTCGTGTCAACTCAACATCGGATAAACTCAAAGTATTCTTGATATGTGACGACATGCATCTCGGTTTCCCTGGGTTAGATATCCTTTAGAAACTTCATTAGCGTTTACTTAAGTGGTTGAAGGAGATTTAGTATCGTCGGAGAGCTTTACTTGGAATCTATATGTCATAAGTATTTGCGATCTCTACTAAGACAAGTGAGAGTAAGCTATATACATGAGGTTTTTCATGCTGTTATATTAGTATGAAGTATATAAATTCCACCCCTATTACGCTTTGTCGAAATTTTGAAAGATAAAAGCTAATCTGCTCTTCATCATATCAGTCCAGCTATGACATCGGAGTATGCCGGTAATTGGGTAAGCTGCTGTTGGTATTCAAATTTCGTGTCATCAAAGTCCACACCCAACGGATCTGGGGTAGCTTGAGAGGAGATCATACTAGGCTCATTTCTCGTATAGAGTAACCTCACTGGTATGTGACAGGTGGTGTTGGGCAGAGAGTTGTTCGTTGCTGGGGTCCGATAAGAGAGACATAAATTCAGGTTGTAGGTGCGGGATATTAAGCAGGAATGAAAGGTCGGTAGGTAGGTTTGTTCTGGTGGCAGAGCGACGTCTAGAGCGATGCATGCTGTGTAGTAGATGTCTTCACTGAGAGATATGGAAGAGTTCCGAGTTGACGTGGAGCCATAACGAGAGTGTGCAACCCATGCCAGCGGGCCCTTGTGAGATGAAACGATCGGGAAGGACTCAATACACGCCTCGCGTTCCCATCCATTCGCAAGACCACGGTCAGTCAGAGAGGGATAATCTTCCCACGGAGTCGTACTGTAAAACGTAGTGGATTGTAATGTGGCAACGACCCGTTTCAGATGCGGAGGGCTGGCGTTCCCGATAGGATTGAACCGCAGATTTAGTTGTACCTTGCCTGCGGTACCTTCAGAAGAATATGATAGCAAAACGGGGAGGGTATGCGATGTAACGACGACCTGGCCTGACCTGTCAATCGCAGTGCCGTATGTGAGGCTCTGCTCAGTTCGTGTGTAAATCCCAGGTCTGAGTATGTCCCCGCCAAGGCAATACATTGGTTCAGCTAGGGGCATAACCCGTACACCTCTCTGGTAATCTACAAGATTTGCCATTTTGCTGCTCCGGGACGATCGCCCTTTTAGGACCACCCGAACAGAGTAGGCAATTCGACACGAGCCTGGGACTTGCTCGTCGCGTGGACACCTATCATCATACCGGAGCCTTGGATCGTTCACAGTTGGCGGTAACATTTGATGAGCTAGCTGGACGTGGGTTGATTTGATATCGTGATCACAGGACTGCGGCGAGACAGCCGGGGGAATAACGAACGAAAATGGGAATTCATAATGATGCCCTGGTCGCAGTACTCGAGGAGTTGGGTATTGGCTTGAGGCAATTGGTTGAATTAGTCGCAGAAATGTCTGAGTGGCAATGGCAGTCCTGAGAGAGTATGTCGCTCTCTCGGTGCTTGTTGTGGCCACACCTTAAAAGATCCACATTAGCAAATGGCCCACAAATAATCTTGTGTGAGCTTTAAAATTGATACCTTCAAAACTAATTCGAATCGCATCGAAAGGGGTTTCCACATCAACAGTCACAATAGCCTTGCCCTTAACCCATTCGTAGGTAGTATATGTGTGTTGCTTTTCTGGGTCGCCCTCTAGCACAACGGATACTCTTGGGGAGAATCTTGTAAGTGACTGAAACTGATGTAAGACCCGGCACAAAGTAGATCTTGCGCCCATCGTTGCTATTAGATTAGTACCTGGCTATACAAGCTCGCTAGAGAAATAGACACTCCGCTGAATATGACTTTAGATAGGGCAGCAGACAGAGCCGAAGATGGATGAGTAGATAAAAGAGTATGACCGAGTATAAGTTTGGACATCATATAGGTTTGGACATGAAGGGAGGTGTTAAAAAAAGACGACTGAGAACAGGTCGCCTAGGGCATATACCAAACGGCGCGGCATAGAAGCCGTCCAAGGAATCTTAGACACACCACCATATTCTCCACATTTAATTGAATTGGCATTAAATTTACGTGATTGGGGGTAGGGTTTACAGTCTAAATGGGGCTTATAGTTCGAATTTGCAAAAATAATGTCTTTGACCGTTCTTTCTCGGAGTATGAAAGAGTTCCAAAAGCAAGTATGGCCCTCCTAGAAGTCTGTCAGGGCCGACATCGGTCGGTGAGACACTAGAAAAACTGTAAAAAATGCGAAGCTCACGTTGAAGCCAAGCTGCTCTAATGATTTTCGGGCGGACTCTTTTCTTAGAGAAGGATCGGGAGGCCGAGACTAGCCGACGACAGCCGTCCGGTCCCGCCCTAAGGCTGTTGATATTTTCACCACGCCGTTGGATATAGGGCGTGAAATTAAACATTTATCCTGAAAGAATGGCGCAATATCCATTACGATAGTCCAGACCGTTGTCGTGATCCAAAGCCTTTCATAGTAACTAGGTTGCATTTGCGTCATGCCGAAGCTATCTCAACTTTTCATTCCCAATTGATTGGACCACCTGTATTAGTCCCTTTAGTATCCACCAACCTCTAATCACGGAATATCAAAGTACTATATTGAGCTGGCTGTATAATACATGTTTCCCTGCACTAGTTCTATGTGGAGAATGCCTTCAAGATGTCCACTCTCCTACACTATTTGCTGCGTGCGATATTTTGATTGAATATGAGCTCCACTAAGACATGGTTGTTGTTGTTTGTTGTTGTTGTTGCAACTATTAATAAGATATCTACATACTTTCTGGGGAAGAGGCTAAAATAATTAAATATACGTTGTGCCGTGATCTTACCCTTGTCACGAGTAGTTTGTTGAGGCGCATCATGAAGCCCCCTGAACAACCTGGGAAATACGCAATCTAGTAGTCAGTCGAAATAAAAATGAAGCGCGGTAGATCTAGAACAAGTAAAGGAGGTAAATCTGTATTAAATAATGTAGTAGGTACATGGAAGCGATGGTCTGGTAGTACAATGAGTATTAAGAGAGTATAGAAAGTGCCAGCTGTCTCGATATCGAACATTCACGCAATGGGAAACCGGCCGTTCTGTTGAAGATCGCTACCCTGGTTGGTGTAAGCGGGGTCTTGCACGTTATATGCTCTCTGAGACACCACTGAAGTCCGAGATTGGCGAGGATTGATGCTTGCTACACCATGGTCGAAATTTATGACGCATAGGATGGCAGTTCCCACGGTTAGAACCGTTAGTGCGAGTGTTATGCTGGCAAAAAGTAGCATCACGTCTTTGCTAGCTGTGTGAGCACGTTGCGATGTGCCGCAGAGGACAACAACACGGCTGAGGAGATATACGAGGAGTCCTATAAAGCAAATCTAGGTTATATCAGTATTAGGCCCACAAAAACTCCATGGGTGGCCATGACGACATACGATAATGAAAACCATGGCCCATTTCAACTCCTTCTTCACACAGTAGATCCCGAGGGCGAGCGCCATGAAGGAAGCTGGGATCAAGGCCAAGGTGAGGCTATATTCCGGTTCGTCGAAATGGACGTCCACTAGACTGTACTCCACGATGAAGGCAACCAAGAAAAAGAAAACGTATTTCGCCAGAACCAGGTAGCACTGGATACTGTTAATAAACGGGTTTGTCTTTGACGACAGAAAATGGGGTCTACCTCGTATGCAAGATAACGCAGCCGGAGGGTGGGACTGCCGTTAATGGCCTTATATATCAGCCATGTGTATTCTCGCTGAAGTCGATATGCTCCAAGGACCATAGCGATAGAACACATCCCAATAACTATGGGAATGATCAGTGCCGCCGGCTGCATAATTTTCCACATGTCTTTCACAGAGTCCACCAAGCGACGGCGCACCCCATCGTACTCATATCTAACTCCGGTGACAACAGTTTGTGTTTCTAAATACTGAATGCTCGCGTATACGAGAACAAACATATTGCTAAAACAGATTGCGGCGAGGGAGATGTTGTTCCTGTGGTGAATTGCGTCAAGACTGAGGAGTGCTTCGTACACGCAGGCGAAGATTAAGATGCCCATTCCGATAGGAATAGTATAGGAGATCTGGACCTGTGTGATATTGGGATTCACCCAGAACAGCCACTCGATGAGTAGGAAGCTATGTTTCAATATCAGTCAGTACGTCTCACCCCTTTGGGGAGGCCACAAGCTCCTATACCAACATTTCTAAAAGGGTGACTACTAATCCCTGTGTAAACAAGGCTCCACAAAACAACCATTCATTTTTGGAGGTAGGGCAGTACATGTTGGAGGTAGGATATTATTGAAGAAAGATATGCTTCAGAGCTGATACTCAGGATCGCTGGCTATATTGCAAACAAGGCTCTGAGATGTGTGACTTAGAGAAGGGTATCAGGTTGCTAAACTTAGAATTTTATTGACTGTTAAAAAAAAGATCCATATTGGTTCAAACCCCGGTTATTGGAATAATCCGCCTCATGAAGGTCAGGATCTGAAAGTAGCTAATCACTTCAAATACTTATTGTTTTGCTATCTTGGGTGATTATCGAGATTTTATTGCTCGCCAAGAATCTTAAATTGGTTGCCCCTTCTTTGAAGCTCCTTTCATACCCGTCATCTTGACATGTCAGATCCATTGTCGTTTTGTGTATTTTGAAGACCGTGTTATACGGCTTGCTCAATATAGCTCCAGTAGCGTATATCTAAACAAAAGCCTCTACTAAGTGAAGTTTTAAGCATACAATTGAGTACAAACGTGAAAAGAAAATATAAGAAGTCAAAAAACAATATACATCACAGGTCTGTATTCCGGTCGACCGGGCTTGGAGAACGAATCGGCCTTGGACGTGTTGGAAGCCACCATATAGGGGGATTCTCTGAAAATTCAATGAGAATAGAAGAGTCGGCACATGGACTTAAAAAGTTACTAGCAAACATGTAGAGCTAGAGCGAGCTGATAAAAGAAACTACCATTCACTTCGTTATGGCCGATGGGTTTAAGCGATTACACATTTAACTATTAGACCACGCCGCTTTGTCCAGGAAGGTTAACCATCAGTTTATCCCTCTCTGTTCCACCGAGTCAGCATGAATCAAACAGCAAAAGCAACGTTATCTCACCTTTCTCGTCAGTGAACATGATGTATATGTCGTTGTGCTCGAGGGGATAGTCCAGCTCATTCAGGCACACAAGCCCCAGTGATTTTGATCGTGGCAAAGCGAACTTGGCATCCCTGAGCCGAACCGCATACTCACCCTTATTGTCAACCGACTCAAACTCATCTGTGCACTTTATCTCAAAATTCATACAGTTTCCGTGAGACGCTCGATAAAAAAAGGCGAGCAACTGGAACTTATTCCTCCGTTGAATTATCTGAATGCGAGTGAATCGGGCCTCGATGCGACAGGGGATAGGAATAAGTCTTCGTTGACGGTCGATAACGACACGGCTTGCGGTTCTGCGTGAGACAACACGGATTAGCGCACTGGTATTGTTCTGTGCTAGTAACGGTGACTTACCCGTCAAAGCGAACTCGACATCCAGTTATAGCTTCTTGGAATTTATGGAGATCTGAAGACAAATTGTAGCATTAGCGTATGTTTCGCAGAAAGGTGTCGCCATGATGTGTACCTTCCACTGAGGAGAATTCAATCTTCCGCAGGGTAGACTTCGTCTGGATTTCAGATGTCAACGCTTTTAGGGCTTTCGGAAGATCGTGGTGGATCAGGTCTTGGGACACGCAAACCGTCAAGTCGCGCTGAGGGGGACGGAAGATACTAAGGACTTTGTTATCAAAGACGCTGAGCCCGATTCTCAAGTCTGAGGGTGCTGCAGTAAGTTAGCCCCCCGGCCGCTGCAGCATCGAAAGTCGAGTGCCACTCACCTAGATTCATTCGATCGGTCAGTGAGCCCCATTCCGTCTGGATAAGGACTCGTAGTGACTCCGAGCGTACGGTGTTTCCATATGGAATTCGTTCAGGTCCACGTTCCTCTATCACGGATGCAACGCTAGGCCCAACCTCCAGATAACGGTCACCCTGTATGCCGGAATCTCGGTCATGAGGCTCCGAGACAACGAAGCAGCGAATTACAAATGCTTGCGGATCAGTCTCATTGTAAGCCGGAGCGATCCCAGTCAGAACGGCGTGTAGGTGGTTCCGGGATGTGGTGTCCTTACAGGCGAGGGAGATGGATATTCGACAGTTATTCTCCACAACGTGCAACAGCAGCCCTGGTGATCCCTTTTCAGTCTCACACACACTATAAAATAACGGGACACTGGTAAGAAGAATGTGTGACGCCCTGCAGATTGTCTTGCAATTTTGGGGTGTAGTAATCAAGATTCGAAATCCCTGATGGAGCCTTTGTTCAATATACCCGTCCTGAATCACTTGGAACCTCTCGAACAGCCGGATTGTGCAGGACTCCACGGGGTCCAATGGAAAATCGGTCGGTCGGTTGTGGCTGGTATAGTGACACGCTGCGAGGGTATCTTGCAACACTGGAGTTTCCAGAGGGCTAGCATCCAGATCGGGTTCCGTGTTCATGATCTGTTGTGAAAGGTTCCAAACCAGCTGGAAGCCTTTCGCTGAGAATCGAAATTGAGCGATGTAACCTGTTTTCAGAACTACCTCCATTGATGACCGAGGTGGATCCCACTCAACATCGAGCCACGACAGTCCCCATTTCCTGCTCGAGTAGACCTCAAAGTGAACAACGTTTGTCTGACTATTGATAAGCGTAGTTATTCGTTCACTGGATCTGGATCTGAGAAATGAGAAGACACATTCGACCGAGTCGCACGGGGAGTCGCCATCATCGGTGAATAGGGTGAGGATGGCGAATTCAGTTCCGTAACAAAAGGTGTTTGCTGTATCCTGGAAAATCAAAGGGCCAATACTCCTTTGGTCTTGCTCAAGCCCGCTATAAAAGTGAAGGAGTTCGGTTATCTCGTTCGGATATGTTGGGCAAGGCACCCACAACCGCAGATCGACCGATTTTAAGATAAAATCCTCCTCGCCTAGGAGAAACGTGTTGAGGGTTTCTTTTAGGGAGTAATTGCAGTCCTGAACACATTGAATTTGGTCAATGAGTGCATTGTAGGAACCTCTATTGTCTAACAGGCCATCCAATGTTTGTTCCGTGGTGATATGCTCACATATCCACCAGGCTTTCGCAATGTCGACAGCCCCTTGAATTAGATCGATGGAAGCTTGGCTTGTCTCCTGCTCACGTTCAAGTTTTACACTTAACGCGTCTTTTCCCTTGGCACACCACCAGGCGGCAGCCCTGAGCCACCCATCCGCCTCCACCAGCTCGACTGGCTTCAAGGCATCAAGGTGCGCCGCAAACAAACGGTCTAACCTCTCCTTAAGCTGCAGCTTGCTGTGATTGCCACAGCCCGTAATACTCGCGGGCGGCAGTGGTGGTCGTATTGCCAAGGTAAGGGGAATGGTTGGTTTATTCTCGCTCTTTGAAATGGCCATATCGGACGCCGATGCTCTATGATCGGGCGATGGAATCAACGAAAGGGGTTCCGGGCTGTTGTTCCGATCGGGCTGGTCTACTGTAATCCACACTCTTAGCTGTCGATATTAAACAAAGATGAAAGGCTTTCTCACGGTGGATGAGTGCCCCCTGTGCTTTTGCCCAGGGATGCAATATACCAGCATCATCCAATGCAGAGTTATCCGAGCAAACAGGCTGTGTTGGACGACCCATTACAAGGAACTCCCTGATTTGTTCGTTGTTATTGTGTTCATCTCTGACGCTGTCGTCGCCGTTCACCTTTCTCATCCACTTGAATCTGGACGATGGTGATGAGCTACCGGGACGGAATGAGTTGCGAGACATGTCGCGCATATCAGATTAATCTGGAAGTGGAACTCGTGGAAGATGACCAAACACTACTCGTGAATGATGCAGGTTAATCATCTAGCATCTCTGGTAGCTGTTAGTCTTCGGTCAAGGTTGTTAAGGATGAAGGTGGAATTAATATAACCCCTCTCCATCTCATCTCGAGATAGGCGAATCTGAATCTCTAACCCCGGTAGTCCCGAATGTCTTACCTCGAACCCCTCCTGCATACTAGACAACCTATGGTTCCTATATTCCGATATTTTAGTTGATCCACATCCATGCAGCTTGCGCAGTGACGCTTCCAATAGAGGCAAGAGTATTGGAGAAAGCATCGTAGAAGGACATTTACCAAAGCACTCCCTGATTACGCAGCAGAGCGGCCTATGAAAATGACGTGCAGTAGAACTCTTATAGTGAAACTATGCTACGTAGGACCGTTGCATGGAAATATAGGGGAAATAATACATTCAGACTATGGGGTATCTCTTGCAACCGAGCCATAAAAAAAATAGTTTTGCCTTAGCCTTCACCGTGCCACCGTAAGCATCTTGCGGTCCTCAAGATTTGTCGTAGCAAGTGAGGTACAAATCTTAAGGAAAATAACTCGACGTACCATGTCAAGATACTGCAAATGCCGAACCATGGCTCCCAGCCCAGATTTCCACGACTTACGGGATTTCAGCCGATATAGGGCCCGGTGGTGTACAGGAATTGTGGGTCTTCATTGGGTATGTCTTAGCCTTGTGAAACCTCCGATGTAACTCTACCGGCTCAGCTAGCCAACATATACGGCTCCCTCTACTTTAGCAGGAGGCGAAGGATTGAAGGGTGGCCTGAACAGCGAGTGTAATAGTAACATCAGCACTCGTCTCAGCTCCCGTAATGTGCTGTATACGACCTCCCAAACTCCAGATGAGGAAATGATGGACTAACACATCAATTAATCCACCTATAGCCCTTTCGAAACCCATTGTAGCACGCATCCTAAAATAGATGGCCCCACCTCTAGTTTAAGGGGTCGAGGCTACAAGTAGTACATACACTCAGCCCTATCATACCAAGAGGTGGCAGGTGGGTCAGTCTACAAGCTTAGTGTTGCCCTCGACCTTTCTAAGTGAGAGTGAGTTGCCTAGCAGTTGCCAGTCATACGGTGCTCCATTCGGGGCGTTAAGTGCTCGTCTTGCAGCTGAGCCGCGATTTGGCCCTTAGGTCGGTAGCAAACCCCAGGAGGTTCGCGGTAAATCCGTGGAATATCTGAGCACTCAGACATGACAGCCGAACGCAATTAGAACCTCATTTTTAGGGCATTACAAGATACATTTACAGAATGACACCGGAAGAGACGGGCGAGATGCCTTTATATGCAGGTGATGGGTTAGTGAAATACGCCAGCGTATTGGCCATCTTCATATTACTCACCTCTCATGAGGACATGGACGTTATTCACCACCACGAAGCAACTTACATTACCGAGTCAGCGAAACCATAACACGGAAGATTCAATAGGGCCCTAGACAGTTCAAGTCGCCATAATAAACCACGAAAACTTTGATCAAAGTAGACACAGCGGCCCTACGTGGGAAAAAATAGCGCTAGAAGTTCCAGCCTGAAACCGGAGATAAGGGCTCTGTTCAAACCTTGGCACGATTTGTGGTTTCCCATGTCCAGGGGGAGTAAAATCTAATTAGGGTTGGGGTTCCAACAACTTCTGGGGCCCACCAAGCTCACGGAACGAAGCATTCTGGTCGCTTGAGGTCAGTTTTATTATGAATGATGTGGGAAGCGAAATGAATGTCTTAGCTCTTCGTCTCCTCTGACCCGTTTCCTGTCAAGCTTTTCAGTAAGCGAATTCTAATTTTACTTCGTTGGCGCTGATTGCCTCATCTATGGCGCTAAAGATATATGGAGTGAAACGGGAGGGATAAAACACGGAAGAGACAACTAGATATGGCCGATACAATGGGACCAAACGCCTATTTTGAGGATGGAAATGCTCCTCATACTAACATATATCAAATCGCGAGAAAGGTTTAGCAGCAAAATGTCTATGTATCTCTCATAAGTTTGTATTACTCTGCTATAATACTACTTAGTCGCTCTAAATGATCCAACATAATTCATACCCGTAGGTCACCAGCACTCCTTAGTGTTGCCCTGCATGTTATTGCCAATTTTCTTTCTTGTATGATAGGCACGCAAAAACATTGACGAACCGCACCGACATCAAGTTCCTCCGGCCAAAGCACTAAATTTTTTCTTGCTCGGGTAGTTTTCGGATGTTTTTTTCTGCAAGCGGAACTTGGACGGTTCTCGACGGCTGCGACCGGGTATTTCAACGAGGCCGAAGTCTATAAACTCGACTGAAGTACTAAGAAAACAAAGGACCGAGGAGATTAACTCCGGAAAAGAAACCACCAATTGAATATTTCTCCCAAGATGGGCTCAATTTCTGAATCGCCGTCCGTCACCAGGAAAGACCGGTCGAACTCGCTATTCTCAAATCTTCCCCCGATACCAGTCGACGAGCCTTTCTCAGTCAACGGTGCCTACATACAAGATACTCACCCACAAAAAGTGAATCTGGGAATAGGCGTTTATCGCACCGCCGACGGCTTACCATGGCCATTACGAGTCGTTGAAGATGCAGAAAAGGCGATCTACGAGGCAAGAGATGTCAACAGACATGAATATCTTACCATTCAAGGCGACCGCGAGTTCCTTCGGCTGGCTGCTGACCTCGTCTTTGGATTTGACGAGAAGAAGGAAGATCTGTCCACGACGGAGAAACAAAGGAGCAGGGTTGTTTCTATCCAAACCGTGTCAGGAACAGGCGCAAACAGATTAGGTGCTGAGCTGTTGGCTCGCAATGTGCGACCAGGTTGCGTTTGGATCCCCGAGCCTACCTGGGCAAACCATCACACCATTTGGGAACTGGCCGGTGTGCCGAGAAAGGGGTACCCGTACTACGATCGTAGTTCCCGGTCATTCGATTTTGAAGGAACGGTTCGAACAATATCGGAATCAGCGCAGAAGAACGACGTTGTTATCCTTCATGCATGCGCTCATAACCCCACAGGTGCAGACCCAACCCGCGAACAGTGGGAAGTCCTGGCTCAATTATGCAAAGATAAAGGAATCATTCCTTTCTTCGATCTCGCCTACCAAGGCTTTGCCTCGGGAGATGCCGAGAAGGATGCATGGGCCATACGGCATTTCTTCCAGGATGCGTGCCAGCTCGAGTTCTGCGTGGCGCAGTCATTCTCGAAGAACTTCGGATTATATGGCCAGCGAGTTGGAGCTTTGCATGTTGTGACCTATCCCAACAGCAATGGTGTAGCTCAAGATATACTGGCAAATTTGTGCCATCTCGTTCGTGGGGAGTACTCTATGGCCCCAAGGGGAGGCGCGGAAATTGTCCGGACTGTGCTGGGAAATAAATATCTCCGTGGTAAATGGTTAGAAGACCTTACTACAATGAGTCAGAGGATCCAGCGTATGAGACATGCGCTCTATCATGAGTTGGTCAGTTTACAAACACCTGGTGATTGGAAGCATGTTGTGAGCCAGGTAAGTCTTGCTCTTCTCTTGGCTTTAAGGGCGTCTGAAATTCAGTTGACTAATTCGTACCAGATTGGCATGTTCACATATGTTGGGCTCTCTGAGAGTCAAGTATTTGCAATTCGAGAAAGGCATCACATTTACATGCTGAAATCGGGTAGGATCTCAATTTCTGGGCGTAAGTATCCCAACAAACTGGCCAAGTTCATAGTGGGCTAGCCCTTACTAACACCATGATACAGTGAATGAGCGAAATGTCCAATATGTTGCAAGGGGAATTGATGATGTAGTTCGAACAGTGAATTAGAGTCCGTAGCTTTACATCATGATATCAATAGATACTGCTTTAGAAATAAAGAATGATTCTTGATTCTCCAGCTCTCACGAAGGCATCTTGTTGGACCTTGTCATGATGAATCAAGTCGAGCTCAATAAGGACAGAACACTCGTGACAATAGCAGGCGGTGCACATTGGGGACACGCATCAAGCAATCGGTCAACGGGTCATCTCGACGGATACTTTATCAATGGAGGTCGATGCCCGACAGTAGAAGTGAGTGGTTTACTTTGGGGGTTGGCCTCAGCCCATTTGGAAGAAGTTTCGGCACGCGATGCGACACGCTGGAAGAGTTTACTATTGTGATCGCCGACGACAAAAAAGTAGCACGGATCCAAGCCTTTAAATGCGGAGAGCCGGTCAAATAAAGGCAGGACTTATTTCGAGCCCTCCGCGGTGCCGGCGGAGCAAAATTTGAGGTTTGTGACCAGCCGAAGAAGTCCGTTCAACAATTGAAGGGTCCCAATGTGGTCGCTGGGAGATTCGCCATGTCACCCAGGCGAAAAGATAAAGCGGAATTCATGAACACAATGCATGAGTTCTATACTGCCTCGTGGCAAAATGAAATGACCATCGACAAGAATCGGAGGAAAGATCTCGCGTTTTCTGAATGGGAGGGCTCATGGCTCAGTGGTCAGAGGGAGTTATCAATTCATCACCCTCTGCCAGCAACTACCGAATCTACATATATGTTTTCAAGAACGAGCGACCAGAGATAAGGATTATCCGAAACGAGATGAAAACCTTCAGAGCGCAGTTTGCGGGAGACCGGGCACTGTTACAGGTGACATTCATTAATTTGGGGGCAGGCCAACCCGATGGTATCGTTTCCCTGACATGACGGCGTTTATCATGTTCACATCATGATGCAGTGGGAGGATAACTGGTTGTTTATGAATATGGAGTGCTTCCTGGAAAGGTTCAAGAGGCTAAGGAGATATTCTATAGACAGCAAGGCCAGCTTCACCAATTACCTTGACCCAAAATTAGAAGATCACAAAGCAGCACACTATGGTGAAAATACCGCAGCTTTGCGTGACGTTAAAGGGTGGAACAAGGACAACTTTTTCAACTGGGCCCAAGGTTGGGGGCTTACATCAAGTCTAGCAAAAGGTGGAACTACCAAGCCGTCTGAGGAGCCTGCAGCAGATGTGGAAAGTACAGGAAAAAGACAGGCAGTGGGATAATGTAAGCCTCAACCTTACCCCAATTCAAAGCACAAAACGTTGCGGGCATGATTCCTCATCTCTCCGCGAGTGGCATGCCTGTCTCTGCATTAGCTTTCTGTCACTGTCTAATATGGGGTTTCAAGATTGCGATAGACTGCTGATAACTGGTGGTTGTTGATTTTTTTCTTGACTTCGTTGGTTGTGAACGAGTAGATGGGCAAACTCTTTTCAGTGACTGGCTCCATATATCTTCTTCCTCGGCGGTGTTCTTAAGTCTATTAGGCCAGTGAAGTATAAATATACTTAAAGAACGCCATGGAGCAGCATCAAATACCTAGACACATGCACCCCCTGGGTCTTTCACCAAGGCTAGCGAGGTTAATGAGGTTAATAGCAAGTATAGTTCTATTTTCGAGGAGCCGAACTACGAACAATCCTCGACATATGCTGCGATATCGTACACCTAGCAATCTTTTGAGCAAGTATAGCCACCTTCAATGTAGTATGTGAACATACTTTGTTATGCGCCATAACCCATAAATCATCCTTCCTGAACCCTCTCAGGTGCAAACCGCTCATTTTGCGTTGGTCCAGGATTAGCACGGCGCAGCGGTCTTACAGTTCAAAGGGTTCCATTCTCGGGCTTCGAGCGATGCAGTGTAGTTAGTGGGAAAACTTGTGGAGAAGCCCACTGTGGTCTGATTCTGTACTGAAATACCTCCGGATGGGAACAGATACAGTAGCAGATTGTGTACATATCTTTTTATGCGGATTCTCTGTTCTTTTCCCGGCAAATTGCAAGCGTCCTAATCTGTGTATGGTACCACAACGGACTGTTGTCTGGTATACCCACAGTTATAAAAGTATAAAAAGTCAAGGGGCCAAATTGTTCTGGCCCGATGGCTTCAAAAGTGGAATCTTAACTTTGGCCTCGGCCCCGATGATTGTGTCTCAAACCGCACTGGAATCATCCATGATATCATGGGCCCAGAAACACCCAGCGGAGGGGAGGAAACAGTTCGTCATGCACCTTGGGTAATTTAATATCTTAGCACTAACCAGTAACAGTGCATTGAAGCTGCCACTTCCTGCATAGATTATGGACTGGATCTGTCCTGATGGGTTCCGCTAGGAAGTACTGTACATACTCAGCGGCGCAAGTCGCGATATTTTTGTCTTTCCAAAACACCTGACGTGTTTCTAAACTTAGTTAAATCTATGACGCTAGAAACCCTCCCGGAGTGAACCACACAATAGTGTGGACCCTGATATTACCAAACAACCGTTGATTCGTAGTATTGCAGGAGTTTATGGAGCCTATTTCGTATATATGTAATTAAATATCGGGAATTCTATTCTATTGCCCATACAATATCCAACTGAAACAGCATCGGTGTCATATAACCTGTCTCGAGACAACATGGCATGGCGGGCACCTATTATCGGCCCTCGGCCCGTCGCGGTTCTGGTGCGGGCGTGCTTGGTAGGAATTATGCTCCTGAAATAGTGGATTAATGCACTCACCATTTTTATATTTTAGGTCGTCGAATTGCCACCTCTTGGGTCGCAGCAGGGTGCGATATTACGATTAGAGACCCTAACGCAGACCAGCGCAATGGTGCCCTCCAATTTATCAACAACAACATTGCCAACTTTGCCGAGGTGCTCGGAGACACTAACCCAAGGCGAGGGCAGTTTGCTGCGTTTGAAGACCTGGACACTGCAGTCAAAAATGCCTGGTTTGTAGTCGAGGCCGTTCCAGAGAAGCTCAACCTCAAGATCTCAACATTTGGAGATCTGGCGCGGAAAGCGCCGAAGGACTGTATCTTTGGTTCGAATTCGTCATCTTTTAAATCACGGCTGATGCTCGCTGATATGGACGTTGAGTCCAAAAAGCGTGCATTGAATGTCCACTGTACGATGCCTCCTGGCAGTCGAATTGTAGAGTTGATGACAAGTACACATACGTATGATGAGATATTCCCTTTCCTGGTCCAGAAGCACAAGGAGATTGGCTTATTGCCGGCAGTAGCACTCAGGGAATCTACTGGGTACACGTCCCTCCTTTTTGAATAATTGACCAGCAAATAGCTTCATCATCAACCGCCTTTGGGCTGTCGTGAAAAGGAAGACTATGTCAATTCTCGCCGAGGGAGTAAGTGATCCGAAACAGATTGACTCTTTATGGGTACGGCCTCCCGATCCTTAATCTTGTTCGACAACGATGACACTCACCACGACTCTAAAACAGGCGGAGATGTTCGGGTCGAAAATGGGTCCCTGCGCTGGATGGATGCAGATGGTCTCGACACCGTAGCCTTTATCGAGGACAATTACATCCAGGAGCGTGGTCTCAGTGGTAAAAACACGGCCGACTGGCTACGAAAGAACTACGTCAATGAGGGAAAGCTAGGTGCTAAGTCTGGCCATGGAGGCCTTTATCTTGCTGGTTATGCTACTAAACCTGCGACCCAGGAGCCTGGCCATCACGACAACTTAGCCGCTCCGACGTTGTATGCCCTTGATCTAGGGTTGGGTGAAAATGTTTCCTGTAGATTTTCTCTTTGCTGGCAAGATCTATGTTACCGATGGTAAAACCGCGAGAACCTTAGTCGACGGCCTGTCTGGCCCTGACGGAACTGACATTAGTTTCAGTGAAGGTCGGATTTTCTGGACTAATATGGGAATTCCGTCTGAAAACAATGGATCCGTTCAGTCGTCAAACCTTGATGGCCCCGACATCAAGACGATATCGTCCCAGCTGGGGCAATGCATACGCCAAAGCAACTATGCATTGATCATGTTAACAAGAAGCTGTATTTCTGCGACCACGAGGGATTGCAGGTCCACCGTGTCAACTTCGATGGAAGCCAACATGAAATCATAATTCAGACCGGCCACTACAACAAAGCATCTGATAAAAATGACCAGGCCAACAGGGTACGACAACCCCAACCTTTCTACCGGGTTACAGTGTCAGCAGGCTGTGTATTTTTGCTAAACCTGATTCTGGCTTTTGCTTGTAGTGTGTGGGAATTGCTGTTGACCCAAAGCACGGCAAGTTCTATTGGACCCAAAAGGGCTTTAGTAAATCTGGCAAAGGAAGAATCCTGAGAGCCAATATCACCATGCCCTCTGGTACAACCGCCACCACCCGTTCTGATATCGAAACACTCTTTGACAACCTGCCTGAACCGATCGATCTGGAGATCGACTCTACGAATGAAAACCTATATTGGACTAACCGCGGTGAATACCCGTTCGGTAATTCAGTCAATCGCGGATATGTTGGAAGCGAGAATAAGAAAGTCGCTGCCCTTCAATTCACGATTCTAACCCGGCACTTGCACGAGGCATGTCTCGTTCGATAGATCAACAATCTGAATTCCCACTGACGGTGTCGCATTCAGGCAATTGGTCTACGTTTGGACATGGTCAATAAACATATCTATTTTGTGGATATGGGTGGGTCGCTATATCGTTCTAATCTGGCGGGAAAGAACAAGACAGTAATTTACAGCGGCAGGGCTACTTTTACTAGACTTGCTTTGGCTCATATCAATTAGATTTATTGCGTAAATGTTGTGTCTGTTATGAACTGCTTATCTGATTTTGCTACTTACATTTAATGTGATTCGAACCCCTTCAGCGAGAATCGTCGTAATTTTTTTTTTAAAAAAAAATAGAGAGAGAGAGAGCCAGTAACTGTATCGCGACTGCTACCCAGATCCGCCACCATGAAGCTGACAGAGTCAGTAGACGTACCACTCACTGCAAATGATAGGCAGCGCGGTCCCTTGGCCTGGGTCATGTGATCTCAAGCGTCCCTAAGTGTTTTTCCTTCTGTAATGCCTATGTTTATAGTCGTGCCCATGCCAAGCTACTTCGGTTATCAGTTCAACACCTTCCATCATCGCCATTCATAAGACCTCACCAAGAATATTGCGTATTGCTAAGCTACATGATTTGCAACTATCCCTTGGTACAAATAGGTCTCTTCGGGTTCTAGAATGTGGTCAAGCAAAGTGCACCTCGATGCATGCGGCGTGATCCAGAAGTGAGCCATGGATGGATCATCTCAGATGACCGACGGATGGCCATTCATAGACCACCACCATTTAGGCCGATCATATTGAAGAGCATAAACCCACGAATACGAACTATGTCGCTGTAACTGGAAAGAGGAGAGTTTAAATATAATCTGACCCTTCCCCGTCTTCTCGGACGATTTGTGCTAGTCAAAACAATCCATTATCACGAGCAGGAATTATTCCTAAAAATGGCAGCCAACGGGGGAACAAACCATGAAGGCTTCACCAGCGGCCATCACGACTTGATGAAGCTTCTGAGTGAAGCTCGGCAAGATATTGGCAGCCAGCTTAGACGGATCCTCCCAGATCTACATGTCCTTCGGGGCTTAGGCTCGACTATCCTATCCGGCGGGATTATTGACGACCGGGAATACCTCGTAAGAGATTGGATACCCAGCCCTCCTGTACGTATGTGAATGACACCGTTCTTTGTGTTCAGATTGAAGAAATTATTCAAGTCGCCACATCACTACCGAATGGTTCCAGTCTCCGTGATGAGATCACGGCCGAATTCGTCAAGACACTGTGGAATGGCCTTGAGCACCCTCCTATAGCACGGCTGGGCGACGAGTACAGATACCGTGCTGCAGATGGTAGCAATAATGTAACTTCAAAATCACCTACAGCTCTCGCGCCGACCATCTGTCTAACATTTGTAGAATCCCTTGTATCCTCAACTTGGAGCAGCGGGAAGTCATTATGTCCGGAGCGTGACTCCTCGGCACCCACGGCCCTATGTGCTACCAGATTCGTCCCTGATCTTTGACAGTGAGCTTACTGATATTATACGGCTAATGATGAGGATACGCTGACTGTATATAGCACTCCTTGCGCGCAGTGGTCCTGCGAAAGAACATCCTTCCAAGATATCGAGCAGCCTGTTTCATTTTGCGACTATCATCATTCACGGTCGGTCAAACCAAACAGTAGTCTAATGTTGCTTCCTGTAAGACTGACCTTCGCTGGCAGATCTCTTCCGTACGGACGATGTTGATATGACAAAACTGAAGAACTCGTCTTATTTGGACCTGGGCCCCCTCTACGGCCACAATGCGGAGCAGCAGAAGCTAGTGCGCACATTTCAAGATGGACTTCTAAAACCTGACACCATCGCTGAACAACGACTGCTCGGACAGCCTCCTGGGGTGTGTGCTTTGATCATCGCTTTCAATCGATTCCACAACTACATAGTCAAGGAGCTGGCCGTGATTAACGAACGAGGGAGATTTAGCCTACCCCCTGGAATCACTCCAGAAAGCCCTGGGTACACTCAGGCGCAGGCAAAGCGGGACAATGATTTATTCCAGACCGGGCGACTGTAAGTATTGCTTGTAATCATTAGACGACGTCATCCGCTTACCTATGACTACTGACAGTGTTACCTGTGGTCTATATGTGAACATTATACTAGGCGACTATCTGAGAACCATATTGAATCTAAACACTAACCCGGTCGACTCGGATTGGAAACTTGATCCGCGGACAGAGATCAGTGGATTGAACTCACGGACCGTTCCGAGGGGTGTCGGAAATCAAGTCAGTGCGGAGTTCAATATGATCTATAGATGGCATGCTGCCATCAGCAACCACGACGAGGCCTGGTTACAAGGGTTCATGAAGGAGGTGTTTGGCCCAGATGTGAATGCAAGTAAGCAGCTACTACTGTCGGGATTTGTGATACCACTCTGACCCAGCGGCTGTGGAATGAGTAAAGGCACTTTGACCGTTGACGAATTCCTTACTGGCCTGCAGAAATGGTTCCAGGGTGTTGACAGAGATCCGGCAAAGTGGACTTTCGGAGGCTTGAAACGACAGCCGGACGGCAGCTTCAAAGATGCAGATCTGGCGAATATTTTGTACACTGGGACTGAGTGTGTCGCGGGTGTGTTTTTTGTACTTTCTCCATTTATGAATCTTGCGACTCTAACTGTTCTGCCAGGTGCCTTCGGGGCGAACAACATTCCACAAGCAATGAAGGCTATCGAGGTTCTTAGCATCGAACAAGGCCGAAAGTGGGGACTAGCGACCCTGAATGAATTCCGGCGTTTCTTCAAGCTGAAAACGTATTCAACGTTCGGTAAGATAACAGGAGGGAAATTTCGATGGCGATCTGGCTAATGGCGGTATTTAGAGGAGGTCAACCCTGACCCTGCTGTTGGGGAAGCTTGTAGGTTCTCTGGTTAAGTAGCTTATTGGATTATCACTGATTAGGTTGAAGTGGAGACACTCTATGGACATCCGGACAATATCGAACTCTACGTCGGTATACAGGCAGAGGAAGCCAAGCAACCATTTTTCCCTGGATCGGGGCTATGCCCAGGTTTCACTATTTCGGCAACGATCTTAGCTGATGCTAACACGCTTGTTCGGGGTGATCGTTTCTATACCGTTGATTATAGCCCCGTAAATCTCACGAACTTCGGGTAAGTGACCACTCACTGTCCCTATCAAAATTCCACGAAAGCAAGAACGGAGTAGATGAATGGTACCAAGAGCTATTCTCACCGAGCTTTCACAGGTTTGCGAACACCCTCCCAGACTTCGATGTCGCGCAAGGCGGCCTGATGTACAAGCTTCTGTTGCGAGCCTTCCCTGGCTGGTACACTTCAAACAGTGTCTATGCTCTGTACCCGTTCACCATACCGGAGCAAAACCAAGAAATCTTCACAAAGCGCGGAACAGCAGATCAGTTAGACTTCCATAGGCCTTCCTATCAGGGTCAGCCTACTGCAGTGACTTCATGGCAGGGTGTAACACAGGTGCTGAATGATCAGAAAGAGTTTCGTGTCCCGTGTTAGTTGCCACTCATACCAACTAAGCCTAGCCCCTAATGCTGATGGACTTAAAGGGGGCCCACATACGTACCAGCTTACACAGCACGATTACATGCTAAGTGGGGATTCATCTGCTAATGCTAAGCAGAGAGCTTTCGTGAAGGAGCGCCTGTACAAACCGACCGATGGCCTTGAAGAGGTGAGGCAGTTCTATGAAGATGTAACAGTAGAGTTGCTGCACAAATACAGCCGTAAGCTCGGTTCAGCATATCAGGTTGATATAGTTCGCGAGTATGCTCCCTGGAACATCATCATCGAAAGCCAGCGTTGACCTATTTACCTTAGCGTCGGGAACCTCGCAAATACCAAATTCACGGCGGAATTCTTCGGAATCCCCCTACGGACGCCAGAGAGCAAGGACAAAGCTGACGGCTATACGGAGAGGGAACTATACGACATACTTGCAGAGCTTTTTGGCTATGTCTTCTTGGACGTGGACCCGGTTGAATCGTTCAAACATCGTGTTACCGCATCACGGTCGTCCGAGCGCCTAGGGGAGGTTATGCAGAAGCATGTCGCGAGCTTAAACAAACCTCATTTTGCTCTTGCTCGCGACATCCTACGCAGTCACAGAACCAGCGAAAAGAAGTGTCCGTTAGCTGACTATGGGCCAGAGCTGGATACTAGACTTTCCGATGGGGGACGCTCCGCTGATGAGGTAGCCTGGACTATTATCCCAACTGCAGCTGCCGCCTGTGCTACTCAAGCCCAAGGTGTATGTTTGATCTAGAAATTATTGAAGATACCGCTAATGAGACCTAGTGGGCTCAACTCATCGACTTCTACCTGTCCGATGCATATAATAAATACTGGCCTGACATTCAAAGGGTCGCTCAATCCGACGACAAAGACTCCTTTGAGAAGTTGAAAAAATATGCCCTGGAAGGGTACGGTCTGCTCAATCCTTCAGATGCAACTATCAGCGTGTTCAACGGTAGTTGACCAAAACAGATTCCGCCTATCAACCCCAGCATTTGGTGTTCTTCGGTACGCAGCAAACGACACGACGATCGAAGACAAAGTGAGAACCATTCCAGTCAAGAAAGGCGACACGATCCTGGCAGATTTCGTAACAGCTGGCCGGGATCCAACCAAGTTCCCCGATCCTCAAGCCATTAAGCTTGACCGTCCTGACGAGCTGTACATACATCACGGATGGGGACCGCATTCCTGCCTCGGGCGAGAGATTGTAACCGTTGCAGCGGCTTCTATGCTACGTGTCTTTGCTCGGGTAGATGGTCTCAGACGCAGTCCTGGTCCTGCTGGGGAGATGAAGAGTAAATTGATCAATGGGGCATTCAAGGTGTATTTGCCTGAGGATGGGACGGAATGGTCACCATTCCCTTGCAGTGAGTATTTCGAAAATCAGTCTAAATAATAAGCTTTGGCTAATGGCTCCGTAGACAAAAAGGTGCTGTTTAATAAATTTTAGGTGGGCGAGTTGGCAACGCGCCGGAAAGCGATATTTTATCAGAATGTGCGACAGTAATCAAACATTGGAGGGATTGTTTGGAAAAGTCCTATGCGCATAGCATGCCCTGTTAGAGGTCTGTGGGTGGAGATAGTTACTCCTGTACTTATGCAGCCAATATATTTCACCCGCCGCCCTTACTGAGAAAGCGATAGGATAGGTTCAATCGCAATATAGCTGTCCGTCATCATACTGTTTCTCACCAATTCTAGGTTGACCTTTACTTTCCAGTAGCATCACTCCCTACCTAAGGGAGTATAGAGCCACATTCAATGTGCAGACTGTCAATGTACAGGCTGGAGCGGTTTCACATAGTCAAACTGTACTACTGATAATAAACTTGAAACCACAACTTTCCCTTGTCGTTGTTGGCCTATGAGACTCGGGTGGGATGATGTACTGGCCGAGAGCCGACATTGGTATCCATTTTAGAGAATGATTGGATAATTCTCTAGGGCTCGATGGCCAAATGGACAATTCTGGGGTCAGATGTTCATCCATTCTCACACGATCAACGGAACCACCACTAGCTGTTTTGTGGAGCTCAAGGCGTCCACCAAGCGTTCCATGGGTCACTACAGCCTTATCCGACTGTGTTCTAGGATCATCAGCTTATTTTTTGACAGAGGCTGAGCTAGCCTGAGGTAAACTCATTATGTCAACCTGATTACCCCAATTGGAAACAGACTCAAAACTCCACACCTATGCTGAACATATTTAAGGCATACCAGACATCTATGGTGTTTTCTTGCCACATCTGGTTGACCTATCTAATATTGTTGTCAGGCCCCCTACGATCTTCCCACATTCTAATGCACCTTTGGATGGCCATTGATCTGAGCTAGGGTTGTAGGTAGTATTATGCGAGTCCCGTGCAAATATCCAGCGATAGCTAAGCCCTTTGTTCTGCGCGTAGCCACCTTTTTAAAAAGCACTAATTGCTTTTGACCAAGCTACCTGTATTCAACGTATAGTCATCTATTGTTGATTGTATTTGCCTCCAATGAGTCTAGTACGCGATGAAACGGTATGTTCGTTCAGCTGAGGCATTCCATTCTACTAAATAGTAACATCACCAAACATAGTGGGTTCCCGAGCTATGGTCCCTTTTCGGTGTTGGGATAGTCATTCTTTTGGCTCGCATTGGGCTGCGATGTTGGGTGTACGGCTTCCGTGAGCCGGCAGCTGAGGACTGTCTCTCTGTGTTCATCCCTGCCTTCTATACCGTCAACGCCGTCGGCTGCTACCTCGTTTACATCAACGGAAACAAGGTAGACTTCACTCAGGAGGAGATTAACGCCTTAAGAGACGAAGAGGCACGTCGCCTTATCTTTGGAACGAAATGGGAGCTCGCCTTAGCGTACTCCTACGTGACTACGCTCTGGCTTCTCAAGGCCAGTCTACTCCTGCTGTACTGGCGCCTGACAAGGAACCTTGGGAAACATCGCCTGCTCGTGCTATTGATCACAATTATCTGTGTTCTAGCCTACGTTGGGGTCATGCTTAGTATGGCCCTCTCGTGCATCCCTTCCAGGAGATTCTGGCAAATCAAACCTTTGCCTTCCATTAATTGTGTTCGGCCGCCGAATATATTCATCGCGTTAACAGTCTCGAACGTTCTGTAAGGCACATACATCCATAGCATGCTGTGTACAACAAGCTAATCTGGTTTCTGATCGAAGTACCGACTCCGGGGTAGGTCTAATCCAGGTACGAGAGAGAGCCGTATTGATTTATCTTAGATTATTGCGCTGCCAATTATTCTCTTAGCGAAACTCCGTATCTCCAAAACAAAGTGAGCCTCTCATACCTCCATAACCTCTAAGATACAACTTGCACGATGGAACCCCTGACGACTAAAAGAAAATTGAAGGTTCTCTGTTTCCTGAGTTCGGGAACAGTCGTTCTTATATCCGCGTAAGCATGTCGAATGCTGTACAAAAAGAGAAAAAGAGCCCGTCTAACGTCTATGACTGGTAGAATCGTGCGACTCACAATAACCCTGGTGGAGCCAAGCCAGCTCAACTGGAATAGGTGGGCCGCTTTACCCCCTTCCTGCGCCCAAATATCGATGAATCTAACACTTGTTCCGTACTTCAGATTAGGCATGCGAGAAATGTTCATCGACATCATCGCAGTCTATATCCCCGCCTTTCGCACCATTCTCCGACGTCGCTCGCTTGATCGAAACAGTTCCGTGTCGAGTGAGTCATGTGTCACAATCAAGTGGCCTTCCAGTCCATATCAGGGTCATGTATCACTAAATGAAGATATGGCATTGCCAGCCAGTTTTATACCTGCGGACAGTAGATCCCTGTCATGTCCTGTCTGAGATCTGTCCCGCGGTCCGATTGGAGAGAAATTGACCTTGACAATGTTTCCTGGATACGGGAGGATGGTGCAGCCAACATTGTGCCCATTTCCAATGCGAGTTTGGCAGCAAATCGAACGACGACACGGGGAATTGATTGCTTTTCACAGGGACTCGCCCAGCACTCCCTTGCGCGAAGCGCGTATTGCGCAGAATAGTTGCAACGGACAAAATACCGGTAAACCTTTTCGTCTATTCCGGACTTGGTTTACGCCATATCGCGCTAAACCTTCTTATAGATGCTAAAGGCTCATCTACCACCGGATCATGTCATGTAGTCCTGTCTAGCACGCACGTCCGTTATAGTGCCACATCGTGACTAGGGGTCGCGATGGCGGTAATTCTGGCGCTTGATGTCGGAAACGGCGTCTTTTTGGAAGATGGATAAGCAGACATAATCCAATTCTGTACGTACCCGGGTAATACCATGCTTGACCATGGTACATTTCCTAACATCAGGCTGGAAAGCTCCGAAACGAGGTTGACAATGCCCACTCTAGTATATTCGAGGGATGAGGAAGGCAGGGTTAGTATGGTCTCTACGTCGTCTAAGTGGCTGGTGTGAGTTTATAGCTTGGCAGTATCAGTCTAGGCTGCAGTCGAGCGGAGGAAGACCCGACCTACTTATGGCGTTGGAAGTTCTCAGTGATACTCTTTTCAAGGGAGTTTATTCAAAGGGAAGGTAGCTACAGGGCAGTATCAAAAGGCCATCTCATTGTCTTCGCCATCTGTAGGATTACTACCAATTCTCAGTCCACTACCTTCACCCCCGACGCCAGCCATCAAATTGTATTTAAAAACCAAACGCAACAAGAATATAGTGACCTCATATGTTTCATTGATTCCTATTTTAATTCATCACTGATGTCATGAACCAAGCCTGTTTCAAATATTTTTTAGAATGTAATTTAAGACACCTCCTGGACCTTGGAGGACTTAGCCGGCTCCCCAGCCTCCTCAAGCTCGGGCATCTCCTCATCATCCTACAGTAACCGGTTAGCAAATCGTTCGACGGAAGAGGTTCACTGGCGGGGCCGAAAAACATACCGACTCGCCCTCGGCACCAGGGGCATCACCAGCGGCACCGCCCATTCCCTCAAGGCCTGCGCCGAGCTTCGAGAAGTCAATGTTTCCAAGACCGCCCTCGCCGCCGCCGAGGCCTTCGAATCCGCCGAAGTTGTTGGCATAGTCATCCTCAGCAGCCTCATCCTGCTCATCCTCATCGACCCACTGTGCCATTGTCAGCTCCATCTACCCACACGAGCGGGGTCGTACTCCATACCTTGTCGAAATCGGTCTTGAGGTAGTGCTGCTTCTCAGTAGCCTTCAGAAGACGAGGCCAGTATTCCTCCTTCAGCTCCTTCTTGCGCAGGATCAACTCAACCTCACGGTCGCTGTGGTTCACTTTCGAGTTCTCGGGGTCGATCTCAGCGTACAGATCCAAGGAGATTTCGTAGCGAACACCCTTCTTGGAATCACCGGCGAACGTGACATTGGTCGGGGTGATCTTGAGGGTAGCTTCTTTGCGATCTACATCGGGGGCCTTGATGTTGACGTAGAGGTAGTTACGCTCGGCGTCAGAGCTGGAGGAGCGCTGGGCCCATGTAACTAGAGTCACGGCATGTTAGCGACCAACGATCGGGTAGAAAAGGACATTCATTTCAAGAATGAGAAAGAGCCCTTTGCTTAATATACTCCTCGACTTGCTCCATTTGGCAGAGAAGGGTTGACGAAGAGAAGCAGGGCGCGTAACAAGGATATGTTGACATGACTTGTAGCAAAGCGGGGAAAGGTCAGGGAGGACTGCAAAATTACATACCTTCAGGACGAGTCATTATGAAGTGAGAGGCGACACGGGGGAGAATTTATGTAAAGAGGAGTGATGATGGTAAAAGGGGGTGGGGTGGAGGTATATCAGACGGGAAGAATAGTGATATCGCGGAGAGTTGAAGCTGAGGAAGTTCCAAGTCTGTGTCCCCCTCGAGTAATACTCCTTGGATGATCCGCTCTAGAAAGTACTGGAACTCTCACTCTCTGCCCGCTGTTTGCCCTGTTTGCGGACTATTGCGCGCCTGGGGCATACAACTCACGACCGTCACCGGAAGGCGGTAACAAAAGTCCCACAAATCGATGACTCAGCAGGGACCCGTACGCTGGCTTCGAGATTGTCTTCTCTATCTCGGGTCCTTTTCCGTTGGCTCCTAGGCAATCATGCTGTTTAGAATCACCACGGAGGACCATCGAACCCGCAGTGTAATTTAATACCGTTCAAAAGTGCACGCCGATGCTGACAACCCAGCTTCATCCCCCGCTTTCTCACCACGTTGCCGAGGAACCCTGTCCGCTTCCCAATTCATCTTGCATTGATAACCCCACCTATTTCAACAGTCTTAGTTCCTAGATATCAGCTTGGGCCCTTTCCTGATAAACGGTCGACCTTCCTAAATCAATTTATATACTGTTGCCAATTTCAACATCCACAGTCATCTTTATAATATATCCTACAATCAACAGATCGCACTGTGAACCTGATTCATCATGGAGACCCTCAAAGCGGTGTTTTTCGGGCCTGATCCTCAGGCACAGGTACGTTGGGATAGTTGTCCCACTCTGCCTTTGCCATTCTGACATGCATATCTGTACAGATGAGGAAATGCAACGCCCTCATCCGCGCCAACACTCGCCAATTGGATCGCGACATCGCACAGCTACGGACCCTCGAGAACAAAACACGGCAGTACATTGTGAATGCCTCTCGCCGAGCCCAGCGAAACCCATCACAGTCGAAGCAGGCCACGCAGGAGGCCAAGACCTTTGCTCGGGAATTAGTTCGGATTCGGAAACAATCCACCCGTCTACACACCAGCCGAGCTCAACTCCAAAGCGTCCAGATGCAGGTCAACGAAGCATTCTCCGTTCGGAAGATCCAAGGAAGTCTGAAAAAGTCGACTGGGATCATGAAGGATGTCAACACATTGGTTCGACTGCCCGAGTTGAACGCTACGATGCGTCAACTGTCGACCGAGCTGGTGCGGGCTGGGATCATTGAAGAGATGGTAGACGATGCGATACCAAACAATGAGCTTCTGGAGGAGGAAGAGGACGAAGCTGAAGAAGAAGTTGACAAGGTTTTGCAGGAGATCTTGCAGGGCAAGCTGGCGCAAGCCGACGCGGTCAAACCCGAGGAGCCACTAGAGGAGACTCCCGCGGCCGAGGAGCAGTTCGAGGAGCAAGAAGCCGCGCTCGCACAGATGCGAGGTCGATTGGAAGCCCTGAAGAGCTGAGGGACCTTACAGCGTTTGTTGAAATCTACGCATGCCCTGTAATATGACGTTACGAGCGAACTCGACATGCCATCAAAGCGTTAGCTTTTATTGATGTTCAATTGGGAGTTAGGCCGGGTGGAGCACATGGGATTTTTTCGATTCACTTTCATTTTGTTTATCTATTTTAGAGGCAGGTCCTGAGACCAGAGTACAAGTGGCCATTTCAGCGTTGGGCTTTTTCCATGTTCTCTCTACTATATCCGATAAATGGTAAATATCAGTATTCTCGGAGTGGGTCCAGGGCCTTTTAATTCGTTGGGCAGCAATAGATCCCGATAAAGGAGAATGATAGATGTTTGAAAAATCGATCGCTTGAATGGGCTGTCTAACACATTAGAAACAACTAGAGTGCAATACAGGAATTGACAAATGAATGAATCAACATGTTATAGTGTTGTTGAAGTGAAGTCATTGACGTGTTCTATTTGCGGATGACGCATCCCAGAAGGGACTAGCGGCTGGCACCGCCTCAAGTCTCTTTTCTGTTTGTCCGTCGCCTTCCCTTCCATTCCCGCTCTCTCTTTCTCTCTCTCTCTCCTTAGCCCGTCCTCTCACCTGTCGCGCCTTTCATCACAAGGTGTACAATACTTCCACAACATTTTCAATCTTCTATTATCTGCCATTAATTCCGGCAGCTACTGCTTCCAGAACCAAGATCTTTTAAAAACAGACTTTTTCCTGCCCCTTACACTGTGTTGCGACCCACTCCAGTTGCGCAACAACTAGCTCGCTCAAAACCACCGTTGAATCCATTTCAAAGTCACAGTCTCGTCTAGTATCACCTAACACAATGTCTGGAAAGTTGGACAAGTCACTCGACGAGATCCTCGTCAACCGTCGTCAGGGCGCTCGTCGCCGCAATCGTCGTGCCGCCCAGGGTAAGCCGGCCCCTGCTGCTGTTGGAGGAGTCAAGAAGAGCACAAAGGCTGCCAAGCTTGCCGGCAAGGCTGTCCAAGCTGGACATCACCCTGGGTCGACCGAGAGCAAGATCATGGTTAGCGGCTTGGTAAGTCCCGATTCCCTCGGTATGGAACTTTTTAACGATGGAATCCCATGCTAACGTCATTAGCCTTCCGATGTGAATGAGGCCAATATCAAGGTATGTTGATTGAGAGGCCTTCGCCTTGGGTTTCTATCGCCGTGTCTTTCTTTCTCGAGACCTTTGAGGCACACCGGCTTTTACACGCGTTTCGAACCTTGTCACGACGCCCTCGCACCTTTGCGACCGTTTTTTCTTTTCTTTTTTGCCGCGTGCATAGGCAGCGCACTCCTTCGAGCCATGTTCGCGCGCTATCTGGAATCTAGCGCCCTGCGAGTCAGCCGAAGTCGAGTCCTGCCCGCAGTCTTGCGTGAAGCGTGTCTGGCTTGAGCGGATCTTTTGATAGTCCGCTCGCGAGCACGCTGCAAGCTGTGTCACGAATGGTAGTTGAAACACGCCGTTCTGATTTTACCCCGCTTGACCACACCATTTAGAATTTGGATCTCGGGTGTTGGGCATCAGCGAGCGCACCAGCAGACCAGTAGTGCAGCAGTACATACAGCAAGCGATCTACTCTGGAATATCTTTCCCATCGTCTATGATTGAGAGTGCCATTTTACACGGGGCAGGAAGCACCTCTATCGTGACCTTGGCGATGCCAGTCTAGCCTTGCTTTCGCCCTGAGACGGGCTTCCATGTGGGTGTTCTGGGGGAACATTATGAGTCTTCACCGCACATGGACTATACAACATCTTGACCGTGTCGGTACCAGAGGGGTTAGGACGTGGTGTTGGGTAGCTCCAATCCATGGAAGTGAATTGTTTCAGGTACCGGTCGGTGTGGATGGAAAATGATCCACAAGGCACGGATTCGGGGATATTGAAAATGGGGTCGACAATGATTGAAGCAGACTTTACTTGTTAAGCCTGTGCGCGGTTCGAGCTTTGTCAAGAAGCCCGTTGTCTTCGATCCTGGGGTGATCTTACTAACTACCGCTGTGTGCTCGCTGATGCTCTTGCTGTGGAGTTTCGGGCCAATTCGCGCGTCATTTCTCGAAATTTTGTCTATGCCGGCCTTTTGACACTGATTCAATTTCATGAACCCAAGTACTAATCATGTCTGCTGGCTGTAGGAATACTTCTCTAAATCCGCAGGTCCCGTCAAGCGAGTCATGCTCACTTACAACCAAAATGGCACTAGCCGCGGCATCGCCTCCATTGTCTTCAGCAAACCCGACACAGCTGCGAAGGCTGCCAAGGATCTGAACGGACTGCTTGTCGATGGACGTCCCATGAAGGTATGTGTCGGCGCTCGAGCTTGCATCATGCCCATCTAACATTGAATAGATTGAGGTCGTCGTTGACGCCTCGCATGCCCCCGAAGTTCAGGCTCCCAAGCCCCTTGGCGAGCGTGTCGCGTACGTCTATGTCCCTTGAAGGCTCGAAGGACCATCTCTAATTTCACCACAGACAAACCAAGTCCCAGCCCAAGCCAGCCACAGCCAGCAAAGCCACCGATAACGCTCGTGGACGCAATCGCCGTGGCCGTGGTGGCCGTAATGCGGCCAAATCGAACCGTCCCAAGCCCAAGACCGTGGAGGAGCTTGATGCTGAAATGGTAGACTACTTCGGTGCCGAAAATGGAGGTGCTGCGGAGGGCAATGCCCCTGCAAACGGAGCCGTCCAGCAGCCTACCAACGCTGGAGAGGACCTTGGAATGGCTGAGATTTCTGTATGCTGCCCTGGTCTCGCACTCAATCCGATGACGCGCTAACATGGACGTAACAGTAAATGTATCGTGATACCTTCAATTCAATTGCAGAGGCAGGTTACTTCTGCCAAGTCTGATCAGCTTCTGATCCACGGGCTACAGGCTTGTTACTCAGATTCGTGTTTCTGTTCCACTTTCTTCCCCTTTACTCCCCTTATGTTTTAGTTTGGTTTTTCTAATGTCTCTTCTGCTATTTGGCTCGTTGACGGGAACTCGAGGAAGACTCGTATGTATTTAATAAACGGACGGTCGCAATAAAAACCGAAAAACATTGAAACGGAAGCTGTAAGCTTATAATAGATATATTATTGTGTCCAACTGTTTACCGGAGTAAACTACTACCAGTATACTAGTCATCTGGTGTTGCCAACTGTATTGCCATTCAAGTTGCGTCGGGGGAAAGATCCCCATCAACGGCCTTGGCGCCTCTTCAGCTCAACTTCCATCTCCGCGATTTGTAATAACTCCGCCAAAAGGTTCCAACGTGTGATGAGAAATGTAACTTTATCAGGTGAAGATTAGCCAAGTAGCGGGATTCTGACGCTATAGATCCGCATATTTAGTAAAAAAAGATAAGAAAAAAAAAACTAGCTGTGGCACTGTTGTTTGGGGTCAACGTGAATACTACCGCTATATATATGTATAATGCCATGCTAGAGACCAAGATATAAACCACAAAACTTCACACCTCAATCCAGAACCAATATATATACCTCACTCATCAACAAGAACCCCAAAACAATGCCCCCAATACAAGACCAATCCATCCTCATAATCGGCGGTTCCTCAGGAATAGGCCTCGCCGTCGCCCAACTAGCCCTATCCGAAGGCCTCCACGTCGCCATCGCCTCCTCCTCCCAGTCCAAAATAACCACCGCCCTCGCAACCCTAAACTCTCCCTCCTCCCAAAACAAAGACAAACACAAATACCAAGCCACAGGCCACACGATCGACCTCCTCTCCCCAGACCCAGAAACCCATCTCGCCAACCTCCTCTCAACAGTCACCAACAACGGTACCACCAAACTAGACCACATAATCCACACCGCAGGTCGCCCCGGTCCACTACCCATCCAAGACTTTAATATGCAAACCCTCGCGGCTGCAGGTCACTTACATTTCTTCACCCCGTTACTTATTGCTAAGATCGCGCCTGCGTTCATGAATCCTGGACCTACATCTTCGTTGATCTTTACGGGCGGCCAGGTAGCGAATAGACCTATTCCGGGGTGGTCTGTGCTTGCGTCGTATGCGGCGGGGTTGCAGGGCATGGTGAGGGGGTTGGCGGTGGATTTGAAGCCGCTGAGGGTGAATCTTGTTAGTCCCGGGCCGACTGATACGGGGCTTTTAGGGGAGAGGAGGGAGATGGTTAGGGAGAGGATCGCTGAGACGGGGGTGTTAGGGAAGTTGGGCAGCGCGCAGGAGGTGGCGGAGGTTTATGGGTATTTTATGAGGGATACTAATGCTACTGGCGGTATGGTTTGTTCCGATGGGGGTGGATTGTTGGTTTGATTCTTTTTGTTTATTGGGAGGATGGTGTTTGTACTGATTTGTTTTGTTTATTGTGAAAGTTATGTAGAATAATGAAGGGTATCTTGTGTGGATTGGTTCTGTCCGGTGTGATTGTGCTGGTAGGTTTGGGTATCAATCGTAAACTTGGTGCGAGAGTGGATTGTGAATGAAAGATGATGAACGCTGAAGATCCCAATTTCACGAATGGAATGTTTCTTAGGCGCTGAAGCTCGTTAGCCCCTATATATTCCCTTTGATTTGTGATAGCTACTGGAGTAAAAAAGACTAGCATACGGCTAAGCGGCTGCCTCGGAGTCATCGTCGCAAAGTCGGTATCGAGGCTCCTCGAAGGCCAGAGATGTGTATAGCCCATCCTCTGTCGTACCCGTCTGGCTATATCCAGTGTTACGAACCCAAGTCACCACAGCTTCCAAGCCAAATATGACCGTGAGGATGAAATGAACAAACACATCGACCTCGTTAGGGCGAGTCTGTACGAACAATCGATTCGCATCCGCACCAGACAGGAATAGCACGTCCTGTTGCTGGCACGCCGCCACCCAGCGCTGGGCTGTGGGCGCTTCCCATAGTCCAGCCCGGGCTGTGAACTTCACTCCGCCTGCGCAGGAAGTCCGGCCCCACTTTAACAATTCGTAGACAGCCACGATGGTCGTCCTAATCATCCATGTTCGCCGGACACTCTCCCCCAGAATCCAGGCTTTCCATAAGGCTTCCTGGCGTGGTTCTTGTGGGCCATGCCCACTCTGCGCTAGCTGGATATACTCGCTACTGATACGAGCACATTCCAACATTTGGCTGCTCCATGATATGAGTGTCGGAATACGCCTTTCAGCTATGGAGCGTTGGTGATCATCACCGTCAAATAGGCAGATGATCTGGTATACAAGCAAGGCCTGGACACGGGCAAGGTGGTCAGTAAGGCTGGACGGAGTTGGTTCAGCTAGAAGCTCGGACACCCGTTCTTCAATAATTGGGTTGGTGATGTCTTTATTGGAGGGATTCTGCAGGAAATAGGCAGCTGCAGATGTGTACGCATCTTGAAGGCAGCTGGGAAGTCGACCAGGATATAAGTGTGGGTGAATGAACAGCGTGCTTCCTTCAAGAACCCATTGCTTCAGCCATTGCTGTATGGTCCGGACTATCTTGATCAGCGAAGATGCATCGAAAGCCTGGTCTGCGGTAGAGATACGGCGGACGAGAGACCACGAGTCGGGGGATAGGAAGATTTCGCTCAGGTGCCCAAGAGGAAGTAATGGGTATCCTGTGAGAGCAAAGGGAAACAAAAGTCCACTACTACTTGTATCTGTATGGACTGGTCCGACTATGTCAGTCAGACTATAGTCTTGGTCTTGGCATGCTGGTGAACTAGTTGGAGGCGGGTCATGTAATCTGGTCGAACGATATTCGCAATGAACCCCTTTGGTGACACAGCGACCACATGCCGGATGTTGAAGGTCGCATCTTCGCTTCCCCTTAATACACGAGTTGCACGCCTTTCGCCGACTCAAGGAGTTCATATTGGGAGCATTGTTGACATGGGGATTGCGAGCACACATTCTTTTGGCTTTTCCCCCTTAAACTTACGTGAGCACGCGGACTTATGACATCATCATCTTTTGAGCCCTAATTGCCTTTCTATATCCTCAACACGTATATCCATTTTATTCTGCAGAAAGATATGAAACCAACACCTAGATACATAAGCTCATATAATCCACACAAACACGAGAAGCCTTTGCCTTCCACGAGAACAACAGCACCGATAGTCCATAGTTAAGCAAACAGAAAATGGCTGCAATGCTGAGGTAAACGATCATATTCCCCCCCCCCTCCCCCAAGGCCCACCGCATATGGCAAACGAAGACTACAGTCACCACTCGAAAGACATGGCAACATGATGAGAGAATCCTGCGGTTTGATACTAGTGATTTGTCGAACCCTTGGACCGTTCACCACGAAGTTTCGTCCACTCTTGAGCAACCCAAAAAGTGATTCATCGAGAGCTTAGCCCACCTGTAGATCATCCGAGAAGTGGGTAGCGATAGACATTATTTGCTGATCGAACAGAAGGAGATCCGGGCGCTGGATTTCCTCGTCAATATAAATATTTGCTTGGCTTTGGAATTAACTTCTTCGTGGAATACGGCAAGTGATATTCTATGGACGGCGAACACGTGTATCAGTACCACGATTGGGCATATCGCCGCGACGCAAGAATATCACGCACTATCTTTGGGGTCTCGCCGTGGCGTCTTGTCGGTAAGGGGTGGGCTGGCCAGTAGTGATGCTGTGGGAATGAGGGGAAAATATGGGACTAGACTTGATGTGGAATTTCTGGCGGAAGATCGCCAGGCTACGGGCTTGAAGATAGAGCATTCCTCAGATTGACGTGTAATACCTTGAGGACTCAGCCTCACAGTAAGGGGTTGATGGATGGCAGTTAAATGCTTGATTGACTTTGGTTTGGTTAGGGTATGGAGCGTGTGTGCAAAAGAAATGTTAACATGTCTTTCACTTATCTAGGAAGGAGGGGCAGACAAACAAACCAAGGCAATCTTTTTGCGAAATTGAATGACCACAAACATATAAACAGTAACACAGAGCATGCTTGCCATTTCATCACTGATATTGGTATGGGTATATCTCAAGTTAACGACTTTGAAAAAAAAAAAAAAAACAAATCACAGGATAAATCAATCAGCCGGATATCTAATATGAGGTCCACCGGAAACGACTTTACCCCAGATGCCTAAGCCAGCCGAGACCCTCCCAGTCACAGTAGCGTAGAAGGTCCACAGCCAACGAACTGATCGACATGATGCAATATTATTCCGACCGGGTGAAGGTTTATGACCACGCGAATTTATCTGAAAGAACAAGCTCAGTGGGGGTCCCACGGAACTAAGGGAGAGTACCTACCCGTTGGCGTTCTCGCTCGAAAGCGCGTATAATGATCGATGGCCAAGGTCCCAATAAAACTAACGAAAAACGGGAGAGAAACAAGGATGGCGAACACTAGGACCTGACGGAGCAGCTGAGGGGGCACCAACGAGGAAGCTTCAAAAAGAAGAAGAGAAAGGACAAATGTAATGGTGAAGACTAGTGTGGATTTCATCCTGGAGATCGAAAGCGCTTGGATATCAAAAGGAGAGACAGAGTTGCTACCAGAGTAGTTTGTGATCTTCGGAGGGGTAGGGTCTAATTTACCTGGACCGACTTATAAATTGAAGAAATGGAATCGGAGAGGGAGGATATCATGCTATGCATCACGGGGCATCCTCTTAGGCTCTCTCAGGAATAAAATGACCTCTGCGGGGATCCAACAATATTCGTAGTCTTAAAAGTCCCGAACCAGGGTCTGACATGACTTAGGGCTGACATTGGACTAATTTGGGTGCTTCCCGCGAATGGGTCCAAAAGTGGTAAGCACTACGCTAGGCTGCTTCTTATCAGCCCTTCTAAGATAAAAATCGAAAGGATTCTCCTGAAAAATTCAGTAGGAGGAATAAACGAGACATCCACTTTGGGGGCCAAGAGCTACCTTTATCCGCCCAGACCGAAAATCCACTACCGCAATGCCCCAACATGACGACACTGACGAACAGGTCAAGCACTGGCGTTACCAATCTGGGGAAAGAGATACTAGGTCTCTTGGTCTCTGTTGACAGCCATATGGAAACTTTGCTCCCGGCAGAATCGGGTTGAGACGCGAACGATCGAAAGCGCGACCATCAGCACCGTCAAGCAAAGCGAACACATCAAAATGACATTGTGAGACCACCGGACTTGGATTTTCCAGATAACGCAGACCGTAATCATGAGGACTAGCCCACCTGTTAGCACTGCGAGTATGCATCACCGTTCTGGCATACGTACTCAGTAAAGCACCGAGGGTATCTTGGGACATGAGCACAATCGACTCTATGATAAGGGAACTATTCATCATCAGTAACTCTGACTTTTGCGGAAAAAAGTGATGGCTTTCATTCTCGCGGATCGAAGATATAAGGACAGTCGATGAGATAAACGTGACCACATAGGTTAGAACAGCGACCGTATACACGCCACCAGTAGATCTGCCAGGCCAGATTCGGTCGGACAGCTCTCCAAAGAAAGGGAGAGAGCTCAGATTATCGGCACTGGAAGCACACCACGTCGTTGTGAGGTGGATGCTCCTCCACACGTAGTACTGATGGGATATGTCTTCCCAATCGGGCGGAGGATCCATCTCTTTTACACCCATCTGTAGAGCGTTGACGAGGTACATGCAAACGATTACTTCTCGATACATGATGGTAATGCTTAGGAGTAGGAAGCCGAGAGTCACTACTAGAAACCCATCGTCCATCGAGAACGCCTGCCTCTGCAGGGTGGCCCAATCTCACTCATGCCGAAAGGCTGGGGAGAAGTTGCACTGCATCGGTAGGGGCTGTGGGTACAAGTACCCTAAAGCGGGTAGTAGGGAATACTCTCCGTAGAGGATCAGCCTGTGTCATATCATCGGTGATTTTCCCTCCGCAGTACTTTTCCCTTGTCGTAGTGCTTTTGACTTTCAGCCGCCAGGCACCCTCATCTGAAGGTCTTACCTCCAGATCGTAGCTCAGTTAGTGGTTGGGAGGACAAGGACACGACAAGGATGAGAAAATGACCTCTCACTCCCTTGGGTCTTCTTCCCCTTAGATATTTTCCTTCTTTTTCCGCCCATTCCGTTTGCTTTTCCTTGGTACGTCAAGTACTGAAAACCATAGAAATCCTGAATAGCGAATGGCCTCAACTTGTAGGCCACATTGCCGTGTAAATGGCTGCGGTCTACCGGAGCTCGTTCTTCTACAAGATGGTGGAAGTACGTCTCTATATTCCCGTCTCAAAAGCAAGCAATGGTACGTAGGGGGTTTTTTGTTAACCATGTTCCTAGTTTGCCCACACGGATAATGATAGATTCAATGCTATGTGATTCTTGCTGGTTTTCTAAACAGAACCGTTGACAGGGTCCTAAAAAAACACCACAACAGGGGTTCTTTCAACAATACACTTTACCAACGTCCAGAATATATATTTCATACAGCACAGTGATACCCTTCAAACAATCGTAGACACACGAGGTAATCTCAAATATCCAACCTTTGAGAATTTTAATTGCTTCGTCTAAGTCTAAACCTGGGCCACAAGCAAAAGAAATCGAATCGCTATCGCACCCCTCGGGGAGTTGAGACAGTGTATGTTTGCAGTGCTTACTCGTTAATAAAAGCTTGACCTTGCAGGTAGTACACTGAACCAGACTATTTACATCCTCAATGCATGATAGGCCAGAAACCGCGTGGGCAGTAATATATACCAGGTCGGCCCCTGATATAGGTAAATGCATGAGGTAAACCTTCTTACCGCCTGCATCTTGTGAGCTTATTTATTTAACCGACTTTATATACCAACACACGCCATCCATCCTAGCCCCACCACCATCCGGCGAGCTGTACATAACCGCCGAAACATTATGCGTTGCTCCGAGACAGTCGTAGATGCTATCTTTCGTATCCTTGGTCACGTTACAGTATTACCCAGCGTTGGTTCGGGATGCCGTATGGAAGGACACTTCCTTGACAACAGGAGTGTCGTGTTGGTCATGTTGTATCTCTCTGGCTGGTAGTGGGGAAGTGTGCAGTAGTAGCCGGTAAGCCTGTTTGGGTGGACCGGGTTTGGTCGAGACATTCAGGGGGGATGCTGGAGGCGTTCATTTTGGATTGGAACCGGTAATTTGTGGGATGTGAGCTTATGGTGTAAACCAGATTAATTGGTGATCAGAGAGGGTTCGGTATATCGTTTTTAAATACTTTTAGAAGGGTGAGATTTTAGTCTCCTGATCCACTTCCATGCGGATGATCCGCTTTATATAATACTTGGCTTCTGGAGATCGACAAAGCAATTCCGGTTAGGAGGTGACATCATATGATCTGAGTTGCCTGGCGACTTACTAAAAGATAGGAAGGTGTAGTGCAGGCCACTGTGTACGAATAAACGACCAGAATGAAGGGCTGTACAGAGTATGCTCTATGGTCTTCCTGCTACCTGCGCCCCTACATTGGGGGCTAAGGCTGATAGGGCTTAAGAATGAGAAATGTGTTGCACCATGCGTAAATGGGGATGGCTTGGGGAGAAGGATCCAGAAAGGAATCACCGATAGGAGAGAGTGGATAATTGCTTTAGACGAATGCATTTCGAATGTGGTTTTCGCTCATATGGCAGTGCAATTGTATGCTTGTATTTTATAAACTATATTGATAGGGCTAAAGAATGGCATAGTCGATATATGGCCAACCAACGGGGGATCAAGTTTCAATTCCATTTGTTGCATCTGGGGCAAAGAGTGCACGAGAGGGAAAATACCACACTCCTGTATTTTGATTGAGGTTGGGAGCCGAAGTTCCAGATCGAGGTTGGTCCAATTCTCCCATTGTTGGGCACTGCCGTTGGACAATGCCTTGTCATATCCATGCTACACACTGGGAATAAATAGAACAATGTAACGTGGTCACATATATCATATGACTGGTTAGCGATTAGATACAGTAAAACCATACTGATACGTATGAACACAGCTCTTTTGAGTGTTCGAAATATCCTGAATTCTTGTGAGCTTCAGCTCTTCAGTCCGAAGAATATGAATACCTCGCGACGTTGGGACTAGCACTAATAAAAATAGCGAGGTTACAAATCTAGTAGAGCAGCTAGTAACAACTGAACAGGATAGAAGATGTATCAAGACACATATAATAGGCCGCAGTGCTTGGGAGAGTTGTCTCTTTAGCCCAGGGACATGGTGCCTGTGGGCTAAAGGGGCTCACCCAGCTCAGACAAGTAGGCGTAAATAGATAGGGTATAAGATTGGGCAAGTGAAATTGACACTGTATCCCTACTCTTATAGGGTTATAACGATCTCATTTTTCTCATAACTTCCATGTCATAATTATAATTGAACACGGCCCTCTGACCACTCCACTTCTGTTGGCTTGTTTTGGGGTTTGCTTTCGTTTGCTTAAGAAGCTGTTTGAGAATAAATTGATCAACGAGAGCAATACAGGTAATCTGAATAATAGTGATATTATTGCCTAGTCTCTAAAGACTGAATTCATTCTGGATGTTAGATACCAGTGTCCGATGTGCGAGCTGGTGTTGTTGAAGCATAACCATTCGGATATTTTTTTGTTCTAATGCCGCGAGGACCCTTGCTCTGAGTAGGTGCCTACGGAGTACACTATTCCAAGCTCCAACGCATGCAGAGCGATTACCTGTTCGCACTCACATCTTGAATAGTTAGTGAGGGTGTGTTGAGAATTTTAGGTATATTTCTTGGCATGGATATTCATTTCCTTCTGTTGATCGATCATAGCGTGTATGCTCATAGGTAGGCAATTGGGTATTAGAGTCAGCAAGCAATCTTGCGGGGACATGTAGCTGTTTACCCATCCTCATTTTCCAATATGATACAATTATTCCATCCGCAGTCTGAATCAAGCTGTATTTGGGTATATGATTTCCCTGAACAGCCTGTATAGGTGATACTTGGCGGCACTAAATATTGATAGTGTTCGTTTGCAGAGCCTGTAAAGTGCACACTACTTTACTGACAGCTAAACTGTGATAGTCTACACTGTGCAACTGTTTCATCCACATAGTACGCGGTCTAGAATCGGCCCTGTCTCTATTCCTATATCAAAAGAAAATATATTGCTAAAGACCAAGAAATCCATAGCCTGGAAGTGAAAGTTCCAAATTCTTTATATAGATATTGAATTCTGTCATCAGACGAACCAAGATCGGATGTATGAGCTCTTCTGGACTTATCTGACCCGGGCAGAGATTAATTGGCCAAAGCCGAGTGCCGAAGCCGAAGCCGGGCACAGAACGCCCCGCGCCCTTCACTATATATGAAAATGGGTTTTACCTAGATGGCCGCATTCCAGTTAGAAAAACGAATTTTACGATTAGACTGAGACCTGCTCTTATATCTGAGTGTTTTGGGCCTGTAGACACATAAAAATGGGGACTTTCGGAGAAACCAGCTCATGCAAAGCAGCAACAGAGCCAGACGAGGAAATGACCTTTCCTACAATAGCCGAAACAGCGTACGATACACCACCCAATGGTGGCTTTCAAGCTTGGCTACAGGTGGCAGGGTCCTTTTTGATATTTTTCAATTCATGGTGCTTAAACTCCTCTTTTACATTTATCGCAATTGACTAATAAAATCTTCGCGATATAGGGGAACAGTCAATGCATTCGGCGCCTTCCAAGCGTACTACGAGAGTGGGCTGCTGAAGGATCAATCAAGCTCCGACATTTCCTGGATTGGAGCTATACAGGCATTCCTACTGCTCCTGGTCGGTGTCGTCACAGGTCCGCTCTATGACTCCGGCTATTTCCGTACCCTAGTCATCACAGGATCCTTTTTAGTCATGTGTGGATTCATGGCTTTAAGCGTATGTACACAATACTGGCAGGTTCTCCTAGCCCAAGCCATCTGTGTCGGCCTGGGTAATGGGTGTCTATACATCCCATCCGTGGCCATCATCCCGCAGTACTTCTCGTCTCGCAAGGCCATTGCCCTCGCGATTGGCGCATCAGGAAGTAGCTTTGGAGGAGTGATATACCCAATTGCCTTCCGCGAGCTCCAACCACGAATCGGGTTCCCTTGGGCAACCAGGGTACTCGGGTTCCTAGTGTTAGCAACAACTCTAGTCCCGATCACTCTCATGCGTGTTCGCCAAGCACCGAAGCAAAAGCGCGTCTTGACTGAGGTCTCAGCGTTTAAAGAGCCCCCATATGCCTTGTTTTGCGCGGCAATGTTCTTTGGCTACATTGGCTTCTTCAATCCGATCTTCTACATTGAGTCATACGCCCTCCATAATAACACAACGGGGGCCGAGTTGGGATTTTATCTCGTCGCTATACTCAACGCTGCCTCTATTCCAGGTCGCATAGTCCCCGGACTGTTGAATAAATACCTGGGCTCTCTGAACATCCTTCTCGGCAGTGCGTTTATCAGCGCCACTCTATCGTTCTGCTGGATTGCAATCCATAATCAAGGCGGCCTGATCTCACTGGCTGTACTTTACGGTTTCTTCTCCGGTGCCTTCGTCTCCCTTCCCGCAGTTGCTTTGACAACACTTACACCAGATCTTAGAACGCTGGGAACACGAATTGGGATGTGCACCGTGTGTAGTGGGTTGGGATCGCTGTGCGGTTCGCCGGTTGCGGGTGCGATCCTGGACCGCAGTGGGTCTTACCTTGGGGTTCAGTTGTATTCCGGTCTTACCACTGGCATAACAGGTGTTTTGCTTTTGTTTGCAAGTTTCTTTAAGAAGAGTGACAGTAGATAACCTGTCCCGGTTAGTTGGACTCCGGAAAGCCGAATCTAAGCGCCGACAACCCTAACACCCTTTGTTGGAAGCGGAATGGATACCGACATGCCCAAGGGATTCGTCTATGCGCCAAGTGAATTCAGAACGTCAATAATAGAGAGCGATATGTGTGGAGACACATACTCTGTCAGTCATCATCTGTCTGGCCTGTTCTTAGGGAACCTGGGCGCCAGTTTCATTCGGTTATAGCATCCGAGACCATCGCCGATGCCCAGAAATTACCATTCCGGATGCAAAAACAGGCCTACTGTTAACTGAAGCAGATTAATATATATACAACTTTTTTTTGTTTTGGAAATAGTGTCTGATATAGATGCGTATCAGCTGAAAATGAATCTATATACCAAGGGAACAGCTCAAAGAGCCAGTCGACTAGTCCGACGTCGTATCACGCATTTACCATCTAGAGTTCTTTAAGACCAATTGACCTATCTCTCCACAGCAGCACTTCAATCCATCGATTCCTCTACCAAACCATACTACTTACTATAACAGCCCCCCCAAACCGACCCCCAAAACCGCCACAAAAACTACCCACCCATCCACAACCCCCCGCACTGCCAACGACTCCTCCCTTTCCCCCCCAAACACCCCATTCAAAGAATTATTCCCAAACCCAACCGTCGGACTCCACGCCGGTTGACCCCCTCGCCCCAAAACATCCGAATGAACCCCATCAACTTGCCCTAGAAACTCAACCTCCCCCCGCCCATAAACCGTATCGTTCTTACTATTCATCAAGAACCACGCCTCGAACGAAAAGCTCGCAGTCTGGTTATCGAACATCAGGCTGACCTGGGGGTCCGTAATGGGAATGTGGCCGGGGTTGTAGTTGCTTCGATCTAGGAAACTGAGCCCCCACCATGTTTCTTCGGGGTTGTCGCAGGAGGGAAGGTTCTGGGAGATGGATGTGACGCCGCCGTTGGTTTTGTTGGATGAGCCTGTTATCTTGTAAGGGGGGCCGGTGGGGTTGGTGAGGGAGAGGTTAAAGTAAGGCCTGTGGATGGACCGGCTAGGGGTTTCGTGGCTATATATGTAGAGTGCATAGTGAGAGATTTTGTGGTTGGAGGGTGATGAGAGGTTTCTTATGAGAACGGGGGAGGACGTACCTGATGGAGAGAAATTGCCATTGGAGATGCTTGCTTTCGTCGCCGGAGGCTAAGTTGTTGACGAAATCGAAGTCTGTTAATGCGGATTTGAGAGCGATGCGCACTGGATTCTTGCTGTCGTCGTCTGGGGATGGTTTAGTGACAGCTAGGATGGACTTGGATGTGAATGATGTGGCTTCGCTGCGGAAGGTACGGCATAGCGAGTCGCCTTGGTTGTCCATGAGGTATTCTAGGTGGAATGTTGTTGTGCCATTGTAGTAGCTGTGATTTCTTGATTAGTAAATGTTCAGTTCTAGGGTTACTGAATAGCTTACGATCCAACCCAAGGGTACAGGTAATATGACAAACCCGTTAAGTTCTTAAGGCGCTCATTGGATCCGGGGACAAATGACGTATCCTGATATCCCAGCGTCTGCAAGGGAAGGAGTGTCCATAATAGAAAGATGTAGTTCATTATTCATCCAGTCGTACCTTTTGGCTTACCTTCGTACCAGGGAGATCGCATGGGAATCTGGGAGACGACCAGCACATTGGAAAGACAAAAATTATGACTGCCGAACTTTACCCTATCACACGGACGTAGGTATCTCGTGTTTTGACTTGGCATATCAATCTAATGGACCGCCGTGGAAGATTTGAGAGATTGCGGCAGGTCTTTCTGGAAGGAAAGACAAAGAAACTCTGCGCTAAGATGCTAGTTCCTTGGCTTTACCCCTCTTGAAAACTTTACCTTCCAGAGCCGCTCAGTTTCCTTTTGGGGAGCTTCTGAAGCTATTCAGGTTACTTCAATCTACAGCGGTCCCTAATATCACAAATATCGCAAAGACAAAGACATTGCTTCCTCGATAGAGGTAAGGCAAGGTCACTCAGCCAAAGTCTGAATCTGCATTTTATTTTGTCACAAGATGAAGGCTCTTCCACCGTATACTTGCTCACATTGGACCCCACTACAGTTGATGGAACAGCTGGCATGTCATCATTATTGCCTACAGATCGAAAGCACGTTTCAAAGTACCTACTTATGCCAAGATACTAAAATAGCACCTAGAAAGAGCGGGTTAAGCCCTAGACATGAACATGACTCGACTCCAATACTCGGTAGAAATTCAGCTATATGATCTCAATCCTCCCTCTAATTCCACCACAATCACCGCCCATAACTCCAACCCACTTATCCTCCTCCAAATGCCAAGTTCTCTAGCCTCTAGTTACAAGGAAAAACATACTCCGACTTATAATCAATAAACAAATCCTTCGAGCTCTTCCCCATCTTCGCCGTAACAGGCGCGCAAGCAAAGTTCTTAATATAGATGGGTCCCGCATACTGACTGAAGCTGCCGGAGTCCTTGTCGCAGTTTTTCTTATCCCACTGGCATACGTTCACGTACATGTACCGCGACGCACCGACATTATTGTCGAGGAAGACACACCCCTTGTCTTTCCCGATGTAGGAGTAGAGGGTTGCCAGTCGCATTTTGGGGTCTGTGCCCTTGGGGAGAGGGATGGCTTGGCTGAGTTCGTAGCCGGAGCCGCAGATGGTGGTTGCGCGGGCTTCGAGCGTGGCTTCGTCGGTATCTCGGGTGTTTAGATCTTGGGCGAGGGCGATGGTAGTAGTGGTGAGGAGAGTGAGGATGTTGAGGAGCTTCATTTTGGTTGCAGGATAGCGCTTTGAAGGTTTCGAAGTAGGGTTCAGGGCAATTGGGTGAGACTGTCCGACTGTCTGGGAAGTTGACGAGGGTGAGCGTGTTTGCGTTGCGAAAAGCAAGTTGAGTAAAATCCGGGGTTCATGTCTCGTGAAATACCCGAGATTGCCAGAGGACTTTACAGGTGACACTATCCCAAACACGAGGCCTAGAGGGTGATCTGCAGCTAAGTCCCGGAACAATACATATTATTGGATTAGAAGCCTTCTCCATACGGGAGGGATCGTCCTGGTGCCACTTATCTTTCCTATTTGAGCAAGTCGGGTTCGTATCGGAAAATTGGCATATTGTGAGAAATCTATATATGTGTATTAAGGGGCCGAATGCGGTGAATGCCGAGCAAGCTAGAACATGAATCTGTTAATAATGACTATCATATCACCATATTTGTAAACGATACAACTGCATATAAAAGGTTGGAACAAGGCTCTGCGTGAAGCATGGTTTCGGAGCCGGCCATTAATAGATGAGATCGCCGTCCATAGTCTAATCATCATTTTCTGTGCTCGACCAGATTAGACCAGATCAGACCGAGGAACAGCTTTCGCGCTATGGTTCCGAAGGATAGCGTCGAAAACTTTGCCCTATTGACTCACGAAAGATATGTACAGGTGTACACTGACAGCACTTTTCGGCACCTCTACCGTGGTAAGTGATCTAGTATGGCACTATATAAGATGCTCCTGCTCACCAAGCACATAGACCCCATAGCATGCCAAGTGAACTGTGGACATTAGAGTCCAGATGTATTTTAACGTGATTAAGACACACAAAACCCACTACCCGCATGTCTCGGGGACGAAGAAGTCTGCTAAGAGACAGAGTTTCCAATAGACAACAAAGTGCTTCGGAGTGTATTTATCAAATAAATACATGTCTACTTTGGCGAATGTTCCAACGGTTTCAACAAGTGAGGCTCGATCTCTTCTCTTGCCACACAGAACAGTCTCTTACGGCTGACCGACACCTACTGAGTAACAAGGATAGTCTCCTCTACTCTCCCCAGTATACCGGAGCCTGGGGGCTATAAACTTCCAAAACGCCTCGACAAACGAGCGATATAATGTAAGTCAGCCAGCTGCGATCATTTTTGGTCCTCACCACATTGGGTAGGGCGAAGAATAAGCCTCAGATCCTACTGGTTCTCTAAATCATGAGCCGTACCTTCAAATGTAACATTCTGGTGGAGCTTGGGATATGGTTGCTTTTTTCGACACCTTGACTCTGACGTCAGCACTCTTCCTTGAGAGTGGCGAGTACTTTGTATATTTTGGGAGACTACACGGCCAGAGAAGAGAAAGCAATTGCACCAATTCTACCTATGTGGCATACCGTGAAGCAAATAAACACCGGATGGTACAACCCCCCGAGATTCCAATGTGGTCAAGTAGTATCTTCGGCAGACAAGCTTCGATCGTGCCTGGTGCGCCATTCCCTTGATTTAGTCAAATATTCTTCTTCTTTCAGACGGCTTATGATGCATGGTTTCGATAGTCCAGGCGGCCACAACGGAGCGCGAGACATTTGGCCTCCAGGGCGGATCCTTCATAGAAAAGAGGAAAGATGATTATGACTACGGAGTAGTCATGTTTAAGATGGGAGTGTTCATGGGGTATAAATACCCCGGACAGTCCTTGTCGACTTTGTCAAGCTCGCAAATCTGTGATTTTTAGCTTTGAGGAGTGACTCATTGACAATACTTTAGCGACATATTCAATACATTCAAATCATAAGCCTTACCTATCTATAACTTATGATTAAACTTGCAGCTCTCTCTTTAGCTGTGCTGGCTACTCTGGCCCCCTTGGCTGCCGCAAACAATTGCAAGACCGGCCTCAACTACTGCGGGTACAACCTTCTTGGTATTGGTACGCAAAGCCCCATCTATAACAAACAATGCCTCCCATTCTCCGCGACAACTAGGTATATTGATATAGGCGCGTGGAACAGGGAACTACGGCGCCCAAGTGAACGGCGCTTTGAAGGTAGCACATCAACCCACTGATGATGCACATACTCGTGAATCTCTCTTCCTTTGCAATGGAGGCTGGGGCTGTTGTATTAAGTTTGCCTGTATGAAGACTTTACGCGAATATGGTCTTCATGAATTCAGCTTTATGTTTCGGTACTACTTGGCCCATACTAGGTCTCTATTCTGTCGACATCAACAATCTGCGTTGAACGCATTGCACTATGGTATTGCGATATATAGTAGCATGTTATCTGTGTATGAGCTTAAGCAGCGTTCTAACTGTAATTAGAAACAATTTTATCTACAAACAGTGGGCCTCCCATAACGTATATACAACGATCCGTCTAAGGTTGCGGAGGCTTATACTGTCCAGCCATGATCTTGAACAATCGCACACAAGACCACGACTCGCTGCACTTAACCGAGCCGACAAGCTCTAGTGGAGAATGTTTCCCGTCACCTACTCCTTTCCCCATTGCTCTAACCGCATTGCGCTGACCTTGCTTAATCTTCACCATGAGCCGTTTGAAGGATAGCCGCTCGCCCGATATTGTAGTCAATGTGGGCTTTGGATTATCCTGGCCCCTTCTTCCTCCGCTTTCGGCCAATAGCTCTAGCTTTAGGGTCTCTAAGGAGACATGAACAAACCAATTCGAGTCGAAGGGCCCTTCTCGATGAGGCCAGGACTGCAGAAGCTCTATGGCCCGCCATCGAAGGCTGCGGTCACGACAGGCCATTGCCGTGCGAAATAATATCGGAATGACGCCAACGTTGAGACTAATGCCCGGACGCTCGGTGAAGTCTTCTATTACTTTGGCTGCGGCTAGTAGGATCATCTCGTAATCGGTTGTGTAATAATCGTACGCGGTCGGATCCCCAGCGAGGAGACAGGTCTTCAAAGACAGGGCTAAGCCAAGCTGTTGGAGATAGAGTAGATTCGCGCCTCGCTGCTCCTTTCGACTGAGACGGGCATATGAAGTGCGGTAGAAGCGCTCGAATAGGTCCATGTATTTGTTCAATATGGCGAACGCTGCGAGTTGTCTCGACTGGAGCACGTCATAGTTGGACTTGATGTACGAGGCAGACAGACCGATGCAGGGTCCAGTAAACCGATAGACGGCGTGAAGTGGGATATTGTAAGCCTGACGGGCCTCGTACAAATTATAGAACTCTATATTATACTTTCCGTCATCGATAGGTAGAAGGGAATCCTCAAACCCGAAGAGCGTTGACTGGATGCCCAAGTGGTAGAAGGCTTCGACCAAGCTCCGATCGATGGGTCCCTCTCGGGGCGTCGTGGAGACCAGAGCCCTTTCGGCCTTCTCTTCCCCTAAAATCCTCAGACCGCTGCTAAGGTGTTTGAAGGCAGCGTCGTACTGTCCCTGGAGCAAGTCCGACACAACAAATAGCAAACAGCAAACCAGAATGACGGGACGCAGGCGCGGATCATGGGATAACCGTCGTTGAGTTAAGAAGGTAAACGCACGGCCCAGTTGTGCGAGGGCGAACATATTCCGCGTGTTGTACAAATTCCGCACGAGCAGCGACATCCCTTCCGTCTCGGAATTTTGATGGATGGCACCAAGGGCCACCACAGCATGGTAAACCGCTGGCTCGGACTGGCTCATCTGGAGGATCAGTCTCTGCCATAGTAATGAATCGTAAAATTGGAGAATTGTGGGAACGGTGCGATGCTGGAAATATGATAGGCATTGTCGCTCATCCGAGGTCATTGCCCAGGGTGGCTCTGGTGTAATGGCCAGGACCCCGGGCGAAGTGGTTCCGTCTGCCCTGGCCTTCCTGCGACGAGGCAGCCGATGGAGGTCATAGCCATCACAGACTCTGCCGGTCGAGGTGCAGTTTCGGCACGCATTCGGAGTTTCATCACATTTAATACGGCGGGCTCTACGACTGACCATTAGTCGTGAATCGTTGGTTTACCCTCGGCAACTCACCTGCAGGAGCGGCATCCGCTCCTGGACTTTTTCCCCACAGCGCGGGGATGACTGGGAGCCATCAGTACGGGGGTGAAGGTAGCGCCAGCAGTATTAAGCTCTTATCAACACCAACGGACTGAGGGATCCACGTGGCAGTAGGGCTTGGCATAGACGTTTGGCGGGGTAGAGAGAGAAAACTCCTTGGGTTCGGGCGCCTGATGTCCACGCTTCGATGGGGTTTTAGGGTAAGTTTATACTTCCGGCTGAGAATCCCACATTGTACTTTCTCTCACCTGCATTTGTTAGGAACTCGACGAACTAGTGGCTGTGCAGCGTTGGTTGGAAAAAAGGGGAAGCCGATGGTTGCGCCAACGAGAAGGCCGGGATAAAGATTGATTGACTTGGCACGGCTAGTGGAGAAAGAGAAGTACGAGAAATGTTCTCATACAGTTTAATAGTCATACGTTCGGATCGGTGAACATTTACAAATCTCTCTCTTACCCGTCACGAACATCCTCTATTGTCTTACGACTGATCGGCCTGGGGTAAGACTTGATCTAGCAATCCAATCTCTATCACCGTGAGGTTTCAGTCAGAGAACCATTTGTTCTTCGTCTCTTGATACCGTCTTTGGCTTGTCCACAGGACCCCCTCCCATGATCTACCGAGGCTTGTACCTTTAACCAGTCCGAATAATATGGTAAGTTGATAACAAGCCAACGAGAAGATCAATCTATCCCCTGTCAAACGTCTTTTGGTCTCCACTGTGGTGCGTTTGAACGGGGGACATCTTAGCGGCTTCTCCAATCCGAGCGCCGAGCCGTTCGATCGTCTGTTTTGGATAGTGCTTACGCATACCGTTTCTTGGAAACTTGGGTTATAGAGTATAATAGCCTTGTTAAGAAATTCAAATCAAATACCCTTATAGTTTACCCAATATCCGGCTGCACGCCCTATTGGTGTTTAAATAGATCCGGAAGATCTCGTGCCTTATAGCAGCCCTTTGCGCCATAGCCGACGTAAATTACTGTGTTTTCGAACGATCTCGACTCATCAACCTTGAAAGCCGTGCACGGTAGACTGTCTGGACCCCGTTCCCACGTCGCAGGGTCCAAACCTTGTAGGAGCGCTCAACCGTGCGGTTCCTATACTGCTGGTTACCTGTGCCGATTCCGAAGCTAAATAACTTTTGTAAGCCGGCGTTCTTTATCTGCACAATCCAGCCCACATTCGTAAATTTGGAGGGAATTCCCTGCCGAGTCCAGGTACTCTGTACAAGAAGCACAGCAATATAAATAGATAGGCTTTTGGTCTCGACTCAAAGTACGATCAAGTGGTTCCCAACTCGAAGCGTTCTAGTATAGGTATGAACGATACACTCAACTGCTCCTAGTACTGGCTAACTATTCAGAAGTCTGCGGGTCCTTCTGTCGTGGCCTGCCAGCTTACAAGTCCTCAGCGGAGCTTGATGCCTTCCTACATACTGTCCGAAAGTGCTGGAAGTCAAGGGCTGTATGCTCATGGATAGAGAAGAGCACGGTAATCAAAGCACACCCAGAGGACTCATTGTATCGTCAAGGGTTTCACGTTCAATGATCCCATAGCCCTGCTTGCACAATGGAATGTTCACGATCAGACTTCCCAGACGTCTATCAGTTGACAGATGGCCATACAAGGGCTGCATGTACGTCGGGCCATTTGCCTTCTAGGTTCCTGAGCTTCAAAGCTATGCTTCCCTAACATCATCCAGAATCTCTGCGGATTCTGAATCAGACTCCAGCAGCAGCGACGGGTCCTTTAAATCTCTTAGAAGGCATTATTTGGTATGGCTCTGCGCCTAAACCCCGGTATTACTGTCTGTCATTAAGGTCAAATGTAGATGGTGGCTTGCTGGGTTTGACGGTGACTTCTAGCGACTGCTCCCCAACATTATCCCGGCAAATAAATCTTTCGCGTTTCCCTCTCCAGGGTTTACTCCCCATTAGATTTAACACATCTAGCCATAGACTCCTGAAGAACTGAACAGATTCTACACAAATAGAAAGGTTGAAGCATCATTTCGATAAAGCAGCACTGTTTACAACTGGAAAATTGGGCCGTCCGAGCTAACATTAGGTATGACAAGATACAACGCACAGTCATAATTTGTTACGGACTTAGTGGAATTGTCATCAAGCAGGTAAGAGAAGGACATGTGACTACACACGAAGGGGATATTGCTAAGTGTCGCAAAGCCTTTGATAATTGCCAGTCAGCCGCAACGCTACTAGGGTTCCATCACATGTTCACATCTGGTTTGTTCTGGCCTTTTACCTCCATAGTCTCGCCATTGAGCGCTCGTCGTAGATATTCGTATCAACGCCACATCGGGTTCACGAGGGCCCCTCTGCTCTCCAGGTCCTCATCCGGACTCATACCAAAAGATATCACAATACCTGGAACCTGGTTGAATGAACTCATCACTTACATTGATCTCATCTCAATCAAGTTTAGCTCCATCAGGCAATTATATAATATCTCAAATCGTGTTGCATCACATCAAACTACAATGGTAAATAAGTTACAATGACTCATGCCCCGCCTGTCTCACACGGTGACTCGAGACACTAATATAACATGTGAGCTACGATTTCCAAGCCAATCACTGGGTTGTTGTGGATATAAAAGATGGAAATATAGGGTTGGGATGCCCCTTGACTGCTGAAGCCATATACGGCAATACCGCGGATCTCACCCGCCCATAAATCCTTAACTCCGTCGCTTGTACGGAATGGTACACCACCCTTTGTTCCGTAGTATCCTTGTCTCCAATTAATGGTACGCTTAAAATGAGCCAATTGGCTCCAGATTGTACTTTTGGATTTTGCGCGTATTTAGATTGCCTTGACCGCCTCATGTGGTCCTGGTTGTCGCTGCCCAAGCAGAATATGAAGGCAAATGCGACACCTCATTACTTTGGCTCAGAGATTCAGACTCGGAGATGACTAGGAAAGCACATATACGGAAACCTTGAGTTTGATAGACGCCACATTCGCCTTCGACCCGACTTTTTTAATTCAAGGGCCTATCAGTCAGCAGCCAGGTCTTCCATGGTACATGCACTTAAAGGAATAGATGTGAAGCCTTCGGTCGGGGAGTGTAGTAGTGTTATTCCTGACGATGTTACAGAAGTGGCCTCTATCATGGGCTATGAGGAAGTCAGCGCATGGAGGCCTATCGAGTATACCATGGATCAGGAAGTAACCGTTTGCTACCCACTCTTTGGGAGCGCCTGGAGTCTGAGAGAAGGATCACTCCATTCTTGCATCAACCCCAGTTTAGGCTCAATTAGGTCTCCGACTAGACAACGCAGTAGAGCAACAAGTCTCTTGAGTATCGGACAAGCAATTAGAAGTAGCTAGTGGCTCTCATCGATAGGACTTGTTGACCTATGGGTAGGACGACACTCGGCCCAGCCTGCAGAAAACGCTGTGAGGAACTCTGGCGTGGCACGCAGCCATCAAGCAAGAGACCTGCTTCTGGGTTCGTCTCAAAGCGGCAAAACCACCGCCGTAAACGCGGTAAACCTCCTCGCTGGGTCTCCAGCAGACACTTCTCGATTGGTACATTTCAGACGTACTATCCTAGCGTCAGTCAACTATCAAATATGCTGACTGTTGGACCAAGGAGTACGGGTTTTGCCTGGCAGTATTCATGCTTACAGTATCACGGTCATGCTGAAAATCTGCTTTTCGAACGCTCAGCAATTTGAGACATCTCTCACACATTCAATAAGACAGAGACAAGTCAGCATGGACAAGATGTACAGCAACATGGTGTCTATATTAAAGTATATACAGAAAAGTGGGACTCCTGGAAGAAATGAGAGACGAATATCTGGATGATGGGACTGAAGAGTACGTAACTTGTGCCTCAAGTCTCTATCAATAATCTAACAGGCCAAGTAGTTTAGAAAAACGCAATTGACCGCATCCTAGAATTAGGTTACGTGCCCATAGGGATCGCTATGACAGAGTATACCAACGGGCAGTCGGAGGCAATCTTCTGTGATCCCTCGGGAAGCCGTGGTGAAAGGAAAAAAGATTGGATCAAAGTTTTTGAGGGAGCAACAAAATTTCTATACTTTGTCGTTGCGGAAGACGAGGGCACTAATCATCTGGCGGAAGGAATGACTTGTGTTCGACGCCATGTGCTCAGTCCGATGGCTCAACGATGTGGAGATAATTCTATTTATTAATATGATGGATAAGTTAAAACACAAACTGAAGAGCGTGCCATTTGACTCCACGGCCTTTGAGACCTGGGGCCCTTTTAGTGGAGAACTCCGAACTCTAGACGATGTCAGGGTATATCTTTGAGACACTTTCTCAACTGTCGCTAAAAGGTCAGCGCGTTCTATCATTGTCAATTATACAGGCTTGATATGACTCGAAGAAGTTGGCAATACTGTCTTGTCTTATGCTACGTCTGTATGATATGATACGGTATGCATTGAGGTGAACACATATACAAAAGCACCTTCGGGCCTGAACAAGCGCAAAGCTCCCTTATTGCCCAGCTATAGATGTACACCATATCAACTAATATACTAAGCACATGAAAGGACAACAAATTAGCCTTGGATGACTAAAGCTTCAAAAAGATAAATCTATTTTAAAAAGCCCCACAGGTTGTTCAGACTTTCTGCATATGCCGGATGCGCAAAAACAGCATCCTGTAGTTTCTGGTACGGAAGTTTTGCTATCATAGCCATCTGGACGATACTCATCACCTCTCCACCCTCTGTACCGAGGCATGTAAACCCCAGAATCTGTCCACTTTCGGCGTCAATGACTGCTTTCATCATGCCTCGCGCTTCATCCGTCTCTAATGCTCGGGCGACATAGCTCATCGGCATTACTGCTGTTGTGATTTTCAACCCTGGATACCGGTCTCGTGCCTCCTTCTCATGCAACCCAATGTGGCCCAGTTGAGGGTCTGTGTATACCACATAGGGCACGAGTCGGTCCTTGATGGAGGGTCTTGCATGTGAAATTGGTTCTGACACTAGAGAAGCTTTCAGAATGCGGGAATCATCGTATGATATATGAGTGAATGCGGGAGGGCCCTTCACATCACCTAAGGCGTAGATCGAAGGAACTGACGTCTCCAAGTATTCATTACACTTGATGTACCCTTTCTGATCGGTTTCTATTCCCGCAGCCTTGGTATTTAGGACATCCGTGTTAGGTATCCTGCCGGCAGCGAAAAGAATATGCGTAACACCGGGGATAGTCTCGTTCCCAGTTCCGGTTTTGATGGACAGGCTGAATGCCTTCTCAGGGGAAGGTGATACCTCGGTGGGCGTTGCCTCCAAGTGAACAGATACCCCTTCGGTCTGGAGGATATCCATGAGCTCGTCCGCCAATTCTTTGTCTTCACGGGACAGCAGCTGCGCTCCGCGATGCACAATAGTCACCTTCTTCGACCCGAGCCTGGCGAAGAGCTGTCCAAATTCGACTCCAACATACCCGCCCCCAACGACCACTAAATGGTCCGGGAGCTCATCCAACTCCTGAATAGACGTGGAGTCTAAGATCCGTTCCTTCCTAACCATATCCAACCCCTTAAGACTGGGGGGAGCAGGTCGGCAACCAACATTAACAATAACTATCTCTCCTTGGAGCAACTTCTCACTTCCATCCGACATAACCACCTTAACACTTCCTGCATCCTCAAACCTCGCCTCCCCACGGATAACCTCGACCCCAGAAGCGTCCAAACCCCTCTCACTCCCGCCGCGAAAAGAGCTCACAATATCGCGTTTTCGCTTTCTAACCTTACTCATCGAAACCGCAATCTGGTTTCTCGGTCCGCTATGCCCAAATATATGAACACCGTAATCCGGACCCCGACGCGCCAAGTGCGCGACACGACCGGAGGCAATCATGGTTTTCGTGGGCGTACATCCTTCGTTAACGCAACAGCCACCGATATGTTCTTTCTCTATCAGTGCGGTTTTCTTTTTGGCTTCGGCAAATGCCTTTGCGAGGGGAGTGCCGCCTTGGCCTGAGCCGATTATTATTGCGTCGTAGTGTGTAGTGGTTGCCATTGTCCTGGAGAGTAAGTGGCGTAATTGTTGGGTTGCTTTGTCCAGGTGGTGGAGATATATAGACATGACAACTGTGGGTAGATATCGATCGAGAACATATTTTATGGGGCCGCGCTAGAAGAAATAGGTCGGTCAAGGTTGCACCGCATCGAATACATCATCGGTCGCGAGGTGGCGCTTGTTCCGTGGAATGTGTGAACCTTGCTGTACTTTATTCGAGTATGAAATGCGGATGTCAGCCAAAGAACCGCTGCGATAGGACAGCCACGTTGAGTAGTACGTGAAACACCCTCCTGGCTCTATGTGTTTACTGTCTCTGCATTATGTTAATCTAGTATATTGATTTGGACTACAGAGCATGGGTATTTATTCTTTTTCCGTGTAGTAGTAGATATTGCTGGAAGGTACATGGGTGAAACTTGTAGAATAGCTTGTAAGATATTCGTATTAAACGATACCAAAAAGATCAGGTTTCGATTCTATCAAAACTATCTCAACGGCCTATCTAGGCGGGAATCGTGAGGCCATTTATATGTGGCCTGATTACCATAGTATTCAACAATCCACGTACTTCCGCAGGTACTCAATTCACCAGGTATATGTCAAGTGTCTGCGAAACTAGGTAATATCTTGGGCGTATTCAATAAAACATATATATTTAAAGATCTCAAGGAAACAACAATTGTAGTACTACCCACGGATATACTGGTAGTTGACTGGACTAGAGCGATTTGACTATTGACTAGGGAAAAATGATTTACCACTAGCAGTTTTGACATGGTCAGCCTCCAAGCTGTACTACGACTAATCTATCTATCTATAACGAGAAACGCCATTACGCTAGAAGTCGCCGTGTTGGAAGTTGGAATATTTCCATGGTGATGCTATTTTGCACTTGTTGTGAGTCACATAACGCATTGGGACTAGACGGGCTAGCAGTAATATGTACCCTTTACAAAACTAGAAGATGAGAAGACAATCTTATGCTGAAAACAAATGCAGGTATGGTGCTCTCCACCTGCTATCACGCAATGGTTGAGCATAACGCTGTAGACTAGTACTGTGAATGTCTAAGTGGGCCGGATGAGGTCCTAACTGGTGCGCTGGCTTTATCTGTCCAGCAGCACCTTTGTTCTAAGTCGTCTCATTGGGCTTTTATACCCTTTGTTCAATATCAGTTAAGGTGATACCTCTTCAGCCTCATAGCTACATATAACCTTTTTCAACTAGGAGCATTGGGTTGGGCAGACGTGTTGAAGCAATACTCACGCCTGTCCAGTCGCGATGAGGAATAGTTATGACCGCATATGTGTCGACCAACAGCTTATAAAGCCTTGAACGATTCCAAAAGGTATGAGTGGTAATATCTGTCAAAAACCACACTGGAGCGGAGAGTACGGCATTCATTTTGGTATAGGATCGGCAGAGCGCAAGTGGCTTCTCTAAATGATCCAGATATCATGGTAAGTGGCTAACAAGCATTATCCCGAAATGAGACAAATCCCGACTAGAACGGCACGTTGGACCTTTTCGGTTCCATTCGGTCATCTACTGCAGGCATCATGTACCATACCGAATTCCCGAAAGATACTACGCGGTGGGAAAACTGCGGGATACGTGGATCTAATACGAGGTGAGTATATTTCATCCAGGGGCGGAAGGCTCTGATGAGAGCTGTTTTTAATGGGGTAGCATGGCGCCATATGCTAAAGCATTGTCCTATGACACAGACTTATGGAATAGTCGCGAAGGATGTTAAAACCGAATGGTGCCTAGAGTTGTGGAATGTCACTGGTATGGGAGCCGGAAGAAACTGCAAATGGCAACTGAGAAGATCATAACAAATGAAGACGATGTTCCCAAGCTTTTAACGGGGCCATCCTGAGAACTATAAACCGGATCAGTGAAATAGGAATCTACAGGGCACGCTTACTGTATATACTGTCACTGTTAATTTTCGTTACGTTGTCCCATATCCAGAAGGACTTTGGATCTATCAAACCGTTGCAATGCACCATTTTCGCAGAATACATTGTTTCAATCGGTACGCTAGGTAGAATAGTTCTACCCAGACATTTCCAAGCGGGATTGTAGGATCTTGAAGAAGGATTTCCCGAAGTTCTCCCGATAGTTGGTTGCATCATTACTCGGGCCCTTTTACCGCATCGATATTAACCCGTGGGGTAAAATGAGTACAGAAACAAAGAACCGGCAGTATCCGGGGAAGGATCCTTGCACTTGCATGCTACAACCAGGGAGGGGTATGCCGATCAACGGTAGTATCGTCGTTAACATAGCCGGATATAGTAAGTCTCAGGTGTCGCCCATCGAACCGGCGGCTTCGGCCGACTTCAGGCAGTTCGTTCGGCTCCCTCGAGGGTATGGACTATATCGCGAGGTATGAGCCGGTGTCCCATATACGGTAATGAGGAATATATATTCCGTCTTCCACGCGAACCGGGGAAGAGTCCACATTGTTTCCCGAGCGTCGCTGCAGAGGTCCGTCTGCCACGGACCGGTCTGCTCCACGATAAATTCTCAAATGTATTGGTCGAGGAGGAATTTAGAGTTTGTAATAGAGTGTGGCTGGCCTGCATCGGTGTCTATGTCTAGCTTTCACCCCGCGGGCTTCCATATTAGCAATTGAACAATGACGCACTACGCCATATGTTGGGACGCATCTCGGATCAAGTCCGCGTGGAATGTGGGGCAAATTGTGGGGTTTGGGGTAGTAATCTGGAGTGGCCAGGGGTTGTTTGCTTACGGGATATGCACACATCGGCTTCAACTCTACCCGTCGATCATTGCCTAGAGTAGTGGCGATGTCGGCCACAATACTAACGGTAGTCAAGGTGGAAGAATTTCAACGTGCGTGGGAGGACGATGCTGTACTTGAACCCATCTCGTGATATAAAGATGCTGCTACGATCCCGTGCCTCATTAATCGGCACACTCTACGACACCATCATAAACCAAAGTAAAGATGAGAGCTCCCTTGGCATGCATGACCGCGTTGGTGGCATTTGCTGAGGCACAGCAATTTTATATTACCGCTGAAGGTTATACTGAGCGTCCTCAGTGTACCCATGCAGTTCCATCGCCACAGTATCATTTCCGGCAGTTTTCTTATACTCTTAATGAGACAGTTCGGTATGTACCTTTACTTCCATTCGTCCAACACTATGATAGTGGCTAATGATGAGAATGCAAGTTATGCTACTTCGGTTCCATCGCCTACCACGACTGGTACATATGGGCCACCATATTCCGAGGCTGTCAAGCACCTCACTACAAGCCCAGTTACCACCACTTGGGGGAACTGGCTACCTAATCAAACCGTGGTCACTGCCACGGACACAAATGACCCATATGGCCAAGCGGCATGGTCCTCCTTATGGCTACAAGCTGGCCTGGAGAATTACACGACCACTGGGTTGTATTCCACCACCGTCAGCCCAACACCGGTTCCCAGTAGTGAACTAGTCCTACCACCACGGGACTACTTCAGACCTACAGATTGCTACAACTTCCCCGATGACTTTGTCTTTGGCGTTGCAGGAAGTGCGGCCCAGGTTGAAGGAGCCATGGGCTTGGAAGGCCGAAGCCCTACTATCCAGGAGAAGCTGGCGAACACCACTCAGCCGAAGAACTACGTGACGAACGAGAATTACTTCTTGTATAAACAAGATATTCAACGCCTCGCTGCCATGGGGGTGAAATACTATAGTTTTTCGATTCCATGGACCCGAATCCTGCCCTTCGTGCTCCCGGGCTCGCCGGTCAACGAGCAGGGCATCCAACACTACGATGATCTTATTAACACAGTACTCGACGCGGGAATGCTACCTATCGTCACTCTGCATCATTTTGACAGTCCGCTGATATTCGTGGCTAGCGACAACACTTCCGCTCATCCCGATATCGGCAACAACAATGCAGGCTATCAGAATGAGACCTTCGTCGACGCCTTTGTCAACTACGCAAAGATTGTGCTCACCCACTATGCCGACCGCGTGCCAATCTGGGTGACCTTCAATGAGCCATATCTTTACTCGTTCAACTTTACCGGTGCCAATAACGTTGTGCATGCTCACGCACAAGTGTACCACTTCTACCACGATGAGCTTAATGCCACTGGCCAGATGGGCATTAAATTCAATGACAACTTCGGAGTTCCCCGCAACCCTAGTAATTCCAGCGACGTCCTGGCCGCGAACCGATTCCAAGAAATTCAACTTGGCCTCTACGCCAACCCTATATTCCTAGGAGAGCAGTACCCGGACTCGGTCCTGAATACTCTTCCCGGTGCCAAGCCACTGAGCGAGCAAGACCTCTCGTACATAGCAAACACCTCCGATTTCTTCGGCATTGACCCTTACACTGCAACTGTGGTCTCCCAGCCCGCCGGAGGCATCGACGACTGCGCAACAAACAGTTCCACGGATAACTCCTTGTTCCCCTACTGCGTCGTGCAGGAGACCAAAAATATCTACGGGTGGAACATCGGCTACCGCTCCCAGAGCTATGTGTATATTACCCCTACCTACCTGCGGGAATACCTCAGCTACCTGTGGAATACCTTCAAGAAGCCAGTATTTGTGTCGGAGTTTGGATACCCCGTATTCAACGAGGCTGATAAGGGACTGTCGGATCAGCTGTTCGATACACCGCGCAGTATCTATTACCTCTCGTTCATGTCGGAGATTCTTAAGTCAATCCATGAAGATGGAGTGCACGTAATGGGTGCATTGGCTTGGTCGTGGGCTGATAACTGGGAGTTTGGTGATTACGCGCAACAGTTTGGGTTGCAGGTTGTGAATCGTACCACACAAGAACGGTACTTCAAGAAAAGTTTCTTTGACTTGGTTGATTTTGTTGGCGCACGAATGGGGAGTTGACTGGTTTACTCAGATGGTGATGTGAGAATAACGAGGGGAATTTAAGTTAAGATAGGGTGCGTGGATGTATGGCGTTCAAGTGATAGTGGATTCGCGTCCCTGATAGGGAATAAAGAATATCACCAGTCGTAATACTTCTTCCACCTGGCCCTCTATCCTCTATGTCCTCATACTCACCACTCATTCAGATATTGCAGCTGGGCCCGGCGCTAAGTCAGCCTTTATCGCTTTGTTATACCGAAGCTTCTTCATCTGCATCGAGGGATAGAGCTTGATTCGGCTTTCCCAAAACCTCTCTCACGCAATAGAAATTTAATCGGGTATGACCCAATCGTCTTGTTATCTCAATGGTAATGAAGAGGTCTGCAATGAGCTCGCCCATTGGTACTAAAAGTCACACGAGCGAGCTTACTGTGGTAGTTGCGGTAGCAGCAATTGCTGACTAGCTTTAGGTTTCGATTTCAAATGTGGTTGTCAATGCTGGGAATATACTGGGAACAAGTGGAGGGAATTGGTTGGTACATGGGCATGAGGGAGATAATGCGACGTTCTATCCGACCAACGACCGTACGTATGCATTCAGATACTACTAAGCATGCATCATAATAATGACGCCCTTGTTGAAGAGTTTCCAGGTAGGATGGAAAGATTAATAATTAAGTCATTTCGGGACGGACGACGGACTAACCAATTTGCTATCAACGCGGAACTTTTCAATGCATGTCTTGTAAAAATCAAAATCATCAGCACCGCCTGTGTCATTCGTCAACACCCGATGCGTTCGAGTATAGGTTGACCTGTTTGATGCTTTGCAGTACCATCCATAAATTCACCTGTAAGACCTTAATGTTAAACCTAACCAAAAATATGGCCAATTCTGTTCTGTTGGTGCGGAAGTTGCAAAGGGCAGCTCTAATATATAACAAGAGTGTGATCACATTATGAATCTCTTAGAGGCAAACTAATGTAGCTATATGATAATCTCTGGGAAGACACTTGTGTCCACTCCGGATTACTACGTGCAGGGCTATGACTCCCTCGCTGTTGACCGCATTCAGATCGGCGCCGTTGCAAGCAGGAGACGCGGCATCAATAAATTCCCCTGTGACACTGCAAAGAGAAATGGGATAATCCAGGGGAAATCTCCCTTATCAGACATGATGATCTCCTAGATTCTAGTACATGGTTCGAAAGTGGAGTTTGAGGGATAGTGGGTGCGTCGACCATGGACGAAGCTGGAATCTGCACCACATCGAGCGCAGAATCTACTCTTCTGGGAACGTCAGTTGGTAAACATACAGCTGTGCATGGTGGCTGCCTATGGACAGTGAGACTGCCGCTTGGCCGCACGTTCGGTACGGTTGGGTGACGTGAACCCTGAGAGAAAACAAGACTAACGTTGGAAGCTATGAGGGCACATCAGCCCAATGAAGGCATGACATGAGCCAAGTGAGGAGGAAAGTGAAACGTGACCGGTTGAAGAGGCTGCCAAGTCTGAGAAGCTGGTAGCGGACGGGGAGGAGCTATTGTTCGGGACAGTCTCGTAAACCAGCAGCATTAAGCTTCGAAGGGTACATCATGCAATCACCTGTCAGTATCGAGGTTCCGAACCCTCATGGAACTGGAGAAACGGGATTTTTAAGAAAATTGCGCTTGGTAGGCTTCCGTGTGTCACAATGCCAGCTCACGTTGCGTCCTCATCTGCGGCGGCGAGCTGACCTCTCTTGTTCTTCCCTAGGAGGTATATATGAAGCTGCAGGAACAATAGTAGCTGCGTTATAATAAACCCTTGTGGGAGAACCGTTTTGTGTTAGATATTAACCTTCCTATTCGATGTAACCCTATCCTGAAGGCAATAATCCAGGTGCCAACAGTTTAACTTTGCCGAATTCTTAAACACAGTTTCAAACCTGTAAAACGAAGGTCTAGAATACCGGCCCCAGATAGACCAACCATATGCGAGCAATTAATCGTTCCTAGTTAATATGTGTTAGCCGCAATCCCGGTTTGCTTGAGTATTGCTGTTCTGGTGGCTTCGCTACCTATTTATAGGGTCAGAGAGAATAAGAAGAGGGGATCGGAAGGCGGGGCCATGTCATTGAGCCTGCGACTAGGGAGGCTGGTAATGTGTTGGATTGGTAGAAGCAGAGTTTTCGGTTCTGTTTGTACGCCCTGAGGGCGGGACCAGTGGAATAAGATAGACGTAATTCTTGAAGGGCATATAGAGTTGGCATAATGGGATAAGAGTCATAACCGTCAAGAAACTAAGCAAAGCTCGTCTGCCAGCCAAGAGACTCCATCGCAGGTTCCCACTCGAAATGACCGACCCTCATGGCGTTGTCCGGTTCCATCTGCATGTCCCTGCGCTGCCAGACTAGTTCGACTAATGTCTGAGCTCGGGGGATATTCTCGTAAGGAGCCTTTTCTCTGGCGGCGCGAAATATTTCCAGAGCCCTGCTTCTAATCTCTTCGTCCCATGAGCAGCAACAAGAGGCAATGAAAAGAGGCCATAGAGGCCAGGAGACGGGCAGGTGATCTACCGAAGACACCACGCAGTTTGCGAGGCTAAGGATGCGGTCTACATATCGTGCCCTCTGGGCTGGGTCCTTGAGCCGCTCAACACTTGGGATTATGGTTGGGGTAAACCCGAGGAAGTGAGGACTAACCGCCTCTGACAGTAGAAGATATGCTGCCAGATGATAGGCCTCGCTTATGCTTTTCAGCAGGCGAAATTGATTTCTGGGCTCAGCAGAGCTACGGTCCGCATATAAGGAGACGGGAATTATCTGTGTTGTGGTAGCTAGACTTGCTTCCAGGGTTGCAATCTTATGCGCGATTGCGGCTTGTTTCTGTTCCACCACTGGACGGGGAGTGGACAGGTCCGAACATTGGTGACGAAGTACTTGGGCGTCGTGTCTGAGACTCAAAATATCATTAATGAGCAGTAGCATGTGGCTACTCAGGCCATTCCATGTATCAATCTCATGGTATGTGTCCACCGGCATCACTGTTGCGAGATACTTGGTGGCAGTCCATGACATTTTTTGATCACTCACCGTGCCTACTAGGGAGCTGTGGGCAGGGGAGCTGGCGGCTACCCCACTGGCAGAGGATATATCGTCAATTGAGAACAGCGATTTAGCCAACACCAGGTGGGAGGAGAAGTAACTGATGAAGAATTGCGGCACAGGGGGGGCGTTTTTACGGCCGCGGGCCATCTCTTCCACGACCAACCGGAAACAGGCGAGATGCCGTATCCAGGAACCGTCGCAGCTATTAGATATCTAATCACAGGGTTAGTGACGACCCCCAGGGCAACTCTTGAAAGCTGTAATTACAAGGGTGTTGTGATATAAGGTGGAGACTTTAACATACTGCCGAAGAGCACAGGAAGATTGTCGGCACCAACAAATCCTCCCAATCCAAATTGTCTTTCATTAAGGCCCTCCGTAAGCCCCTCAGCACCCTTGACCGGATTTGGATCTCTACCAGTTCAAACCTACCGTCCACCGACCGCAGGTAATGTGCACTGGCCATAAGAACGGCATAATAAGCTGTCTCACTCCGAAAAACGAGGCGCATCACCGTGTTGCGGAGAGGGTTGAAACGCTCATCATCGATCGTCACCCCGACGGTGCACATCACAGCATCGTAAAAGGACAAACACACATCGTCCACCCCTGGCATACCAATGCTCCATGGCAACACCGGTAATGGGCGCGAAATAGTCGTGGTGTTTTTCCAGTCCTCGTAGGGAGTGCAATAAGCGACACGACTACTGGGCCTGGCCGGTAGTCGACTATGGGGACCGGGTGGAGAGCAAATCGTGACGGAAGCGGCCTCGCGTTGCCGGAGGGCCGTGTCATTGCGTCTGGCCCGTGTCAACCGTTCGGGTTCTCCGTTGGTCGCCGGTGGGCACTGCAAGGAATGTCTCGTCGACTGAATGCCCGTTCGTCCATGACACTTCCCAGCCGTGCGCATCTCGTCCTCCCATTGCAGCTGGAGTTCGTAGCTACCGGGGTTTTTCGATCGCTGACAGCGCGTGCAGTTGGGACGACTCTCTATATCGACAGTGGATAAGCCTCTGCCCTTTCATCAGGTACGGAATAAGAAAGCTCTAGACAGAACCTGGAACCTTAGGCAGCACGTAGGAACAAGCAAAATACGAGAACAGACTTGCACGTACCATCGCACTCCACTTGCCTCCGTCGGCAGGTATTGCAGCCGTTGCGGCTTCGGACTTTCGGTCTGAGCGCTTCCAGTGACGATGCATCTGAATCAGAGGGCGGGAATGCGGGATCTGACTTCATGGGCCAAGTCATGAGCATGTCGTCATTCCTCATGGCAAGGAAGCTCGGGTCTTCCCTGTGCGATCCCCCAAGTACCGTGGAAGAAGTAGCGGCGACTCAGAAATCGAGGAAGCGGCAGGAATGTAAACACAGGATTTGAACAAGGGCTCTTGGACTGAGGCGGGATATGAAAATACCAGGAGATCCAGGCTAGTGGAGAGAGAAACGGAACTGATATGGAACATCACCAGTCGTATTTCTATGTCGTGAACACTCAACCTTCTGGGAGTTGATCATTGGATGATCGCTGATGGAGGAGACGCTCCACCTGGCCGCCATTGCAGACACTAAAACAATAGTCACGCTTGGGAAGGCCCCTCAGTGGACCCCCTTCAAGGACATCGTAGTGCTGACAACAGTGTTCTAGGCGTGGCTGCGGGTCTGGTCATTGCCGAAAGGGTATTCTTGTGGTAGCCGCGTGCAGTGAGAGCAGGAGATCAAGACGGTGAGAATAAACAGGAAAATATAACCAACAGGAACAGCTACTGGCATTCTCTATAAGCGACTCTCCCCGCCCCTTTCCGTCAGGTTATCCATATCCGCTGTTTGGTTTGTTCAAATAATGGTCGCTGACCATATATGTTTGCTCAAACCACCGCTACCAAGTCAGCTTTCGTTTCGAAGAACTTCATTGTTGTTATGCTATTTATTGATGGCTTGGACGACTGAAGAGTTGAAGCAGACCTGAAGCACCTGGGTAAGAGGCGACCTATTTGTTTAAACCAACCGGTTTATATTTGAATGTCCGGGGCGGAGAAAATGAATTGAACTAATACCGTTGCTTCGCGAGCAAAAATTCATAGTGCTCTCATTGGAAGCAGAGACGCATGGTACTGTATGTTTTCTTTTTCTCTTTTTTTCTATCTTTTCCTTTTCCATTATTTTCTTTGATTTTTTGTTGCTCTCTCTGGCAGGGAAAAACATATTAGGCAGAAACAATCTTCCGCCAGACTATTGCCTCTAGAAAAAATTACCGACATGAAACCCGCGTCAGTTTAACCATTTCAGGCATGTTTCCAGACTATAGTATCATCTAGTGGGATACAGCGTTGCAGGAACTGCTTCCTGAGGTTGGGTAGACGCATCAAAGGGCTTATGATCTGGACATTGGTGATGGTGGTGACACTAAACGAATGATTCTGTGCTGGTACATTATCAATGTTAGGCTGTTTCACTATACAGAACACTAATCTTGAGAGAAATTCTGCTTCGGTTGTTATTATCTCCTCGGTGCGGCATATTCCCATCGCTATGCCGAAATAATTCAACTCGGAGGTACCTCGGGAGAATTAGCGGGGAGGTATAAAAATGAGCACATTTGACAAACCCTACTAGCTAGTTTAAGTTGGACGACCATCAAGGTACAGCTTGATTGCCATCGTCTCCACCTGTCGAGACCCTCTCTTCAATCCCACAGACCGTATTGTCCCCGCCGGAGCACAAACTAAAATTTACGGGTCCTTTCGTTGTTTCACGCGGGGGCTAGAATCTGCAATATGTCTACCTGGGCCTTCGGGGATGGATATCCCCGTTTAGCTAGCACATAACCTCGTTCTCCCCAAGAAACGTTGGCTCCTGGCCTATATAAGATTTTTTCTTCCCCAGGAGAGTGCCTTCTGCTACAGGTACTTTCGCTTATCAACTTGAAAAACCAACATATTTTCCGATATGGTCCAGATCAAGGCAGCTGTCCTGGCTATCTTTTTCGCTGGCCAAGTGCTTTCCGAGTCTGTTGAACCTCAACAGGCCTCTGTGAGCATCGATGCAAAATTCAAGGCTCACGGGAAGAAATATCTGGGAAATATTGGTGACCAGTACACCTTGAACAAAAACGTAAAAGCACCGGCAACCATCAAGGCAGGCTTCAGCCAACTGACTCCGGAAAACAGTATGAAGTGGGATGCTACTGAGCGTGAGCAAAAATGTTTCGGGGTATCTAGAGTATTAGAAGCTAATTTGTAAATTAGTAAACCGAGGATAATTCCCTTTCACGGCGTCAGATTATCTGGTTTGTACCCTTCCAGACCACGGCTTATCGATATTCGTTGGTTGGTAGTAATTAATCCCTACAAACTTATCCGCCAGCGCCACACCCCGATCGAAAGGAACAACGGGCTCGTTGATCCCATGGGTCTCTCGATAAGCAATAGGATCATGGCCACCTTCATACCCACTAATCACGCCACCGTTCAAGACACTCACAGCCTTAAACCATTTAGCCTGCGAGCAAGCAAAGGCATAGCTCATTCCAGCGCCCCAGGAGAAACCTGTCGCACAGCGAGAGCTCTGCTTTATATAGAGTTCGATCTCAACTTGTTTTATGATGGTAACGACGAAAGCCACGTCTTCGCCGTTGGTGTTGACCGGCGTTCTAGACATTAGGGGCTACCGAAATTGCGCTGCGCCCGTGCTTCGAGGCTGTACGAGGGTTGGATGCAGTCGCCATCGACGACATATTTCATATTCCCGTCGCGCCAGTGGAAGGGAAAAGGAGGTGATGTGGTTTGTTTGAATCGTAGTTATCGGGGACTTTGAGGATGTACTCGCGGCGGATTAACTGGTGGGCGCCATTGACAAGAGTAGGCTTTTTACCACAGCCCGGAGAATTTGCGCCGTCGTCTGACATGAGGACACTAAGGGTCACGAAGCTATGGAGGAAGATGGATTGAAGCAATGTCTCTGACAGAATGATATTACAGAGTATGAGACTTTGCTAAGCCGTAGAGTGGTAAGGAATTGGATTGACAGCGGAACTGGCAGCTCTGTGATGACGGTTGTACATTTATAGGTGGTTGTGATTTAGCCGCCAGGTACTTTCCCGCAGAGATCCCTGCCCATTTAGAAACGGAGTTCTAGATAATAGTCGGTTGCAAAAGATGTGTGGTCTCCATTTCTTTGTCCTGTGCAAGTCTGTAAATCTCCGCTGCCGGCAGAAATCAGTTGAAGCTGTAGCCTGTTAATGCCTTCGTCTGGTAAACTCTGTATAGGAAACGGTACGACGTTGGGGACTGTTGCAGGATGACACCGTGAGGATACAGGAATTGCCAAGAGAAGAACACCTATCACGCCCTCTGGAAGCTGGGTCGAAGAATCGCAGAGATGAGTAGCCATGGGCTTTCATTTGGGGGGGGGGGACCGCGCATCTCGTCGGGATTTGCAGCTAGCGTTAGTGTTGGTCCTTCTTCGTAGAAGCCAAGTATGAATGGAGGACCCTGAATCAGGCTAGTTCCTTCATCCTGGTTGATGCACCCTACGAGGATTTCTGTGGCAGGAGGTATGGAGATTTAGTCAGGATCTTCCGATCTGCATAGGTTACCAATAGATGTGACGACCTGAGGTACCATCCAAACAAGCTAGGTTAGCATACCAAGATCCTATCGGCAATGGAGAACCATTTGCACTGCCGAACACGAGATTTGGCCCCTATGAAACTCGTTATCATGAACTCTCTATGGTGCGAAGTGACTGCCACTGAGTCTGGTTTGATTGATAAAGACTAGCCTACGCATTGTGGGGCCTATCCAACTTTAGTAAGGAATGTGTAAGGTGCTACGGCTAGCCAAGGTTTTCTAGACCCTGAGCGAACGTCCTTAACATCTTAACGTAGCTACATGAGGGTTTACAGACGGCCTATATTTGGAAGACATAGCTCCCTAATGTTCGGAACCGTCAAGTGTATCACCGCAACCATTGGCCCCCTGAAGATTGACCTCGCATTAATGTCAAATTCCTCCTCAAGTGACATGTGACTAAGACACCCGGTTGTCACAAGGCTTGCACTTCGATTCATCTGTTGGATAATGGAGGCAGTGCACATACACCGATCCATGTAAGGCCAAGAATGATATTAGAAATATTATATCAGGTGTTGGATAGAGCCAATGATGCAAGGGTAGTATTTACCCTTCGGGTTAGTGGACATTTGAACTTTAGACTTGGCATTGGCAGACTGTTGCATAGTGGGTGTGAGTCTCTGTCTCAGCGTCTCGACCATTTTTTTTTATGCGCTTCCTCCCTTCCCTGAGTTTATTCACAACCACCACAATGGTTCATTATGTAGTCCAAATTAGGCACTGTCCAGATAATAGCCAATGCCGTCTGAAAAGCGTTTCTGACCACGGGTGAATACGGTGTCCCCTCAAGGGAGTACTGAAGAATTTTCTGTTGTACCCACAGCTAGAATTATAGATCTTCTCCTTTGAAGGCTATCTCTCACCATTATATTTTTCTTCGTTCGTCTGACTTGACCTGTTATCGTTTCCTCTCTTGTCATTCTTGGAGTGACTGTGGATACATACCATCATTTGACTACGCTGAGAGTAATTAATGAACCATTCTGTAGATCAGCCCCTTAGTAACCAGGGTCAAACCCCTGGAAAGTTCCACTCTTTAAAATTGGCGCAGCGCTACGAAAATTTGTCTTACTATAACTGTTCACATATTAAATTTCATCAGCCTTTACTGCAGACTCTTATATTGATGTTGTATCACTCTTTTACAGCGTGCATCTTCTCGAAAAAAGGTACAGGCCGACCACCAAGTATGAGTTTTGGTTCAAGGACTCCTGGTCACTATCCTCCAAGTGTAAGCGCAGAGACTATATAGGAAGATAGTAATTGACTAACATATAATAGATACATTCTTGTACAATGGTTAGGTTGGGTCAATGATAATATAATTCAAGTTACCACATCTTACATTGTCCCGATTGGCATGGGTATTGTAACTTTTGCATGCATGTATGAAACGCTGCTCTTCCTAGATGCCGCCCACCACAAAAATAATATCCTACTTGCTGCTATTTGTGTTAGCAATGTCTGTGTTTTTGTGTATTCTGTCTTACAGTGTATGAAGATGCGTGAAACTACTCATACGCTGCAGTTTAACTATGATATCGTGGGTCGCCCTCTTGCAGATCCTACAAGAGATATTTGGATTTCGATGCAACCAGCTGAAATTTTGATTCCACTTGTTCTGGGCCTCGCTTCTCTCACCATCATACCTATTGCCTACAGGCTACATAAGGACTACGCCTGGGCCATCTATAAATCTATCTATGGTAGCGCAGATCTCAGATTGCGGTAAGTGAATCCATCCCCCTTCTTCCATCTTATGTCTAACATGCTATAGATTTACTTGGTCCTTGTCAGGTTTGACTTTTTCTTCCTAGTTGGTTTGGCTATCCAATATAACTTGATCGACGTCCATTTCCAAGAACCGGAGTACTCTCTTACTATGGCTATTATTCCGGCCACGATCTTGATTATGTTCTTTGGAACTTACTGTGTGAAGTCAGAGCTGAGACTCGGCATGGGTATTGTCGTTGTAAGTTCCTTATTGTGTTGCCTCCGGATCCATTACTAATGATATTCAGGTTTCCCTCCTCGGATTAATGGCCACCTTCTTAGTCGGATTATCATTTTATGTGGAAACGCCCAACGCGCCAACACTCCAGGCAAGGAGATGATGTTGCTTTTCGCTGTGGTGACCCTGGCGCTTATCGTGACAACTCTCGTGTGCACTATTCAATGCACCAGGAACTTTGGCAGCGGGCTGAAAAATGTCATTCACCAGGAGACTCAATGGCCGAGAAATTCTTACGTCTTTGAACGACTGTCCAGTCATGGTAATTCTTCGGCTGATACTCGATATGATACACGCTATAGCCCCCGACTCTCACTTGATTAGCCTGTGGTATTGGGATTTAAATAGTATATGACTCAGGTTCGACTCTGCCATAATATAACCAAACAATTTATTTATTTGTTGTCAACCCGACACTGTGCCTGCGGCTTATCCTCACGTTGGCAATCATAGAACACCGTGCATATTCACTAAATTAATCACCGGCAAATGTTCGCCGGAGTAGAAGTAGGGACATGGTATTTAACCAGTTCATAGTATAAGTAGAAAGAAGAATATAAAAAACCCAGATCTTGAATAATGGCTACCGGAAAGAATCTCTACGCATAGATAAATATATCAGATAAATAAAGCTTAGATATATTTAGTTTACTAGAGAATTAACCTAGTGTTAGGATATCCTTTTAGTAAAGATTATTAGATTATATATCTTTCTCTAGTATATAAGGTAAAACCTGTACTTACAGTTTCTGGTGTCTGATACTGTGTAAAGTTTCGTGTTTATGCAAGTTATATATACACGAAAACAGAGATTTTTTATTTCGGTGACAATAGTTAGTGGCTAATGGTCACGCCTGTTCTGCTATTAATGTAGAGTATTCATTTCCAGGGCTTGTAGTTATTGCATCTCTTCGAGTAGTTATAAATCAGGTCTATAGTTAAGATAACAGATCTTAACTGGCTGTAGGATATAAAGCCCTTGTAGTGATTGGAGTCTAGACAGTTACATATACAGAGCAGTATCTGTAATACGAGTCCAAGCTATATAATTGTCTTTAAGATCCAGGATAGCCAAGTTAAGCGTAGTGCCTTAGATTTTATAGTCAATTAAATAGAAAACAGGATAGATAGGGACCTGTTTTTGTTGGACTGAATACCCTTTTAGCGCAATCGAGACTTCTAGTGGAAAGATAGACAAGATATTAGGATCCATTGATTTAATCAAAATCAGCATAGATTAACTAGGGTTAGATAGAACATAGACTAGGAATTTAGAATAAAAGATATAGATTATTTAGCATGTGAAATTCAGCTATATATTATTAGTAGTATTTTTATTAACCAAGTTTAACGTCCATATCGAGCCGTTGACTATGACAGACACATGTGTCTGGGCAGTGGCCTAGGCCACTGCCTCTAACTGGTCCCTAGAGGCTCTACCAGCCCCTTCTATCGTTTGTGTGTTCATTCTGATCCTTTTCCTCGCCCGAGCCGCCTATCTGCGCCAGAGCCTTTGGGCTATGCCCTCGGTGTTCATTACCTGCTAGGCGTCATCTAGGTGTGCCTAGATTGCCCTTTCTACTATCCCTTTCCTTTTCCTTCTGCTTCTTCTACTAGCTTTAGGCCCATAAGCTCTTCTCTATAGGCCCTATCTATCTCCCTGGCTGCTTCTCCTGGGAAGCAACTGATATTTTTCCTTGCAAGAAAGGCCATTAGGGCCTTCGTGGCTCTCTGATCCTTAAGACAGCAGTGAAGAAATGGATGTACTTAGATGCAGTGGAGATTCTCAAGCAAGCGTAAGGCTCGATTCCCCTCCACCTTGTCCCTGCTCCACTGTTTGCTTCGTTTGCTTCCACACAACCGCAGTCTTGTTGTGCTTATCATATCATGGCTAACAACCACACGCGAAGGACGGGTACCATCCGTGTTCACGTGTTCTCATATATCATTCGTATAGAACCGTATGGGAAGGTTGAAGCGAAGGCGGATTCATTCGATCTGGACACCAAACCAACCAGTGCGATTGTGCCTATGCGACATGTTTATGTAGACTAATTCTGATGCTGGAGCCATGAAAGTCTTCAAGGATAACATGACCTCAGAGTTCAAGCGACATCAACGGAATCGATGGGAAATTATCAACATCTGGCGGCCATTGAAGCAAGTGCCGCGTGATCATCTGTCTGTGTCAGATTCCCTGTCCTTCCCGGGTGAGAACTTGATTGAGATTTGCGGTCGAGTCCCTGGAATGGAGGAGGAAGGCGACGGTGGGTCCACAAACGGTGCCGGTTTTGGAGTGCTCTATGCTACGTATTCAACAGGGTAGAAACGATACTATATGTCTGATATGAAGATCAAGTATTATGATTTAAAAAAGCGATGGCAGGGTTGCCAGGAGAACTTCTCTAGAGTGTTCGTTGACCCGATAGCCCAGAATATGCCCGAGGCAAGACACATTTTTTGTATTTTTAATTTTTTTTTATATATTTATTATATTTTTATTTTTGAAAATGAGCCTCTGGCGTGAAAAGAGACTGTTATCGACTATGACTAGAGACAGGCAAATGAATTATTTCAATACATATTGGACATCAATGAGTTCAGATCTGGCTTCTTCGCAACATTCTTAGTCGCTATACTATATGCACTAAGGCAGCAGCCATTTATTAACTAACTAATAAACCCTATTATGACAACTTTATATCCAGTATCAGGCTCTGGCTCTGTCCTGGGGCAGCGCCAACTCAAGCTTTGCTTCAAGACACTTGGCTATATAGACGATAAGACTTTTCTGGCATGTTGTATTTGCACAGATCTCGTAACTACTGAAAAAGAGAGAAACAGGGGTAGTGGTCAGCGGTTAAATATATTTACGAGAACGTGAAGATGCCATTCCATGACAGGGAGACAATTATGCATGTTCGCGGGGAGCAGATCACCAAAATCTGAGATTTCAACCCTATCCAGCTTAGGGCGGTTGCTATTGCCATGATACTAGAGACATGGTGCTGGACGCTAATGATCATAGCTTAGTCTAAAAGAAAGGGTGCATGTACAAAAAATTTATTGAGTTGCACGGAAAGGGGAATATGACCGCGGCCCGATTGTATGAATTATTTAAAATTAGGAATTTCGCATCCTCTGGATTCCTGCATAGTCCTGCACTAACCGAAAATAGAAGCTCCAGCCGAAATTCATAGAGGGTAAGATCAGCACAAATAGGTGCAGGACTCCCATGCCACAGTTAGAACGCCTGCGAGATATTAGGCGGTGGCCAGCCTGGTAGCGCGTTCATTCCTTGAATAATGAAGTTTAATACATAGTTACGGCATGTGCACTCAGGGCTGACCCGAGATTCCTCGGGGAATCGTCGGTGTATCGCTACGCTCCGTGAATTTAACTAATCTTAGGGTGCGACCATTGCGGATATCAAGACTGGTGCTGATCGGTGTCTAGTTGCTTATACTAAATCCTAGGACATCAACAATCCTATCTCCACCTTGCACAATTCACACTTAGCCAATATCCTACATTATCTGAGAAGAAAAACTTACAAAGATAAAGCGCCGTGGAATCACCTCTCGCCAGATTCGGCGAGATAAATTCAATTGGGCCTTCTCATGACGTCGCAGAAGCATACATATGCGCAGGGACTTCCACCGTCACGGGGAAGAATAAAATCTTACTCTTCGAAGAGTACTGAACGAAGATCGCAGACCTTCGAGTGGCCCATCGTGAGCCAGCCACTATGGTGATCCGACCACTTCGATTGGTCACTGTATCAGCATTAGGGAAGACCATACGGAGCACAGTGGTACTTTTGCTCGAGACAGCCAGTTTAAATCTATACCTATTCCTAGGTGAACTTGAGCTTGAGCGAGATAAGAGGCACTCAGGTAGACTGAGATCCTACTCGACTCTCCTGATATTGGCGCTATCTTCATTTACCCACCTTTGCTATGGTTGGTTACTGCTCAACTTCATTGCATGGTGCTTACTAACGACCATAACCGAAGGTTTTGTTGCAAAGGGAGATTCTTCTGCCTCCAGCACAGTCAACCTTGAAGGCTTTACAGGTACGGTGCTTGGGTTTTTTTGCCATAGAGGAAGACTCCTCTCACTGTAATCTCAGTCCCGAGGTCCGGCCTCTCCTGGAAGTTTGCCAGGCACTTAGGGAAAAGGGATTTGAGGAAAATGACATTGTTCAGCTCGCCGACAATGAATTGTTAGACGACTGTGTCCGACACATTTCGAATTGTCTCACGGATAATAGCTTATTCCTCTTGTCGCTCCTTACTTGGCACTTTGACTCGTCGATTGACCATTTGTCGCCAGTGCCAACGCCTTCCCGAGGGATCTTGCAATTCTTCGCGCAAACCTCGGACAATTATGAAGCCGAGTTCGAGACTCTTCAAGTCCAGTACAATCAGCGAGTAGGGCAGAGGATAAGGTTGGAAGACTTTAAGGGTAAATTTATGGCCTTGGTACACTTGCTCGAATCCATGTTTCAGAATGTATGGACGTCCATATAATACTCCGTGGCAAAAACTTATATTCCCACCGTCCTTGGTTTTTTCTTTCTTTTCTTTTCTCTCTTTTTTTTTTGGGGGGGGGGTACTGTATACCGGATTTCTCATAAACATAAAATCATTATTCTGTCAAATGTACGGTAATTCCTTTCGCAATCGTTGGAACAGAACATATGGGATAATTAATAAAAGACGGCTCAAGATGGGCGGTAATCCAGCTAGTGGAAGAGCTCTTCGAATGGTGATAACAGCCCAAGGCCCCGGGGCAAAAGTCTTCAAAAATGTTCGAAATCTGTGAGGCAAGGCAAGTTTTCAGTGTCTTTGTTAGTAGCTTAATTTATACCATGTAATTACGAAGTGTATATTTGTAATAGGCCTGGCTCTTCTACCAAGGACAGCTACTTTATGGATAGTACTTATATCTTTCAGACCTCGCGGTCACATTATTACTGGTCACTAGTAAATTCTAATCCTTGTCGTAAGTATTATCTAACCAAGATAGCAAAATAATCGCCGAGTCCTTGGACGAAGACCATGTGTAACAGTAAGGTTAAGAATTACAGGGCGTCACATGAGCAGCGTAGATGGGAGAAAGCAGAAAGGATTGCCGAGCGCAAGACTAAACGAAATCAGAAGTTAGAGGAGGCGGCTAGAACTAATAGCAGAGAGAACGATATATGCTTCTATGTACTTAGGTGTCTTGATATAGGTTGTACTCCGCGCCTAGTGGGCTTTCCCTATATCATCGTGCAAATTCTGGTTTAGGCCTTATACATAAATTAATAAATCACTACTGTCCAGTCCTACTTTTCATAGAGGTTTTATAGTATATTTACTATATAGTACTGTTCACCTCACCTGGAAGTATACAGGCTACTACAGCAGGAGGTGTCATTCTGTAGCCTTGGTATAACTCCAGGACCTAAGTTATTCCAGATCAAATCTCGAGAACAACTTGCCAACTTATCGGTGACCTATGCTACAAAATACTCACATAGCTTGCCAATACCCGCCCTGGCACCTCTTTTATAGTTGAGCGATATTCCACGGTTATACTTATTTTCTAAAGCTACCTGTACGTCGGGATGTTCTTTCAGGCTAATTTCTAAAAGGCGTGAATTTCTGTCCACGAATAAAGCAAACTGGCACTCGAGCATACTGTAAGGAATTGTATCATGGACCAAAGTGTTGTGAATCGAGGCTCGATCAATAAACCATAGAGCCTCATATACAGAATTTATTCCGTGTAGAATCAGATGATGAAAATCAATCTGACGCCTATCTAGTATGTAAACCCTCAATTACACAGAGGAGAGTAATAGCAATTAATCTTCCTCTGAATTACAGCCCGTTATGAGCCTGGGAGCTATCATTCGGGTCATATCTCTAGTCGCTCATCTTTAAATATATATCTTCAACAAAGGCTTCACAATTGTTGACCCACCATTATTGGTGAAGTCCCACTGCAATGGACTCCCAATTTAGCTCGTCGTCAACCTCGTTGTCTGGTAGGATCGCAGACTTAGAGCCAGTTTCAGGAAGCAGTAACGTAAGCGAACGACGCGCCACCGACGACAACGTCTCATGCTGGCCAAACCTAGCCCATAGAGAGGGAACGATGCAGAATGCTTCAAATATAATTGTACTATTGCATAATATTTGTGGAGAACGTACCGCAAAGATAAACTGCATGAACATTGCTGCCAATGCCACGGAGAAGCAGCACGCTTCCGCAGAGAGCAAGAGTGAGCACCGAGCATCAGTCCACCTTTCTCCAAGAATACTGGGTCGTGGGAGAAATACGTTACATGCGTTGCTGGCTACTGCCAGGTGGAAGAACCCGATGCTGTACTGAGCCCTACGGATGTTAATATACCCTCAGTCGTTTCCTGTCAGCCCCACCATTATATCGACTGTCTCGTGTATCTGAAAGAAAGCGCCAGGTTGACAGAATCCGAGCGTCATTAGTACCGCAAAGTAGTCATGCTGACGAAAAGACTACTCTCGGTATCTTTGAATTTTTGTTTTCAGATACACATCGAACCTTTCTAACTATATGTGTTCTATATTGTCTTGCAACCAATGCAACAAAATGGCCTCGAATCTACAGGCGCATCGAGTTTTCAGCGTAGTTGAGCTACTCGAAGCAATCTTGCTCGAGACCGAACTACGCACCCTCCTGACGTCTGCCACACGGGTATGCCGTCTCTGGCATGATGTGATCGAAACCTCCCCCCGTCTCCAAGCTGTTCTTTTCTTCGATCCTTGGGAAGTAAAGCGAAAGAAACCATTCAAGAATCCGTTCATTGATAGCGATATATGGCCCGATTTTTTTCGAAAGTATATCGGAGTTGATTCACCAAAGCTTAGCGACAAACTACGGGCCTATCTGCGAGAAGATGCAAGCTGGAGACGCATGCTGATCCATCAACCACCGACCTCAAATTTATCAGTCCTCTACCGGCCGTCTGCACAACGTGTTTGGCCAGAGAGTAAAGTAGATAGCACGCATCAGACGACCTGTGATCATCCATTTCTACTAGGCGCATTGGCCGAGTTTTTGAAATGCCGCGGGTTCACGGTATATCCCCAGCCCTTGCTCTTTTGTGACGGCAATTGGGCCGTAACGGGCGAGTTTAGTAATGGTACAAACCCACTATACCCTGACACGTCTGTGGAGGGCGGGGGCCCGATCAAGGTTGGCTGGGTGACCTACTGTGGTCACGGATATGCTATTAGTACTGGTGCTATCTTCAGAGGTTGATAGGTATGCGCACTGCCCTGTCGACGGGGCGGCAAAGTTGACTGATGATTCAAACACTCTATTTCTTTTTGCTAAATATGCCCGTGAGGTTATTCATGGATTTCCTTTACTTGCTTATCTCATGGTTAGCGACCTTCATTGATGTTCTGGAACAACAATCTGCTACCTCAATGTGAAGCTATTTGTCTTGTCTTGATCTAGTTCCGGTTCACTTTATCTCTGCCGGTGCCCGGGGTTTTGATTTACACCATACAGCTTCTACCGCTAGGTCTTAGCCCGAGATTATACTTGAATCTTCGGTATCTAGACAGCTCCAGCTCCTAATTATACTTAGGCTTTAGCGGGGGATTCTGGTTGACAATAGCTCATGGTTTAAACCGCTAGTCCATACATACATGGGAAGAATATCTTTCGGACCAGCCGGAGATCAACACTGATACTAAATTACCAACACCAACCGAACCGTACCTCAAGTTGTAGCATACCTCGATAATCACAATCATGCGCATACAGCCATCGAAAGTAATAAAGCGAGGAGTGTCCGTTACTCAGCTTCAAATTATCGTAAACATTGCGGATCCAATCTACCCACAAACCTCTCCTCACTACCTACCTAATAATAACATCCAAAACAACCGACTTCCTTTCTTCAACCACAACCCTAACTCCCTCCCGAAGTGTCTCATCCAACTCCCCCACACTCCGTACCCTCTTCGACCACAAATTCCCATTCGCAGCCGCCCTCGCCACCTCCCCATAATCCGGCCCATCCTCCACCAGCGAAATCCCAAGATCACTATTCGACATTCCCGCCGCCACACCCTCAGGATGCACATCAACTAAACACTGCCTGGTAGCATTCCACCCCCCATTATTCAAGATCACCGTCAAGAAGGGTGTCCGATACCGATGCGCTGCCCAGAACACCGCCGTTGGGACCGAGAAAACGAAACTCCCGTCGCCGACGATGTTACATATGAATGGTGCTTTGCCTGTTTCATTAGGTTGGAGGATGGGGCGATTAGATACATCGTACCGTGCAGTCGCAAGTGACACGCCGATAGCCGCGCCTCCAGACCAGCCTAGTCCACTACCTCCTTTTGTGAGATGTGATCCGGGACGGGTGAGTTGGAGTTGTTCGGCCATGGGGACTTGGTTTGTGACCGAGTCTGTGACGTAGATTGTATCCTGGGGGACAAGGGCGCGGATACGACTGCAGAGGTAGTCGACTGTGCAAGGTTGGGTGGGGTCTTCGAGGGGTGCTGTGGCGCGGGCATCGATGCGGGCTTTACCTTCTTTATGGGCTGTTAGGAGGGCTTGGGCTCTGGGGAACCAGGATTCCTGGAGGGCTGGGAGGCGGGGCGAGCTGGATATGTATGTGTTTAGTTGGGTTAGGGCTGAGGCAGTGTCGACGTGGAAGGTGGCGGAGGCGCTGATGTCGAAGATGTTCATGCGTTCTTTGCGGGGGTCGAGGTCGATGTGGTAGATCTCTGCGGTTGGGGAGGGGCGAACTCGCCGTGGGATCCAGGGGACATCGGCGTCTAGGACGAGGATCATGTCGGCGGATTGGACGGCTGGTGCAGCGCCTGTGCTGCGTGATAGGTAGGCTGGGTGCGTTGCTGGGAAGCAGACTTCGCGGAGCTCGGAGTCGAAGACGCGGAGGCCTCGGATGTTCTCTGCGAGGCTGATGAGCTTTTGGACTGCGCTGTGGTTGCGGCCCAGGTAGCCTGTTATTACAAGGGGTGATTTTGCGTCTAGCAGAGCATTCCCGATCATCTCCACTGCTTCGGGCGATAGGGATCCCAAGTGACATGATGGGATCGGCTTCGGCCGGAGCTGACCTGAGGGAATGGGGGTAGCTAGGATCTCCCGAGTTGCAGTTAGATACACCGGGCCTGGGGAGCCAGTTGTCGCCATGAGGACGGCACGGTGCACCACACTTCCAACATTATGTGGTGATTTGATCTCCGCGCTAAAACGGCTGTAGGGCGCCACGATGGCCGCCTGGTCGCGAATGTCCTGGTACCACTGGACATGTTCGGACCGAGAACCCGGGGTCTCATTCAGCAGCGTGGATGGGGCAACGCCTGCGAAAATCACGACAGGGGCACGTCCGCTAGATGCATTGTGCAGGCCCTGGCCCAGCGCAGCAGTCCCCACGTCCACGTGGGCGATCACACATGCCGGTTTGTGACTGATCCTAGCGTAGCCATCTGCAGCTGACATGGCTACGAACTGAGTGATCGATCAGTGGGGTTCCATGTGTTGACCCTGGTGGGGAAACAGGCGTCTCACCTCGTGCTGGAACAGGATCATCTTGGGATACTGGCGGGTTGGGTCACTTTGGCGGCGGATGTAGGCTTCGATGATACTGGGGTGATCGGAGCCTAGTACGGTGAAGAGGTAGTCAACCCCGGCCTGTCATGATTTAGGACCCATTCATTCACCAAAGAAAAGAAGGGAATGGGCGTACCTCCGCCAAGGCCTCCAGAAATGCATCCGCCACAATAGGACCTCCCGCGGTGATATCCTCCGTCATTTTGTAGCAATTACTTTGAATAGAATAACCTGGGAGGAGATGTTTCTGAGAATCTCCTAGCTCCTTCGCTTTATGCCAGGGATTGGGTGTATTAGGGTTGCGGGAGTGTGCCGTTGCAATATCAGGGGTTATGCTCTTAGAGTGATTAAGTCCGCAGACGGGAAGAAAGTAACCAAGGTGGGGAAGTCCGCCGGAGTTCTACCTCACTAGGGCTATCATACCCTGGCCAGTTAAATAATGTTTCATTCTGTGCCATCTTACTCGGCGGAGATCCCTGTCAAAAGAAACAAGCTAATTTAGGGCACGCAGTAAGTGGGGCAGGCATGATTACTACTCCATACAACATACGTACCACGATGGATCAGCCCCAACGAGGCCGGGTGAAACATGCAGGGAGAGAAATAAAAAGCAAGCCCTGGTAAGCACTGCAAAGAGTAAACGATATAGCGTGGCATTATGACCATAAACGAGAGCAATGGCACATTCGACAATACGCCATATTACAAAACACCATACACTGGTTTTACCGTCCATATGCACGGTGAATATAAACATGTGTATATCTTATTTTTAAACAACTTTCATATCACGAATAAGCCCGCTCACTACGCATAACAATATCCGTCTTCATAACGATCTGTCCCTTCGCAATCGGCCCCTGACTGCCCATACTCTCGGCATCGCCCTCCCCATAGTATTCTTCATCCCTCCGCCCACCCGTCCGAATACCTGACTGCGACCCGAGCCGACTCATCCGATAGCTCGGTCTAGTCCGGGACCGACTCTTCCTCGACCCGTTCGATAATGAAACAAACCAGCTCGGGATAATTCTCTGGATCGGATGCTTCAAGAATGGTAAACAGGCGCAGATAATGCCCGTACTAGCCTCGATAGCGCTCCATATCAGCGCATCGAAAGATCCCCAGGTTGGATCTTTTGTCTTCGTACTTTCTACCATGGCCCACATGCGAATGATACTTGTTATACAGACGAATAGGCCCATGCAGAAGACAAGCATGACTCCGACTTTGCGGATGCGATCGAGCTGTAGACGGGCCAGGAGGGGCAGTGGCATTAGGCACACCCAGATGTCCATGGCTGTGTTGTATCCGGCCCATGACCAACGGAATTCAGCGTTCTTGACGCATGTCTTGGGGATGTCTTTGTGCCAGCTCGCGTGGACGGGGATGCACTGGAAGATGGTGGCGATCACGAAGCCGAAGGTGCTGGAGAGGACAAGGACAATGGTAATCCAGCAGATGAGGCGGAATTTGGGAGTCGGGAAGAGGCGGAGATAGAAGGCGAGGAAGGATAGCTTGTTGAGACACAGGACAAGCTTGTAGAAGATTTGGAAGAGCCAGAAGAACTGTTCGGACGGGTAATGTTAATGGATTTTTCTATTTAGTGTCTTCTGGAGGACTCACACACCTTCAATGCGAGAACACGGTTGCCGCCTGTTCGAACTACGTCGGCGCGGTGGCGACCGAAGGCGTAGTGGCATGCTAAAAAACCAGGATTACTTAGATATATACATATGGTCGATCAGAAGGAAAGCATGCCTAAGTCACCCATGACTGTATTTACGATCTGTATGGCCTGTTATCCTTTTCTCAGTATAATTTAACCACTCTAGCGATACACAACATACCATAGAAAATGAGATGATAGCATCATCGGCGGCGATCTTGCTCTTCATGTAAACTTTCCACAGTATTCGGTATGCCACTAATATGAAAGCAATTACTGTCAAGACGGCCGTCACCTTCACAAACAGGGGACCTTTATTCGGCACATCGGATGGACTCAACACCATTGCTTTCGTCGCACAATACCCTGCACGGAGAAAGGAGGAACTAAGAAAAACAACCAATCAAACAAAAAAAGAAATAGAAAGGAAAGAGAGTAAATAAAGACTTAAAAGAATGTAATCGTCAGTCGACTGGACGGAAAAGTCTCAAAAGCGATCACGACATAGGTGTTATGGAAAGAATTCTACTCCTTTTGCTACCTAACAACACATACGGTACTAGGCCTGCCACATCCCCTGTACTGGACGGTCTTTTCAGTACGTAACTTTGCTGCAGGATCTGCTAGATTTAGATTGTGCGAGATCCGCTCCAGATCGGTAGATGGCTGGTGCTTTTTCACTCCTGCTCACATGGTCTTTGGGGAGAATTGGTCCCTGCGGATTCTGGACTGATGAGAAGAATTTCCACTGACACTATGGGTAGGAAATTGCGGTTCTTGGCACTGGTCGCAACCGGCTGACCCATAGTAAGCGCTAGAAATTGTTCAAAATTTCGCTGAGCAGGGGTATGGACATGGATAATCATTAATGGGTTCACTTCCAACCGGACTGGGGCTATACCCGCTGAATTAGGATGTCAGGATAACACCAGGGCCCCCAAGCCCTGGGTAAAGTGAGCCGGTTGAAGAGGAGATAAATTAGGGTCGCGCCAATCCCCACCAACTCAGCCATAGCTGGGCAGGCGGTAGATCGGGCTGGCAGTCTCTTAGGGGTCAGTGGTGGCCCTCGAGGAACCACACCTTATGAGACTTAAGTAATTCTCTATTAGAGCGCCAGGCTCCCCTCTTCCCACCTGAGACTGCCGAGCAAATGTAGCCCTTGAGGCCGCCCATGTACAATAGAACCAAAGCCCCTAGTGTGGGTGTCTAGGCTCGATATGGACAATACACTTGATTACTACTACTACTACCCGTAGAATGCTCTTATTGCATAGGAAAATGGGCGTGGGTCCGTTACTCTGTAGTTTAGATTCCGGTCCGTTCCCGGTGAAGGATCCACAGGGAATCTTGGTCTATTCCCAGGGCCAATAGAAAATGTACGTTACTCTAGATTGACTAATCAGGGCTGTCATGCCTTGTCCTTAAAACGAAAGTACCAGGCCGGCCAAACCTTGTTATATCTAAGTATATGGCTTGCTCAATAGGAAAAGCTTGTGAGGGTTTGGGTGAGATAGCCGCACTTAGGGCTAATATGGGACTAACAAATTGCGCTACACTAGTTACAACTTCGACAAACACGCAAAATTACGCTGTAAAATCAGGCCACCATCGTAGAACCACCGGAGTATCCCGCATTGCAGATTAAATTAAATGACAGAGCCCACTTCGCTCGGATCATTATTGGGGCAATGTGCCCTCATATGATCCAGCAGCTATGTTACAACTGAAACCGAAAATCCGGATGCGCATCTCCGAGATCCTGGGCACTTTCTGGTGTCCACTCCTTCTCGGGCTGGCTATCACGGCGGCGGTTCTCCGCGCGCAAACCGAAATAGTACACCGTGCTGGCTACTCCGGCCATCACTGCAAAGCCCAACCCAACCCCAAATCCCACCGGGTACTTAGGAGATTGGCTGGTGATGAAAACGTTCCCAGACACAAAGGCACCGCAATTGCCAAAGGCTGGCAGGAGGCCCATACCCACACTTCGCTTGACGCCCTTGCCAAGGTTAATGCACAGCCATACCACCGTGATTGACATCATGATGAATGCTCCGGAAGCCACGAAGAACATGCCCATGTATCGGACAGCCGCCGGCAGATAGTGCGCCAGCTGAACACTCCACCCGATAACAATCAGAACTGATCCGAACAGAGTGAATAGGAAGCGGTGTCGGAGGTGGTCGCTCAACCAGGCGCTGGAAAGCGTCAGTACAAATGCGACCGCGTAGATCGGAATGCCGTGCGCTTGCGCGGAGCGGGCGGTCCACCCGAGGTCTCTGAGAATGGTTGGCTGGAAAGCCACAAGAGAACTGGCGCTTTCTTCCGCACCGATATAGGCCAGGACGCTGTTGCACGAGTTAGCTGGTCGATACTTGGAAGCACAGCGGGATCGGATTGGCACTTACCAGATCCAGATCTTCCAGTCTGTTGCCATACTCAACACCCGTTTGAAGGAAATGGGGTCGTTGCGGACACCACCACCATCAGCCTCCAACCGAGCCAGCAGTAAGGCCTTCTCCTCGGGTGTCAAGAAATTTGCGTCATCCGGAAATGGTACCACGATCCAGTAGCAAATGATGCTAATACCAATGGTAATGATAGCTTCGATCAAGAAGAGCCTAGATCGTCAGCCGGGAGAAATGTTCAAGGAGGGAAGAAAGCCTACCATCGCCACCCTGCGTATCCGCTCAGCTTCAATCCCGTCAGGAGACTCGAGAAGAGCTGTACATCGAGTCAGTAGTGGTTTGATCAAGTGCCATCTACCTGGACCCACCCCATTAATTGCGCCTGCTGCCATATTCGCGCTGAAGAAAATCGCATACCGTCGCAAAAACTCATCCCTCTTATAATAACTTCCAATCAAATATGCGCAGCCTAGTATGACTCTGAGATCAGCGCCCATATTCGCAGTTCAGATTTGTCCGGATTGTGCACGAACCAGGAACAAACCCTGCCTCACACATGCCCATGAAGAATCGACACGCGATCAAGCCCGTTGCGGTCTTGGTCAAACCCTGGCCCAACACAAACAGCCCTACATGCAATCTCCCATTAGCGGACTCCAGATTGAAACAGGAGAATGTGATCTCACCCCATGTAAACATATAAATGACCAGCATTCTAGGACCGAATTTCTTGACCAGTAGATTTGCGGGCACTCCAAAAATCACGTATGCGACAGTGAACATTGTGACAGCGACGTTGTAATCGCTTCCGGCCATGTGCAGCTCTTTGACCATTCCAGCAATTTTGGCATTCCTAAGTTCAAATCTCAGCATGAGTTTTGGACTAGCAGAGAGTTTAGAGCAGGAACCGATAACTAACCCGATGTTCGAACGGTCCATGAACGAGACCAGGAACAGAAACCACAGCGCAGGGATGATCCGCCAGTCCAACTTCCGTAGCAACTTCTTCTCCAATACTGGATCAAAGTTGCTGGTCAAAGATTCTGCCACCCGAGGCTCAATGTCTGGCTTCTCCATCGTCATGGTGGAATCTAGTGTTGTATCGAAATGGGCGGAAAAAGTTGCGCCAGCACATTGCGGGGCATCCCTGCTTTTGTAGATGGAAAAGGTGCCCTCTAGCTCGGGATTTCCGAATTGCAAAAGAACTAGTAATTAGCTAGAATGCAAGTAGTTCAATCTCCGGGGAATCAATCAAGTAATCCCTGCGCAAGAGGCAAGTCTCCTTCAGAGTCGTGGAATATTGCATGGTATTACTCTCTGTATACCATTAGTGTGCCCCGCCATAATCTGCTCGGACGCACCTTGTGGACCCTCGAGTTGGTCTAGAGCTGCGGAGGGCATATTAATCTGAGCACAAATAGCGTCCAGCCCCACCTCCCTTCGGCCTCTAACTGCGGTAGGACTACCGTGGACCTTCTCCGGAAAGCCATACGAATTTCACCGGACGCAAGTCGCCCGATACCCATGCAACTACTAGCAGTAGCGGTTTCGAACCGCGTCCTCCCGGAGAAAAGCCGGCATTACTCGTTCTCCAGAGCCAGACCAGCGCTCGTATTGTTCATATAAGCCGGGCAACTAGTTACAATGCAAGTATCTACTTCTAGTACGGAGTTCCTGTATTATTAGTACCTGTGGCAACTACTAGGCGTATCGTGCTGAGTGCATAAGTATCTATACTACTTATATGCAACTTAAGCGTTTGCAGGAGTTACTGGCTCTCGCTATGGTGTTTCTGCATCTTGCTCAGGGCCTAGAAACCCACCAACTTACCAGGCACTAGCAACATATACTGCAATATCGTATTTCTTGACCAGGATCACTGTTAAGCCGTTGATATAATGCCCTTCTCTCGTTTCAACCTCGTGTTATTTCATCGTGGGCGAAGTGTGCTCGGTTAGTACTCCGTGCACCAATCACAATCCCTTATCGAAGTATCATTTTAACTATTTATGTCGGCTGGGAGGCTAACAGTTCTTGAAAAAGAGCTTCGTGGACTTAGTGGATTTTGTCAGTGCTGGACTATAGCCACCACCGCCTAGTTAATGAAGCACGTGCCATGCCGTCCTAGAGAAGTCAAAATTGTTTGAGAGTTCGAGAAAAATAGTAACAAATGCTCAGCTATCGTCAATCAGGATTCACTCCAGATACATCATCCTAGGTGAAGATAGGAACTTGTAATATTCCGCGTTGCGTAATTATGATTCAATCCAAGCTGATATTTTCAGTGACCAGCCAAACAATTATGTTCTCCTCTATCGCCCCTCCAGCAGATAGGGCGCCAACCATGTCTTCAATGGTCCAATACACAGTTCTACCAATAGAAGATGTGTTGGATTCTGGCGCATTTCTCTCAGAGCTCCCCGCGGGTACGCCTGAGGGTATTGGGTCCACCATCGGCGCCATAAAGAGGCTAGTAACCAGGGAGCTAGTCAACCCCCGACCAGTTCCATATATCTTGCTGCACAACGTTCCCCCGTATACCATCGAAAGAATAACCGATAATTGGCAGCTACTTGGATCCAGGGTAATCTACTTGTGCTATAATTCGGAAACACGCCAGCTGATCATAAAGTTCCTAGGCTATCCCCATGAGGTTGAAGCTGCCAAATTAAGTTACATATATTGCCGGGCATTCGATGGTATGGGACTATCAGATACATACGAGAGCCTCCGGGCAGAGCTTACCGATAATGGGCAAGTGAAGAAAGAACCCGATGACCAGTGGGTACCCAGGCCCGAATACGTCCCCGCCGGACGGAACGTGAACTTGTCCACAGTGGCCTTAGAGTGTGAGTGGTCCGCGTCACTGAGGCAGCTGCGGAGAGACGCAAGCATATGGATTACCCACTTTGAGACAATGGTGGTTATCATAGTTTCTAACGAAAGACGGAGGCATGACATCCTAGTTGAAGCATGAGTACGTACAGCTGGGTGTAGCACCAGGGCTAGGCCTCGTGTTCAGCCTGTGTGCGCCCAATGTATAAATATCAAAGAAACGAAGAGCGGCATACTCATCAGGGGTCCTTCTCTGCTTATCCACTCCGAGGAATTCTGGCTTCGGGAACCGAATGGGGGCAAGAGCGACTATATCTTTTCGCATCCGGCGTTGGAGGAAGAGGCAGATAGAGTCTGGTTGCACAAGGATATCTGGCTCAGCGGCTGCAATGAGCAGCTACGAGAGATCCCACGGGAGGATTTCGAATTCGATGAGGACGGCGATGAGGAGGCCAATGAGTAAGTGAGCTAGACTAGGCACGATTGTGTAACAGACCTCGGGATCGTTATTCCTGAGGTAGCAAGCTTCATAAACCCTTGGACGGGTACTCGTTTAACGGGTATGCTCACCTAATGGGACCAGCTTTGCGTCTTGCGGTCCCCTATATAGTCTTGCTTTTAGTCTCAGCTCTAAATGTTGTTCATGGCTTAACCTAACGAAACGGCTTTAACATGCCATAAAATTAGGTATATCCCGAATGGTAGTCCAAGATGCAATAGAACTGTTAGATACAGACGCTCTTAGATAGGGAAAGGATAGGAGGTCTAGATCCAAATAAGGGGTTAGATACCTCCACTCCTCGCTCAAGCACTATGTATATCGACAAAAGTTGACCAACGAACGTCTTGCTCTTGGTGATTAGGCGAGAACATTATATCGATTCTGTGATCTGCAATAAGCATTAATTAAAGAATTATAGGATTGGCACTGGGATGCTACATACTGCATGGTAAGACCAGTGAGACAAATCCCTCCATATTTAATATTTCATAGCCGTGATTCCAAGGTCACATCGTAGTTCAAGTTGTAAGTCCAAATGCAATGTCGCTATTATAACCAGTGCTTCTCAGATAAGCCCCACTGAAATTTCTTCGTGTTATTATATATTTGGCTTTCAAGTATATAGTAATTATACATATCCACTCCTACTGCACGAATATACCTTCGGAGGTGAATACAGACTAAATTAGTGGAAATAGTCAATATTAATAGCTATCTATGGCACTAAACTTAGAGCGAGGATTTGTACATATGATCAAACTCTAAGAATCTTGCTCATTAATTGCTATACGACTATTGCCCACAAAATCTACCACAATCTTAATGAAGTGGAATACAGATAAGGTTAGCGATATGTACTAGATACCTCTCTCACCCTGTATGCAGATACTGCAGAAACAAGATTAGATGATGAATAGAGAAATGCACGGTGGATTGTCCTAAGTGAGTGAATCGAAGTCAGACTCTGTATAAGTTATCCAGAGGTAGATGTAGCCCGGATGATTCACCTGCAATTGACTACGCACAAAACTACAAGGCATATTAAGGTTTTATCGTGAATCATCAATAGTCTATAACGTGCATTGTATATCATACGCCACCTTCAGATTCAGCTGACCGCACGGGCGCTGGTTCCGGCAGACGCACGTATCCAGCAGGTGGTGCCTTCATAGTTGTCCACACCGAACGAGGGACAGAATTCTCATTAACATGGTCCAGAAGCGCCTCAAAATCCCGACAAACATGCTGATTCTTGAAATCAGGGAATGGTTGATCCCACCCTTCGACCCAGTTGAATAAGATCACGTCAACGCTACTTGAGCATTTAATCGACTGTGCTAGAATATCTATACAGTGACCGATATGTGCCATATGCTGAGCGTCGGGGTTATTTCCAAACTTGGGGAAATAGTAATGCTCGTAGGAGATCTCCTTGCGTAACATGTCAATACAGTGAAGGAGATGAAAGACCTCGGTTTGTGCGATATAGGCGTCATCACCGTATCCGTGCTCCTCGGGAATCTTAACTGCGGGCGCAGGATCCTTTCCCAGCTTGCGGATTTCATCGGCGGTGATAATTATGGGCATAACCCCCGTTCCAATACGGAACCATTCAGCGTCTGCTTCGTCGCCCTTTGGCACTCGTAGAATAGAAGGTGGATCGGTGTCATACAGTGATGCGTTTGGGGTTAGGGTGACTCTTGGGATATCAACCCGGTCAAGTAGAGGTGCTAAAGAGGTTAGCTTTCTGGCCAAAAGGGCTCCAGCGGATATTAAATCATACCGTAGTAAGATGTTGATTTCCATTTATCCTGGTCCGTAAGGTGTTGAAGGCAGGCCCGTCTGGATAACGGCGACATCAAGAACACGATGGAGGCTATGAACAAGACCATGTTTCCAATGGTGAGCCAGATCATCATGGCACGCCCCTTGAGCCACATGCGTTGTTGTGCTTTCATTGCCCTCCCGGCATGGCCATGATTGTTCACATTTGCCGAGTCATTGCAGGTAAGAAGTGGTTTTTCCGGGTCCTCTTGATCTAAGCCTGGCCGAAATTCATCGTCCAGATATACTGAATCGTGTGGAACATTAGACATACTGGGCCAACGTCTTGCTGCGTAAAAAGAAAGATCAGATCTCAACAGCGAAGGAATTCTGGAGGCTCAATTGCAGTCTGCTACTTAGCGTATCCTGCGGTCGCCGAGGTTGGTATCTATGAACCAACAGAAGCGGGGATGGACTTTTAACAGAACTACCCCATTTGGAGTGAGACGAGGATGAAGTTCTGAATGGCCCCCAATATCACAACCGACGAATGGCAGAGGGTTGCTAGAGCAAACAACTTACCTTATTAGGTAAATCCGTCGGGATTCCGCTATGTCATCGCTTGGCATTGTTGGAGGAGAAGAGATATAGATCCTTCAGGCTAAAATAGATTGATGCACGGATGTTGCAGCCTATAAAATGAACCAAATGACCAGGACCCCAACAGGCATATCGCAATGTAACCCTATGCTCAGCACAGCGCCAGGGTGAGATTGCTGACGTCCATAACTCTATCGGAGTTTAGAATTTCAAGTTGAACGTTTAATATGATTTATTTTGATCGAGGTCACGTTGCCGCTGGCCATATGTATATAAATCCCGCCGGATGGGATCATGGCATAAGGCAATAGAATACTTGTAACGCATTGTCATACCAATTAAAGGTCTTTGTTTATAAACTTCTCCTACCAACGATCATCCAGCATCATGCATTTCAACACCGTTGTCGCCCTTTTGGCCATTGGGGCACCCTTAGCCTTTTCCTCGCCGATCGGTATGTATGACAGTAACATTCAGTCTTCTAATGCTAACACCGCGTTGTGTAGCGGCTAAGGACAGCGAAGCCATTCCATTCTATCCAAAGCGTGCGGAGAACAGCGAGGCTATTCCTTTCTACCCCAAGCGTGAGGATAACAGCGAAGCCATTCCTTTCTACCAAAAGCGCACCGAGGAAAGCGAGGCAATTCCATTCTACCAAAAGCGTACCGAGGATAGCGAAGCTATCCCATTTTACCCCAAGCGTGCGGATAACAGCGAGGCTATTCCTTTCTACCCAAAGCGTGAGGATAACAGCGA